TCGGCATCGAAAGAGGTCCGGCTCGGGGCTGCGGCGCTGTCAGGTGAGAGGAGCTCTTGAGGCTGCGTGCGGTGAGGGCTGGCCGGGGGTGAGGTGGGCAGTGCCTTTCCGGGCGAGTCCCTCCGGGAGGTTTGCGAGGTCGCGGCTGTGGCGCGGGCCTGGCACGGGGTCGAAGGTCGGGGGTTGCGGTCGAGGCCTAGCAGGCCCTGACAGCCGGGTGCCGGGGTTACGGGCGCGCGCGGACCAGGCGGGGCGGGCAGGGCCTCCCGGGACAGCCCCCCTCCCCTGCCTCGGTAAGTCTCCTCCAGTAGGGCACACCTCAGTGGACACTTTTCTGGCCAGACGAAGGTCCAAAAGGGTTATCCTCCTTCCGGGGAGCACTAGTTATCTTCCTTCCTCGCCCCACTGGTTCCTGTGTTGACAGTGGGGTGCCTGTAAATTTCCTCTGAGGAAGTCATGGGTTCTGGAACTGGGAGAGTAGGTTTCAGATGGTTTCGTGTTGCTGTTTTCATCCCATGCATGACAATGAGGCAGATTTACTCTGACAAGTATAAAAGTGGATGAGTTAGTCAGAACATTTGACTTATCAACATTGGTTAGTAGAATTAGTACCAGTACTATTAGGTCAAGCCTATTCACACTTTGTAGATGAGAAACCTTGAAACAGAACTGTTTCAACCCGGCATTTTCAATTCTTTATAGTCCCTTGGTCAACATGCCACCCAATCGCCCAAATGTCTTGTTGTTTGCAAGGCGATTGTCATTTGATAAAAAGTGTGCCAGGTGCCCAGAGTAGAAAGGAAACCAAGGTACACTTCTTTCTAGCAAAGACTCTGTGCCAATAGAAAAACTCTCAAGGTCGCACTTTCAAGTGTGCCTTAAAGGTAGAACTTGACGATCAGTGTCCTGACTCCTGTGTCATATTCTTTTCCTGTGTAGAGTGTTTTTGAAAAGTTTAGTTTTATTTGAGATCTAGGAGTTCTTGTTACAAGGGAGTGTAATATTGGACCAATACCTAAGAGTTTTCTGGTTTGTTTAAATAATTTAATTCGAAAGAGTTACCCCTGCTAACAAAGTTAGGATACCTTTTATAATTGGTTAATATGCTGTGCTTTTCAGACTTGTTAAGATGAAACGCTATAGAAGGGCCTTCAGAAGAGGAAAGATAAACAGCATTGAAGTTTGAAAAAATACCTTGTGTAAGTATTTTTGCCTAAGATTAAAAAAATGAATTTCTTATTAAAGACCAGATAGAGACTTTATGCTACAGTTGTGGTTCAGTACATCCTCTACCTCTAAATCATTTTGCCTGAATTTTGGACTGCTGATACATGATTGATAATTAAGTCAAGTGCTTAGCTTTTACATTGACAGAAGAAATCCCTTGCTTCATTACCAAGTTCCAGTATAAGCTTGTCTTTTGCTTGTGCTATTATCTGCTCATGTGTATAAAAGGTTTAAAAAAGAGAGTAGTGTGTGTGTGTGTGTGTGTGTTTGTGTGTGTGTGTGTGTGTGTGTGTGTGTGTGATCATTGTAGTAGTTTGTTTTTTGAGCCTGGGTCTCCAAAGTCAAGGCTTGCCTGGAGCTAGACTGTCTCAGCTTTTTAGTGTAGGCTTGCTACAACTACCAAACTTAAAAATGTCTTTCTTTCTTTCTTTCTTTCTTTCTTTCTTTCTTTCTTTCTTTCTCTCTCTCTCTCTCTCTCTTTCTCTCACTTCCCCTCCCTCCCTCCCTCCCTCCCTTCCTTCCTTTGGGTTCTAAAGTTAATAAAGCAAGGATAAACATGTTTAAAAGCAATTTACTTCATTTAGTAGGTATTTATAGACTATTATATAAGAGGCATCATTTTGAGCTTCTGGTAATAGATTGAACTGTTGAGGATGATAGAAGAAGAGGAAGGAACCACTTTTGTTTCTCCTGAATCATTTACAGTATGAAGATTGTTCAGTGGGTTCTTACATTAGTTTCCAGCTCCTCTTCATTAAGCAGTTGTTGTACCATGAGGTGTAACTGAACTGTTTAACCCTAGTTCCTGTGGATACCCTGTTGCCTTGATCCTCTTCCTACTCAAAGGCTTTATTAGTTTCTTTCCTTTTGCTGTGATAAGACACCATGACCACGGCAACTTAATTTGGCTTATGGTTCTAGAGGGTTGGTGTCTATGTGGAGCAACGGCCTGGTGCCATATGTCTGGAGCAGCAGCTAAGAGTTTACATCTTGATTCATGAGCAGGAGGCAGAGAGCACACTAAGAATGACACTAGTTTTTGAAACATTAAAGCCTACCCCCAGTGACATACCTAAGCCAAGGTTATACTTCCTAAATCTTCCCAAACAGTTTCACCAACTAGGAGCAGATAAACATGAGCTGATAGAGGTCATATTCTCATTCAAACCATCACATTTCACTCCTGGGCCTCCACTGACTTTTGGCCATATCATATTGCAAATTTTAGTCCATCTTCAAGAATCCCCAGTCTTTCAGTCTCAATACTATTGAAAAATCTAAAGTTTAAAGTCTCGGCTGAGATTCAAGACAATCTCTTCATTGTAAGCCCTTATAAAATCAAACAGCAAATTAAGTACTTTCAATAGACAATAGTTTAGAATATGGATTGCCATTCTAAAGGGGGAAGAATTGGGACATAGTAGTGAAATACTGACCCAAAAGAAAGACAGAACCCCAACAGGGAAAACCCCTGAGCCCCATGTCTGATGTCAAAGGACTTAGATGGTTCTTTCCTTCCAGCTTTTCTGCCTGCAACGTATGTCTCATTCTTAGTCTGATTTCACTCCCTGTATTTGCTCTCTTGGCAGATATACTATGGCTCTGACATCTCTAACATCTTAGGGTCTCCAACACAACTCAGACTTCATTTTTCTTGCTGTCCTTAACCACCGAGAAAGATTCTATAACCTCTTTACTCTTTATCCTTCATGACTCTAAAGCTAGAACCATGTGGAAAACACTGCCAAGTTCTGCTGCTCCACTTGGGATGGAGCCTGGCTTCACATTTACTGCAGCTTTAGTTTGTTGTTGCTTCTAAATTCCTTAAACCTTTTCTTTTCAAGTTGGAGGCTTAGTTGGCTGGGGTCTTTCCCTTAGTGTACATCTCCCTTTATTCCAGTGCATATCAGGCCTAGCCTTGATCTTAACTTCTTTTAGAACAAGGCTTGCTTCCAAAACTAAATTTCCTGGTGTTCTTTTTCTCTTCAAGCTGTACATTTTATATTTCCATTTACTCTACTTGCTCTTATTTATTGTAGATGTGTGTGCATAAGAGTGATTGCTTATAACCATGTGACAGAGTCAATATTAGGCTGTCTTAAGATCTTCACTGTCAAATTATTCTGTTACTTTTCAATTTCATCTCAGGCAAAGTTTTAAGACAAGGATAGAAGGCAGTTATATTCTTTGCTAAAATATCACAAAAATGGCCTGTAGTCTAGTTGCTAATATTGTTCCCATCTGAACCCTCTTGAGCTGGGCTTCCATAGTCTACATTGTTCTCAGTACTTCTGTCTTCTAAGCCCCTGCTAGGGCGGCTTCTTAAGCTCATTTTACAGCATTCAACTGCTTTTCTAATCCAAAATCCCAAAGTCTTCCACATTTCCCCAAAACAACAACAAAGACAGCACAGTCAGGCCTGTCACAGCATAATAGCCCACTTCCTGGTATCAACTGCTTTATTAGTTTCTTTTCCATTGCTGTGATAAAGACACCATGACCAAGGCAACTTATAAAAGAAAAAGTTTAATTTGGCTTATGGTTCCAGAGGGTTGTTTATGATGGCAGGGCAAAGGTATGGTAACAGGTGGTTAGAGCAGCAGCTGAGCGCATTGATCCACAGTGGGAAGCAGAGAGGTGCACATTGGCAATGATGAGTTTTTTGAAACCACAAAACCTACCCCCAGTAACATACTTCCTTCAACAAAGCCACACCTCCTAATAGTTCCCAAATAATTCTACCAACTGGGAACCAAGTATTTAGACATATGAGCCTATGGAGGTCATTCTCATTCACACTACCACAAAGGTCTTCTGTACTTGCTCAAGATGTGTTTTTAACATTGGATTTTTAATTTGACGATTTTTCTTAAATGTTTTACATTCATCTTTATGTTGGGGGGAATGTTGGTAGATAATGATCCTACAGATTTATACCTTTGCATCTTCAACACCCTCTTCATTCCTTTGATAAGAATAATGAGTTGTTGTAGTGGTAGATGGTGGTGATTTTGGATGAGTATTCTAGGTTCTTTTGTGGATAGGTCCCACCTTTTGGGTTTGATTAAAAACAAATTACCTTTTTGTGTGGGGACTTGAATGCCAGAACATATCTCTCAATTAGCCTTGTCTCCTTCAGTATATATTCATTTGACATCTCTAAGATATAATTCGTTATGAAACATGTGGATATTTATTTAAATCTACTTTTTGGTATGGATTTTACTGTGATTCTCCAGGCTTAGCTATCTGAGGAATTGAGATTATAGGAGTAATTATTTTAATATTAATTATGTTAATATACTAGTTACAGGAGTTACAGGGTCTGGCTAGATATGTTCTTGGACTTCTTTTTCTCCTTGTTTTTCTTTCAGTATTGGCTATCAAATGTGATTCTCATTTTTTTCTTTTAACTATGCGTCTTTTCAAAGTGTTTCTTCCATTTAAATAAAAAGGTGCTGAACAAAAAAGGACAAAAGAGAGTGTTCATGGGTTATAAAGCAACCCCCCCTTCCTTCTAAAATTTAGGCTGGTGATTGACAGGTCTTTCAGTGCTTGGATGATTGACAGATCTTTCATTGCTTTGAGATTTATGAAAACATGTATTACTCAGTTTTTTCACAGTGGGAAAAATGTAAAAATAAAAACATTACATTGTTTTCTCTAGCTTTTTTGCCATTTCATGGTATTGTCACTGTCTACTGTTAACATGCCTCCTTTTACTTTTAAGAGATGTTTTGTTTGCTTCTTTATGTTTTACTAAAATTTCCTACACGTGTGTGTGTGTGTGTGTGTGTGTGTGTGGTGTGTATAGAGAGTCATGGTGAACAAACAGAATATACATGTGGAAAATTGACAAGTTGTATTCATTGAATTTCAATGAAAAACTTGTCCTCATACATTCTTTGTGTGTCCTGAAAAGTTTTACTATAATTTTTTTCTCCAAACTTAACTGTGCTACTTGGTCAAAAGGAATACTAATGATATAGTTCTGTTTATGATTCCTTACCCCCTTTTTCTTTGGTTTTTTTTTTTTTATTTGTTTTATAACTGTATACTTTTTGTTGTAAGTGGATTGGATTGTTTGTATTAATACTGTGCTAAAAGGGAAATACCTTTTTTATTATAACATAAGAACTTTATTTCTTATTTTTTAATTCATTGTTTATATATAAAAAATAACCATAATCATTCTACTTGCCTGTCTGTGTATGTGGATATACATACTGTCTTAGTCATTGTTCTGTCGCTGTGAAGAGACAACCATAACCAAAGCAGCTTTTATAAAAAGAACCATTTAATTGGGGTCTTATTTACAGTTTCAGAGGCTTAGCCCATTATCATCATAGTAGGGAACATGGTCACAGGCATGGCAGGCATGGTGCTGGAAAAGTACTTGAGAGCTACATCCTGATCCACAGGCAGAGAGGGAGGAACACTGGGCCTGGCATGGGCTTTTGACACCTCAAAGTCTGACCCCAGTGACACACTTCTTCAATAAGTCTCCTAATCCTTCTAATCTCACTCCCTGGTAACTAACCATTCAGATATATGAGTTTATGGGACCATCTTATTCAAACCAGTACATATACGTAATTGTCTACCCAATTGGCCATTTCTGTTTAGTTTGACATTATAATTTGTCCCAAACATGTGATGGTAAGAGATCATGTAATTTTCACATGCTACCTAGAGTGAACTTGACTAGGAAGGTTATTATCCTGTTAAATATTGGAGAATACACAGAGGTAGTGAAAATTATAAAAATTTATTTAATATATACATAAAATATTAAATGCTAACTTTTGGGAAAAAATCTAGATGAATAATTACATAGATGATTAATACTCCTTATTAAAGTAGTCTCTCTTAGTGACTACTCTTTTTTTAAATTTTTTTGAGACCGAGTATCCTGTGTAACCCTGGCTACCCTGGAACTTGCTATGTAGACCATATGTAGGCCTCTAAATCCCACAGATTTGCCTACCTTGATTGATAAAATCAAGGCATTACTAATGTGAATCATGGTTTTCTATTTAGATAGAAATATGTACACATTTCATTTCTTATTTGTTTGCATGCTCAGTGAAAGAAATAGAAAGTGACTTAAAAACTCTTGTTAATTCACCTTTTACTCCTTTGCATGAGTTCTATTGGAGTTTTTTGAATCTTTGATTCTAGTTTAACTGTTGATCTCTTTTAGGCTTTTAGATGTTCTGGAAAAACATCAGTAATGGATCAAAGGAAGAATGACAGCATTGTCCCCAGTATCACTCAATTAGAAGATTTTCTTACAGAACACAATTCCAATGTTGTTTGGCTTCTTGTTGGTAAGTAGAATATATTTTTAAAAATATTTTGTTATGCATTAACAATTGTACAATTTTAGGCAGTAGTTGACTCATCCTGGAATGCTACAGTAGCATTCATTTATTATTAGGAAAGGTGACTTTATATATGTCTTTTGAATATTTTTTCTGGAAACTGCTCTATATTGTTTCTCTTTTTCTTAGGCTGCTTAGTTATCTGGTTTATAAGAGGTGGGGGAGAGAAAAGACATTGATTGTGTTGAGCTTATTTTTCCTGTTTTAAATTACCTTTCCTATCCCTACTCCAACACATACACAAACGTTTTTTATTACAAACATAATACATGTTCATGGTAAATATATTTTATAGTGAGATAATATATATTTCATTCTTCATTTTAATTTCTTTATTTCCTAGTTGGGGGGGATGGTGGTGGTTTATGCTATTTATAACTTTTTGTATAATGGTCTAGAAGTTTTCTAAGTACATACAAATAGTTTAAAACAATGAATAATTAAATTGTAAGAAGGGGGAGAGAAGAAATGAGTGAGTGAATATGAAGGAGAAAAGGAAGAAGTATAAAAATAATACTAGTGAAAAGAGATTGTTGAAGGCAGTTACTGCTGCATAAATTGATGTGAAATTGTGCTGTTTGAGTTGGATTTTTATGTAGGAACTTGAAATGTAGAAGGGAAATTAGGAAGGGTAGAAAGGGAAAGGAGGCATACTGATATTTATTTTTTTCAATATCTTTGGAATACTGGGTACAGTAGGAAGTTTACATGTCTTGTTTCAATGCCTAAAGCAGTTTAATGAAGATAGGCTTTAATTTTCCCATTTTAATAATAGCATGGATTACATAGCAATTTTTCCTAAGTGCATGTTTTTGCCTCTCTTATGATGTGATGCCATCTGCTATAAGGCTGGAATATGGGTAAAGGTGACACATACACCGAAGGAATAATGGTGCTTCATAATATGTAGGTAGGATTGAATTACAATTTAGACTTGGAGTTCTATATTTTCTTTTTGACAAAAGAAACTACTATAAATTATTAATAAAAGCCAAAAAATAAAATAAAATTAAGCTCCTGCTTTGTTTTTAAAAACTCTGTAGCATTATTTTGAAGTGAAGATCCTACTCTGATGTTGCTAGGTCACATCTTAAGCTGCTATACATTACTTTTTCCTTACTTAGAAAGTAGTTATTACATTTAAAAGAAAAGGGCAATTCATTATCAAAACAATGTTTTTTGTGTATTCACGAACAGGGTGTTTAAAAAATACAAATTTTGTAGATGACAACTTTTATGACTAGTTAAGTGTGTGCTAGTCTAATATTAATCACTAGTTTTTCTTTCTTTCCATCACTGTTCTTAGTCACTAATATCTTGTTGCATATTGTGTTTTTGTACTCATCCAAAATTATTAGGTTTGGGGCAATTATTTTAATTGAAGATTATTCTGCTTTCATAATAGACTCATCCTGAAGTTAGTAGTGGTTTGCTCTCAGAGATGAGTCAAGTCCAATGGGGGAAAAAGACAACTTAACCATATTTTAACTTAGTTCCACTTGAACGCTGCATATATTTGCACTAAAAAAAATGTGGGTGATTAAAAAGTCCAGCCAGTGACTCATCCCAGATGCTTAAATCCCAACACAGAAATGAAAATAAATAAATAAATAAATAGATAATCAAGGCTGCACTAGGCACTTGAAAATTCCTAATTACATAGTAATAGACTCCATTGAGAGCAAATTATATGAAGTCTCATGGAAGTCAAAAGAATAATATAAGAATGCTCAGTGAGAGAAAGAAGAATTCAATAGAGACAAGTGCTAAATAAGTCAGTTTGAAATTTTGGAAATGAAAATGTCAATAAATCAAAATAAAAGACTTAGGAAAAAAACCTCACTAATAAAATAGATCAAGTGAAAATTGAATCCCAGGGCTTTAAGACAGAGTTAGAATATTTAGAAAATAATCAAGGTGAACTAGTAAGAGTACAAATGGAACATGCAGGATTTATAGAATACCAATGGAAGGACAAATTTGGGAATCATGACAGAGAAGAGGGAGTAGAATAGTATACAGAACAAAGAAAGTATGTTGAAGCCTGTGAGAGTGAGGCACTAATTTACATGTAAAGGCAAAACCTGTTAGAATAATTGGTTATTTATTTATTTTTTCTCTTAACCAAAACTGAAGGCAGAGGCATGGAGCAATACCTTTCAAGTTCTTGAAGCATTGCACTTTAATCTGATGAGAATCTCCATTTTAAAATTCTATTTATTTAGGGAAATAACTGAAGAAAAAAAGTTATGTAAGAGAGAAAAAACCTATGATTTTAAAATTGCAAGTGTTAAATTGTCAGAGTACAGATTACTATATGGAAGTAAATCTTTGATTTGTTTTTCCTCTCAACAGCTACCATTTTGTCTTGTGGATGGATTATTTATCTCACATACTATAATTCTCGGAATGTTGGTCTCATTTTAACACTGGTCCTGAACAGATTATATAAGCATGGCTATATCCATATTGGTAAGTGTGTATAACACTGTATTTCTTTCTTTCATATTATCATGAGATAATATATTATGAGTTTATATTTTGTAAACAAATAGTAGTTTTAGAACATTATTTTTTGCTCATGAGTTTGAAGTAGTCCTTCTGGCCTTTCTTGTAACATCCATTAGATAGTAATGAACTATCATTTGGTTACTTTTACCTTATTCTCATTGCTTAAAGTGTTTCTATAGTAACTTTTGGCTTTTTTTTTTCTTAAGAAAAGATGCTTATAAAAATATTTGAGAAACTTAAAATACTTAAATTGAATTTCCTTAGAGTTAGTCTTGAATTTGAATATTTAATATAGGCTCCCCCCCTTTTATAAAGTTGGTACTTAAAAAAATCTGTAAGTTGAGATAATTTTGTGTGTTTCATTTTGTGGCCAGTTTTAGTCAGTTTCTTACTATCAGGAGAAATTTTGCAAGAGGATGGGAGTTTGCATTAGGAAGCCATGTTTTTGGGAAGCTCAATAGTTATTGGGTTGTATGGGAGGAGGTGGCTGGATAGAGCCTCTCCAGCTTTCTTCATCTTCAGATACTTCTTAATGAGCACAAGTAAATCTTCTTTGTAGCATACATTGTGTGAAATGGCTGATGCAGACAGAGTAATGGAGAAAATGGTGAATTAGATATTGTTTGTGTATATGCAGTGGCTGTTTGTAATTAAAGGATTTACCCATATGGAGCACTTATATAAATGGTTATTTAGTAGTTTCGTCCATAGTGATATTTTTGGCCCTTTTTGTTTCATTAGGAAAAAAAGATGAGAGGTTTATAAAACTTGTAAGTATATGGAGAAGGGAATGGAAAAAGATTAATTATTAATTTAAAGGCTAAAATTAGCCTAATCTCTAAATGCTCTACTGTGCATTTAAAGAGTTACTGTAGTTACCATTGTCTTTTCTCTGTAACAGGTTCCTTCTCTTTCTCTGTTCTTTCTGGCAAAGTCATGGTTCGTGAAATATATTACATCACAGAAGACATGTCTATTAGGTAAAAATGAAGAAACCCAAACAAATGTGAATTATAAAATGTTCTTAATATGGTTTTATTTAATATGACTTCTTTATTCATATAAGCCGTAACCAAAAGTTGCTTATTCAGTAACATTTAAAATTGTTTATTTAGGTCAGCAAAATTTTTCTTAGCTAGCAGTTTGTAAAAACAAATTTCATTTGATTTGTAGATGGAAAATTGAACCATTGAGTTAACTGAGCATTTCAATGGTTGTTACATGAAATAAGTTTCAGGAATATTGGTAGTACTCATCAATTTGCTCTTTATTCAACATCAGCATGCTAGTATTGAGCATATGTTCGCAACTGTAATCTTGCTGTGAGAATGTAAAACTAATCTGAATATAATAGGAAACAATAATATGATTAAAGTGTTTTCTGTAAGCATTGAAGAAAAACTGTACTTTTATGTTTTTTCAAAATTTGTGACTTAGAAGAAATTTTGGGTTAATTGAGAGGTACTATGATTTGGCATTGCTTATACTTCATTTAAAACTGGGGAATAGCTTCTGTGGTACCCTATAATTATTTCTAACTCAAAGTAAAAATAATAGTTATAAAACTGAGAGTGTATATTTTTAAGGTATGAAGCCATAGGTCATTGTTAAGTAGGAAGGAGTATCTTAGAAATTTTTCCCTGAGTTTATTAACACTCTCTTTAAGATTTGACTTTTTAAATATAAGTTTTATACTTAAAAATGTTACTTAAATTATAATTTTTTCTGTACTTTTTCCTGTAAATACATTGTAGCATATGTTATACATTATAAATCTGTACAATTTTTATCAATTAAATAAAGATTCCTTCTTAATTTGGAGTTAGGCAGTTTTTTTTTTCACTGAAAGATGATGAAACAAGAATGAGTTAATTAAAGCTGGGTGTGGTGGCAAATTCCTTTCATCCCAACTTGGAGGTGGAGACAGGATGATCTGAAAGAAGGTCAAGGTCATCTTTGGCTTCACAGAAAGTTTGAGGTCAGCTTGGATTTAAAAAATGAGTTTGGTAAATTTGTTTTTTTTTTTGTAATCTGCCTTCCCTCAGGATTCAAGATGGATTTATTATTTTTCGGTGGTGGAAAATGTATAACCCAAAGCAGAAACAACATGGTAAGTTTTTCTTTTTATATATTTCAAAGGTATTTAATTGTAATTTTCCTTTATATGTAATAAATGTTTCACAATGTAGATAATTTTTAATAACTTGGCATTGTAAAGCTCTTATATGTCACTTAAATTAATCCATTTTGACATTATTATCTAGTCATGTCCTCAGCATGCTCTCTACCCATGTTGCTAGCATCTGTTGAATATATGGACCAAACCATGTTCTGACTAAAATGGCCTCCCAGCACTCTAATCTTTATTAGACATCCATATTCTTCGGCTTCTCTTTGTTCATACTTGCTGTTACCCAGCCTGGTCTCAACTTGATGGACAGAAGAGATTCTGTGCTTCAGCCTTTCTAGTAGCTGGAATTATAAGTATGTGTCACCACGCCTCATTTGATTAGTGGTATTAATTACTTGTCTATTAGCATTCATATGGTTTCTTTTGAGAAATATTAGGTCTGCTCTTCGTTTTTTACCCAGTTCTCTCTATAGAGTAGTTTGAGTTCCTTATATATTTTGTGTACAGTCTTTATCAGAAGACTTCTTTATCAGTTATGTGGTTTGAAAACATTTGCTCTCAATGAATAGTTTGTACCTTCTGTTAATTCTTTCCTTTGTAATGGATATACTTTATGTTGACATAATCTCATTGGTCTTTTTTACCTGTGTTTTAGGGTCATGTTTAAATATCAGTATCTGGACCCAGGGTGGTATTTAGTTATTATTCTGTTATTATTTTTTTCCCTAGTAGTTTTATGATTTGGGGTTTTACAAGTCTTCAGACCACTTTCAATTGATTTTTAAATATGGTTTTGAGATGAATTTCTGCATGTGGATTTATAGTTGTCAGCATGTTTTTTTTGTCACTTTTGTTGAAAATCAGTTTACTGTAGGTTCTTGGGCTCATTAATAGACTCTTGTATTCTATTGCTCTGTGTGTCTCCTTTTATACCAGTATTGTGCTATTTTAGTGGCATCACTGTATATAGTTTAACATTGAATATGTGAACTATCTCTAACTTTGTTTTTGTCCTCATGATTTCCTTGGCAATTTGAGTTCTTCTGTAGTTCCACATGAACTTTAGGATTATTTTGTCTTTGGGGGTTAGCTTGACCAGTGTTCTGAAACACTGTTGTGTTTCACAACACAGTGTTGTGAAAAAACACACCAAGACCATGACAACTCTTAAAAAGAAAAACATTTAATTGGGGCTGGCTTACAGTTTCAGAGGTTTAGTCCATTACTGTCATGGTAGGAAGCATGGTGGTATGCAGGCAGACATGGTACTTGAGTAGTAGCTGAGAGTTCTATATCCAGATCTGCAGGTAGCAGGAAGAGAGGGGCTCTGGGCTTGGAATGAGCTTTTTTGAAACCTCAAAGCCAGTGACATACTTTCTCCAACAAGGTCTACTTCCTAATCCTTTTAAATAGTGCTCCTCTCTGATGACCAAGTATTCAACTTTATGAGCGTATGGGGTCCATTCTCATTCAAATCAGAACAGCTGTGAAAAATGATACTGTAATAATTTTGAAGGGATTACATTGACTCTGTAGATGATTTTCATTAGTGAAATTTTAACAGTATTCATCTAACCCATGAATATGAAATACATTTTCTTTTGATATTCAGCTTCTTTCCTCTTCATGTTTTGCATTTTTAGGTGTCTAGGACTTTAACTCCTTTTGTTAATTTAAATGTAAATACGTTGTATTTTTATTTCTGGTAACTTGTTGAGATTGTTTTCTTGAAAACTTTCTATTGGTGTGGAGAAATGTTAATGATTTTTGTATATTGATTATCTTCAATCTTGTAACTTTGCTGAGTTTTCTTTTTCAGTTTTAAGAGTTTTTGGTGAAATGTTGAGGATTTTATAACAAGATCATATTGTCAGAAAACAACAGTTTAATGTCTTCCTTTCCTATTGATGCCTCACTTATTTCTCTTGGCTTATTGCTTGCACAAGGAACCACAACAATTTTGAAAAGACATGAGGGTGGATATTCTTGTGTTCACTGAGTCTTAGAGGAAAGAGTCCCACTTTTCACTAGTGAGTTAATGCTAGCTGTGAGCTTATTATATATTCTCTATTATGGAAGTTGATGTTCTTAGCAGTGTACTCATAATCATACCTGTCAAAAGTAAAGACATGTGAAATAGCAAGGTAGAATGCACTGTTCAGTATATACATATTATTAGTCTTTCATGATTTGGGATCAGAGTTTTAGAGTAAGATACATAGAATAGTGAATAAGTTGGAACTTAGCACTGACAAAATCCAAGCACTATTAGATTATGTAATTATTCTTAACATATAATATTATAATAGTGGACTATATTCTCTAGTATGACTTTATAACTAATATACTATTTTTTTTTTACTGATGTAAGAACAGATTTGTGGTGATGTATTATTTATGATTTAACAAAGCTTGCCCGAGTGTTCAAAACACAAAGCTAGCCACAAGCCATAGAGGTCAGGCAGTGGTAATACACACTTTTAGTCACAGTAGCCATAGCAAGCAATAGAGCCAGGCAGTGGTGACACACACACTTTTAATCCCAGGACTCAGGAGACAGGCAAATGGATCTCTTTTTATTTCAAGGCCATACTGAGCTACACGAAATTGATCCAATCTAAAAGAGAAATAGCTCACACAAAGGTGATCTCAGCACTTGGGATCACATGCCTTTAATCTCAGCACTTGAGTTATGTAGGAGCAGATATTCATTCTGGGACATTTTGGTCTCCAGCCACGTTTTGGCAGTTATTCTCTAGCCATGTTTTGGGCAGGATTGCTTCAGCCTGGGTAGAAGTAAGAGCTGCTGGCTTGGCTGCTTTGCTTATCTGACCATCAGCTTGAACCCCAATATCTGTCTCTGGGTTTTTATTTTTCGTGTTACATAGATTTATGTGCTTTGATAATTATCTAATCTGTATAGATGGTTTGCATTCCTTGATGGAAATCTTAGTCTAGCTGGAGCATGGGCCTAAAAACAGTAGAAGCTAAGGTGGTGAATTTCAAACTGCCTCATGGGAGGTCCAAGATTTTTATTAGAAATTAGAATTGTTTGATTGGAAGAAAAGAGTGGTGTTCAGATCCACAAATTCTTTTTTTTTTAAATTTTTTATTTATTCTTTGTTTTACATCATCTAGATCCCATTCATTTCTCCATCACTTTGTATCTATCCTCTGCCCTTGAACACTCCCCCCATAAAATAAAATTTAAGAGAAAAAAAGAATAAAAACAAAAAATCAAACTCACCATGGAAGCTGTAGTGTGACACAGTCATGCGTAAACACTTTCATTTATATATTTACTCACAACTGTTCATTGCAAGTAGTTATTTGTCTGGTTTGAGGCCTCTAGGTTTCTGCTACACTATCGATTCTGGGCCCTCACTGGGACTTCTCTTGGATATCCTGTTGTTTCCCTGTGTTGTGGAAATCTTACAGCTTTGGGTCTGTAGGGCCTGACCCTTCACATGCTCCAGCAGACCATAGATGGGGTGGAATGTTGGGATGGACCACCTCATAATCCTCCTTCTGGTCTGGGTAGTTGCAGGGTTGGTCACCCAGCCAGCTCTCCCCATCCTCACCACCATGGGGGGCTCTCCAGCATTGCCCTGGTTAGTTTACCCCTTGCAGATAAGAGCAAGGGGCAGGGCCAGTTCTCTAACTTTCACACCCTCAGGGTTGGCTCTCCCACACCTACACCATCAGGACCCACTCTCACAAGTGCTGCCGCTGGTGAGAGGCAGGAACAACTCTCCCACTCTTACCACCTCAGGGTTCGCTGTCCCACCTGGAACAGGTGACAAGGGAAGGGGCATCTCTCCCCTACCCACATCACTATAGGACCCACAAATTCTGTGCTGTAGATGTTGGTTGGAATAATTTTATCCAGGAATGCATTGAAATTTGTTGGTTGTTCAGCATTGTTTTTTAAAAAGAAGAAGAAAGAAAAGGGACATTTAATGCTTTTTAACTGTAGAATTTGGTGTACAGTATTGTCTAAGTTATGAAATTAGTTATTTGCAATAGATGTCTGTAAAAAGTCTTTGTTTTGGGATAATTGATTTTAAGTCATTCTTTTAGAAAATAATTAGCTAGCAGGAGCAGTTGCATCTTAATATGTCATAGTGTTTAGATGAATGTGGACCTGGATAATTAGTCATGTATCTTTCTTACCCAAAAGGGATTCTTATTTTAAGAAGTGGAAAGGATGATAACCTTTTCTGTCACCTTGTTGCTTACAAGTTTTAGTGTTATATGATGTAATACTTATAAAATTTATTACAGCTAAATATTTTGCTTTCAAACATTAATATGACTGGATAGGTAATTTTCTGTTTAAGCATCAATATTTAGAAACTTTGTTTCCAGTGTTGTTGAGGTTTCAGTAATGGGCTCCAATTGCTACAGTACTATTGGGGGTTGTGTGAGACGATGTGAGTAAAATTGCTTAGACTAAAGCTGAGAATATAGTAAGTGTTGAGTCCAGGTGCACTGCTTTTAATTATTGTACTGTATTACATTATATCACATCACAGAATGAAAAACTGTTTCGAAACTATTAACTCAAAAACAAATACTGCTCACCCTCAGTATGGTCAGAAGATTGGCTTCAGGACACCCCTCTTTGTTGTATGGGTAGGGAAATTCAAGAATATTCAAGTATTTTACACAAAAATATATAATGTTTTTGCATATGGCTTATACCCTTCTTCCTGTATACTTTATTTCTGTTTTATTCATAATACTTGATTCAATTTGCATTCTGTGTAAATAATCATTGTATTGTTTAAGGAATAAAGAGAAAAATCTGTATGTGTTTATTTAGTACAGGCATAATTAAAAAATATTTACAGTCATGGTTGTTTGAATCTATTGGTGCAAAGTCCATGCATATACAAGTGATTTTATGTACTATATATATATATATATATATATATATATATGTGTGTGTGTGTGTGTGTGTGTGTGTGTGTGTGTGTGTTATATATATATATATTAAAATATTGATTTGCTAAGGAAACTAATATTTATTGTATACAACATTCCTGTTGGTAGAGATGTTCTCATTTTACATATGAAGCAAGTGAGGCATATATAATTAATAAATATAAATAATTAATAAAATGTGTGGGGATCCACACTTTTATCCCTCCTACTGTGTATTCATCTCCTTGTCTAGTTCTTGGGGAATCCAGTACAAGTATCCCCAACCTATTTTTTTTTTTTTTTAAATAAAAGAAGCTGTTGCTTGTGAGTATGTATGTTTGTGGAGATAGATTCCTTTAAGGACTGCCTGTGTTTTGGAGGGATATTTGTCTGTCTTTGAGTGGACATACCCCTCTTGGGGATATTCACCTTCTGATCTGTGTGGACTACTTTTGCAAGTGGGCTCTGTGTATTTATGTCAGTGAAGGTGATACTGTCATTGTGCTAATAGTTGTAGGCATTCATGTATAACTCTGTAAGAGTATGTGCATATGGGTGATTGTCTGTATGTGAGTGTACCTGTGTGTGGTGTACATCTTTGTGTATCTGTCTGTTTAATAGGTATGTTGTTTCTCTGTCTCTGTGGATATGCTTTTAGACCACTTGTCTCTATGTGTGTGTTGGGGTAGAGATGAAGGATGGAGTGAGTGTGGTTGTATAGAATACTTCTGGGAATTGTAGAATTGTGGTTACATTGATAGAAAGGATCATGGACAGAGACCCTGAAGCACTACAGGCTGTGTAAGTGTGAATATCAATCAGAAATTTGATTTAGTTTTAGAACTCTGGCTGAAATATTGTCAATGCAGTCAAAACAAATAGAAATAATAGGACACAGAAAAATGTAGGATGTGAACTCAAATAAATACTTCTCTTTTCTAAAACTGAAGTAAAAATGTGCTGTTTAAAACTTTAAAAACTTCTGTTTAATACTTTTCAAAGTGATTTATAGAAGGAAAAGATGATCTGTAGGCTAATAATGATTCAATATAGCCTAAATTTTATTGTCTTATTTAAAATTTAGACCCATTATTATTTTTGTTCAGTGATTTAAATATGAATTGAATTCCTTCCTATATCCAGGCATGTGGTAGGTGCCCAGGGATACAATAGTGAACTTAATGAACAAACATTTCTTGTATTGGAGCTCACATTCTAGTAGGAGAGATAATAGTAAACATTGTAAAAAACCAGGATATGAAAGAAAGAATCAGGGAAATCTTACAATATAGTATTGTATATTTAGTATTTATGAGGCTTGTCAAATATATTTAGAAACTAATACATTTATCTTTATACCTTGATATCCTTAATACATTAATGCAGCTGTGTCCTCATATCAGTTATATTGAGAGAATCTTATGCATATTCTTCAGGTGAAGTTGAGAGTATTTCTGTTTTATTTTATGTGGTATTCACTTGTTTATTCATCATTGTTGATTCCATTAGGGACAGATCCAGGCTCTGTAACTCATCCATTGGCCTTTAAAGTATAAACCTGATGATGTTAGGGCATTTGTGCTAAAGGATCATCACTAAACTGTTGGGTAACTAAACTTGAAAGGTGCCTTAGAGTGTTTTAAGTCCAGCTGTTTATGACCTTGAAGAATTGTGTAATAATTTCTACTGTACAGCTCTAAGAGAGAATATTAAAATATTATACTTATATTTATTATGTTTGTACTTATTAAGTATCCAAGCAGTATAGAGCTCAATTTTTTTTTTTTTTTTTTTTTTTTTTTTTTTTTTTTTTTTTGAGACAGGGTTTCACCGTGGCTTTGGAGGCTGTCCTGGAACTAGCTCTTGTAGATCAGGCTGGTCTCGAACTCACAGAGATCTGCCTGCCTCTGCCTCCCTAGTACTGGGATTAAAGGCATGCACCATCACTGCCTGGCTTTAGAGCCCATTATGATCTAAGATTTCTGTTTACCTAGAAGTATGACCTATAGGAAGATGCTTTTTCCCCCCTTATACAAATGAGCTCTTCTGTATGTTTAGCATTGTTCTAGGTACTAGGAATTCATCAGTGAGCAAAATGGTCCCCACCATTCACTGAGCTTCCTACATTCATGTTGGGGAGATTCAGATAATCAGCAAATAATAAGGTAAATACAGTAATAAGAATAATATAAAAGCAGGGCAAGTTGAATGTGAAGTACTTTTTGGTGAAGTTGCTCCTGGAAAATCAGGAGAGACTCCATTAACAGAGGAGAGTTAAAGAGAACAGTTCAGCAAGTAAGGGAGTACACAGCTGTCTCAGGGAGAGCTTTTTTTTGGTTCTTCTGTCCCTTTTTCATTGCCGGTACCACTAGGCTAATTCACTTGGGTTTGGGGTAGAAAGCAGGTTTACCAGTAAGAGTGTAGATAGTGTAGAACTTACATATTTGAATGGCCAAATTATTTTTTTCTGAGTGAGATAAGAAGATTAGAAAATTTAGGAATAGGGGATGAGATAATCTTGAGTTTTAAATAATCTTACAGCATGAGGAGGAGCAGAACAAAAGCAGAGGACCAGTTAGGAGACTGTTACAATAAGTGCAAAGAGATGGTGACTTGAGCCTAAGCATTAGAAAATGGTTGGATTCTGAATGTTTCAAGAAAAGCTGTCAGGATTGTCTGATTATCTCTGAGACATGAAAGAGCAGTCAAAACTTTTGAGCGTTAGTAATGGAAAAGACAGACTTGCTGTTGATGAGGAATATTGTGTGTTGGGTTTGGGTAGAAATATCAGGTGTTGGTTAAGTCTTGTTTCAGAAAAATGGAAGACATTTAGTGCTGCCCATTTGGTCTTTGACCTTGGAGTCTGTGGTGCATCATTTTTGATTATTAAGCAAAGGTTTAAACCTGAATCATAAAAGAGTTTGATTTACTTGTTTAAAATGGGTAATTACAGTTACTGGTTTAACATAAAGAATTATACTTTATGCATATTAATAAAAATTACCTGTTTGTCTGCTTTAAAATTTTGATATGCAGTAAGGAAGAATGGTGGATTGGTTGTTGATGTAATGTTAGGCATTGTCTTAACTCTTAGTCATGTAGTAAAACTTGAGAAACAGCAGAGAATCTATCTAGGTCAAAGAACTACATAAATGACAGGAAAGATACAGCTCATAGCTATCTAGTATTTGGAGTTAATATTACTTTTCTTTATTTTTACTACCTTTTTTTTTTTTTAGGACTGAATTTATCTCCCTTACCCCAGTTGTCCTAGAAAATGATGAGAAAAATACCTTAATTGAAGTAACATGCTTGCTATGTGAAAAATAAATGTTTATGATATTAAAAATGTGAGTGGTAGTGGATTCTGATAGTTAAAAATTCATATTTGCTTACAGGTTTCAACATTACTTTTTTTTTTGCAAGAAACATGAAGAAAGTAGTTTTGGTGAAATTTGGTGTCTTCATGAAGGGTAGATACCTCTTTTAAATTATAGATTCATCTACTTCTAAAATGAAAGTTAGTAAGTTTTCACTCACTTTTAAAAGTTAAGGTTATTGTTTTAAACTGATTATCCAATTTTAAAGAATAGTCAATAGAATCTGTTAGATGGAAGTGAAAAATAGACTAAGATTACAAAAATGTAACGTTTTATTTTAGAACAAAAGAAATCTAAGGTAAATTTCTTGTGCTGTGAGTAACATGAGACTGATGACTTGTAACTTCCTCTGTAGAAGCAAAGGTCCTCTCTTATAAGCAAGTTTGTTTTGCTCTGTGAAACAAGATTTGACAAAATTTTGATTAAAATTCTTGAAAAGTTGATTGAATGGCTGAAACCTTTCTTTTCATTACTCTCTTTCTTGCTTTCATTCATTTATTCTTTTTTTCTTTTTTTTCTTTATTTTCTTTTTTTCTTTTTCTTTAGATCCAAAGGCAGAAACCAGGTTATATATCACAGTTAATGACTTTGAATTTCATGTCTACAATCGTTCGGATCTTTATGGTCGCCTTCAAGAGTTGTTTGGTTTGGAACCAACTATAATTCCAGCCAAGAAAGATGATGATAAAACACGGGAAAATGGAAGAACAAGAACTCAATCCAAAATTGAAAGGTTCAGTGTCAAATTTGAATTTTATTAATATCCAATATTTAAACTTTTTACTAGAATATCATCAACAGTGTTTACCTAAACAGGATCTAATCTGTTAGTTTTATATAGGTATATAATCCTTTAAAAATTAAAGTAATGCAAGATTAGTTTATATAAAAAGTGCCATCTCTTGTTGTCCATATTCATAGAGACTTATTAATTTGCCTTTTATCCTTTTAATACGTGTACATAAGTGTATATCATGTTTATATATTTGAAGTACACATGTAATTATTGTGTTCTTTGTGTTTCTGAAAAATCATGTGGCTTCAGGTTGTAATGTGACTTTCTTGCTTTTTTTGGTGGTGCTAGGTATTAAATCCAGGCTTTGCCCATTCTAAGTGAACACTGAGCTAATCCCCAACCTTGTGATCTGCTATTTATTTGAAAATATATGTTAAAATCTTTCTGTATCTGTATCCTTTAAATATATAACAATTTAACAAAGGAAATAGAATCAGCTCTAATTACCATAAAATATGTATCAGTATTACTTATCTATGTTTATATATGTTATTGGAAGGGCAAGAGACAGAATAGGAACATATAAATCAAAGGAAATCTATTATAGAAAGACAGAAGTATCTTTAAGAAGGTATTTATCAAATAACAGAGTCAGCACGATGTTCAATGCGTAGTAATTTTTATGAGTCTTAGAAAATAAGCAACAATTAGAAAGTGATTAGGAAATGAAATGACTCATATACCTTGTCCAGTGATGGCAGAGTTTCTGTCCCACCTGGTCCTGCAGCCGTTTAGTCCCAAATAAACACACAGAGGTTTATTATATTAATTATAAACTGTTTGGCTGATGGTTCAGGTTTCTTATTGGCTAGCTCTCTCTTAATTATTAACCCATTTCTATTAAACTATGTATTACCACAAGGCTGTGGCTTACCCATAATGCTCTGGCTTGTTACTCCTTAGGCAGCTACATGTGTCTCATTGGAGACTCACTCTCTGCGTTCCTCTTCTCAGACTTCTAATCTGCTAGCCCCGCCTATACTTCCTGCCTGGCTACATCCTGCCTGTCCATTGGCTGAAACAGCTTTATTCATCAACAAATAAGAGAAACTTACACACACACACACACACACACACACACACACACACACACACACACACACACACACATACACACACACAACACACATATATATACACACAGCCTACAGAAGGATATCCCCCATCAGTCTAGAGAAATTAAAGTTACTTAAATTAAAAAATTTTTAATTTTTTAATCAAGCTATTATTTTCAAATGAAGCTCATTTTAATTTTAAATTTTTTTTAATCAAGCTATTATTTTCAAATGAAGCTCATTTTAATTTTAAACTTACTTTTACGTTTTAGACACAGATCCTCTGTTTATTTATATTTTTTTATCTGAAAATTGTTCTATTGTATGAAATATTCAGCTTTTAAAAAAGGAAAATATTGTGATTTGCAGCAAAATGGATATTATGAAATAAGCCAGGCCTAGAAAGGTGAATATAGCATAATCTTGTTTATATGTGGAGTTAAAAAAAATTGAAATCAGCTGGGCTTGAGGACAAATGTGAGTTTGAGATCAGCTACATAGTAAGACAAGTAAAAAAAAAAAAAAAAAAAAAAGGAAGGAAACCAACAACACAGGTCTCCTCTCCCCCAATCTTAAACTCAAAGCAATAGAGTGGAATTGTGGTTACCAGGGGCCAGAGGTGATAAGGATTAATTTAATACTGGCTTTTATACTTTGATGGCATAAACCACCTGGCTGCTTAACTTTGTTGTATTATAGAGTGGGATGATATAATGGGTATCACAGTATAATAATGATATCATATTCTGCTCTAGAGTATTATTATGAAAAGATAGTTTTTCTTTATACCGTGTAAAAAAATAGTATAAAAAAGTACATGCCACAAGATACTTTTAGGGATATTACCATGTCTTCACATGGTTATTGTTGTGTTTACTTGAATACTCATTAGATGAATTTGGAAAATTAAGCTGGCATTAATGATGTGTGTTATGAGGAAGTTTAATTTTATACCCTTTAGATTTTCTTCATGTCAGTTTTATTTTTCTTATCAGAGTTAAAGTAAAAACAGAATCTCAAGACCCCACATCTTCATGGCGATCACTTATCCCAGTAATTAAGGTCAATGTGAGCACAGTAAGTAAATTATGTTTGAGTTAATGTTTGGCACATTAACCTATAGAACTTAGTATTTATTTTCTTTGCAAATACGAAGTCCATGTAAGAAGAGAAAACAATTTTCTGCACAATTAATTCCTATTTCTGTAGTGTGTGAATGAACTGTTTTAATACCAGCTTTGTATTTGGATGCTTATTAAACTTGAAGGACTATTTACAAGTCCCTAAGTTGCTCTAAGCTTATCTTTAGATTCCTTTAAATATTGGTTTAAATATTGATGATGATTGTAAGGAATGGTTTAAATGGCATATACAGCTATAATGGAATTAGTTGTTGCTTGAAAATGCTGGTTATTAGATCAGCTAAGAAAAAACAATGACTTGACTATGCTGGTATACTTAGTATTTCTTTTATGTTTTCAGGGACGTTTGGCCTTTGGGAATCATTACCAACCTCAGACTCTGTGCATCAACTTTGATGATGCTTTCTTAACTTATACTACAAAACCACCTTCAAGTCATCTTGACCAATTCATGCACATTGTGAAAGGAAAGCTTGAAAATGTTCGCGTCATGCTTGTTCCTAGTCCAAGATATGTTGGTCTACAAAATGATGAGTAAGAAAACATCATAAAAATAGTAGCTTCTTTGTAGCTAATAGAAATATCAGCTGTAGCATTCTCATTTCTATGGTGGAAGTTGTATAGCAATCACATATATATTTTCAGTCTGTTAAAGCCTTTGTGCTAAAAGTGATAGATATACTTTTCAACGTGTTTCTATATGATTATAATGATAATTTTTTAAACCCTCTTCTCACTTATTTTGGCTGAAATTAAGCTCTGATATTATGTTAGGGCATGCCCATTAAAGGTGAATCTTTCTATCTAGAAGGCTAGTATAAGTAATAAGTTGAAGGGTTTGATTACAGTGGAATTAGTGAAAGTTGAAAGTTGACTAAACTTTCTCTTGGGAAAATTGGTTAAGTTAGAGTGATTTAATTACTTGATTTTTCTTTTAGCTCCAAAGAGTTTTCTTATCTAGCATTCCAACTTTTCCCTTGTGCTGAAATAGCAGTTTTATTTGGAAGATATGTTACATTAGACTCACCAATATGGTGAGATGCTTATGCAAGAATGGATCAGGCCCTGATGAGACAACTCCTTATTAACTCTTGCCAGACACCAGGTTACATATTTTTTGGAATAACAGTTCCCAATCTTTATGTTTTCTTAGTCTCTTTATGATAAAAACTCTTGCTGAAGATGTATAATTTTAAGTATATACATAGAAAATCTCTATTGTAATGTTCCAGCTTTTTCTTGTATCGGAAATGTAAGTTTTTTTGAGACTATGGTAAGCAAATTTTAACTCCTGGCTGACATGCCGCTAAAATTTCCAGGATTGGCTAGAATAGTGGAGAGGGTTTCCTCTATATCGGTTCTAAGTGGCTGCATATCTATTTAGCCTTACTCTTTGATAGCCTAGACTTGATTAAAGATTTTCTGGAATTTGGCAGATGAACACAATTCTGTATTTATAGGTAAAAGTGAAGTGAGTAGAACTGCAGTTTTAAATAACCAAAGAGTAAGATGAAACAGTGTTCTCCTATTTTAATATTCTATATAACATTATTTTAAATTGTATTTTTCAAAACTGTGGATATTGGGTATGGTGGCCCATGACTTTTATCCCAGCACTTAGGAGCTAGAGGGAGGAGGATAAAGAGTTCAAGGTGAGATTTGGCTACACAGTGAGTTTCAGGCCATAGGCTACATAAAATTACATTTTTTTTCTAATTTTTTTAAAGCAGATTGGTTCAATTTTTATCATTTAAAACGTATTTAGAAGAAAATTATTACATTTTATATGCTTTTATCTAATAAGATATATTTTTATGTAGTATATGGCAGTGCTATAGTATGTGGCAGAGAAGTTGTTAACTAAAGAGTAAGGAGAAACAAATTAGAGAAATATTCTTGTCAGAGTTTAAGTTCAGGATGTTTGCTTTACATTTATTTTAAGTTAATCAGCAAAATATTCTTGGAGAAAATGTAAATTGTTACAGATAAAAATGGCAATTCTTTTATTGTTTCTGAAAGGTTATACTTTATTATGCTGGTAGATTAAATATTACTGAGGGCTACAATGGTATTAATGGAAATCATTTAAATTTTGTCATAAAGCAAAGTATGATTATTATATTTCAATAACTATTGTTATATTTAACCTCTGTTTTAAATAGATTTATCTCATTCAAAACCTAAAATGAGGACTTTTTTCTTCCTGAACTAATTTACCAATAAATTTTCAGGGTCATTTTATCATTTAACCTGATGTAATACACAACTAGAGTAACTTGTTACATTTGTTATAGTGTTTGTGTGAAAGATGTTCTTTATTTTTTTTTAGATACAACCTGTCATGTGCTTTGTAGTTTCTTTTTTCCCCTTTTCCTCTTCACTCTTAATTACTGTTCACTAGAGTGCTGAGCATTTTGTAGTCTAAGATGTATTTATTATGTCTCATATTTGTTCTCCTAGACCACCAAGACTAATGGGAGAAGGTTTTGTGGTGATGCAGTCAAATGATGTTGACATCTACTATTACATGGATGAGCCAGGTATGTCCTTTTTTGAAAATATATCTCATAGAAATGGTTCTGTTTCTTCTATGAAATGCTGTTGTATCCATATTTAAATCTTCTGAAAGTTAGCATCAGTAAGTATTAAATGTGATTATGAGAATGTCAAATTTAAGAAAAAAGGTGTCATGTCTTAAGAGTTGAGTATTACAGTTTTATAGACTAATCTTTTCTACAAATTGCGTTTCATAGATGTGCTTCGAAAATTGAGGATGCAAATAACCCTAAGAAAACCCCATAGGGAATGTGTAACAGGGTAGTTTGTCTTAACTTAGAAGGGAAAAATGAAAATTTGTTACACTTGAACTTCAAAACTTAAAAATTAAGACTTAGCTACTTTCAGTGTTTGATAGATGGCTTCCATTTGAGAAAATTTCCTAACGTTGGATTGTTTCAGCTCTTTTATCATTCTTCTGTTCTTTTTGCATCACAGTGGTTTGTGTGGTCACAGTATTTTTAGTATAGGAACAGGATTTTACCTGCCTTTTTGTCATGGCATTGTTGAAGCAATGGTATTTAGAAGTCATTGCCACACATTTGTGGTTTAACAGAAAAATCTCAAAAGAATTCCTTGATGAAACCATAAAAATTACCAGTTTTATCACTTTTGAGCCATAAGTAGAGTCTTTGTACTTGGAATGATGAACTGGGAGGGAAGTGCTGCAAGCTAGAGTGCTCCAGGGAGTTTAGTAAATACACTTACTTGATTGAGTCTCAAATCTATTTACTTTTTTTCATGGAACATTAACTTTACTTGAAGACAAACCATATAGTTTTTTCATGTGAAAATTGGGATTTTGGAAACTTTGGTGCTGTTTGACAACATCTAAATATTAACAGCTTTTCTAATGAAACTGTTAGTGACATTAAAGTGGTTTTAGGAAAAGTTTAATAATAAATTTGCCAATATTCATAAAAACGAACATGATTCAGTGAATCACTTTTTTCCAAATGACCAGTACATAATATTATAGAGTCATGCATGGATAAAAGGTTTATTCAGAATACAAGAGAGAGCAGTAGATTTTTAATATGAGAGAGTTTTGAAGAGTAGTGGGTTTCAGGGTCTACACTGTAGTCTTTTAGATGTGCCACTTGTAGAATTTTGCTCTAGTATCAGAGAATATCATCCAACTTTATCTATGAAAAGACATGTCTCATCCTTTTCCATCTATACCTGAGGTCAGACTACTTCAGAGCCTTTTAACAATAGGTAAGTGCAGAGCATCTATGAGACTCTACTTCTTTTCTGTTTGACTGAACACTGATACCTGTTGTTGTAAAGAGCAATACAAACACTTCTCACTAAGTTGTTTTGGAAAATGTAGTTGGTTTTTTAATTTTTTTCTTGAGATGAAAACTTAGTTTAATTTTCATTAATTTTTTATTTTATACTTTTTTGAAAGTTATTCCTTGCGTAAGTAAATAGTAAGTTTATTGTTTAAATAAAACCTTTTTAAAATCATGGCATTTAAATTTGAGTATAGTAATTTGATATGTAACATACAAACAAAACAAAAAACACCAATCTCTTTGGGACTCTTAAATTTTTAAGTGCAAGGTTACCTGAGACTAAACTGTTTGAACTGCTAATCTAAGGATGCTTCTTAATGGTGGTTTTAGCTAATTCCTTTTCTATATTTTGGAATGTAGGACTTGTTCCAGAAGAAACAGAAGAGAGTATAGAAGGAGAAATAAGCAGTGAAGATTGCAAATTACAAGACTTACCTCCATGCTGGGGACTAGATATCGTTTGTGGTAAAGGAACAGATTTTAATTATGGACCCTGGGCTGACAGGCAGAGGTACTTGAGTGGATTATATTTCTAGCAGTCTTTCTGGTGGATTGAGATTTAATTTTTATTGAATACTAGCTTAATATTTAAAAATATTTTTTATTACTTTTAATTATGTGTATTCATGTGTGCCAGTATTCTTATGTATCCATATGTATTCATGTACGTGCATTTGAGCTCAGGCACCCATGGAGGCCAGAGGATCTCTTGGAGCTAGGGTTACAGTCAGTTGTGAGATGCCTGGTGTGGGTGCCAAGAGCCAAACTCAGGTCCCCTGGTAGAGCAGCAAAGGCGTTTAACAGCTAGCTGAGTCATCACTCTAGTCCCCATTGTTTAATTTTTGTCAACTATTACATTGTGGCAAAGTAAGTTTTCACTAAACATTTTGATCCAGATAGTAACTTGTATATGGAGAAACTGTAAGCAAACTCCAGTGAGCAGCCTACTTATTGGTTCCTTTGTTTTATTTTTGTATTTAATTGATGATTTATTTACTGAGCCATCAGGGAAATGCAACTCAAAACAACTCTGAGATACCATCTTACTTCTGTTAGAATGGCTAAAATCAATAACACCAATGACTGACTATGCTGGAGAGGATGTGGAGAAAGAGGAACTCTCCTCCATTGCTGGTGGGCGTGCAAACTTGTACAACCACTTTGGAAATCAGTATGGCGGTTTCTCAGGAAAATGGCAATCAGTCTACCTCAAGATCCAGCAATTCCTCTCTTGGGCATATACCCAAGGAATGCACTCTAATCCTGAATGCACACTCATACAATGAGGACATATGTTCAACTATGTTCATAGCAGCATTATTGGTAATAGCCAGAACCTGGAAGTAACCTAGATGCCCCTCAACTGAAGAATGGATAGAGAAAATGTGGTACATTTACACAGTGGAGTACTACTCAGGGGAAAAAAAACAATGGAATCTTGAAATCCGGCCATTTTGGATTCCTCTGTTGAGAATTCTCTATTTAGTTCTGCACTCCCACTTTTAATTGCATTGTTTGGTGTTTTGGTGGCTAGCTTCTTGAGTTCATTGTATATTTTGGTGATCTGTCAGATGTGGGGTTGGTGAATATCTTTTCCTATTTTGTGGGCTGCCATTTTGTCTTGCTGACTGTGTTCTTTGCCTTATAGAAGCTTCTCAGTATCAGGAGGTCCCATTTATTAATTGTGAATCTCAATATTTGTGCTACTGGTGTTATGTTCAGAAAGTGGTCTCCTGTACCAATTTGTTTGAGGGTACCACCTACCTTCTCTGATGTTTCTGTCTGATGGTCCTGTCTGGTGGTGAGAGTTGGGTGTTGAAGTTTCTCACTGTAAGTGTGTGGTGTTTAATGTGTGATTTGAGTTTTAGTAGTATTTTCTTTACGAATGTGTGTACCTTTGTATTTGTGCATAGATGTTCAGAATTGAGACTTGATCTTGATGGATTTTTCCTGTGATGAATATGAAATGACCTTCTTCATCTCTTGTGATTGATTTTAGTTTGAAGTCTAATTTGTTAGATATTAGGATAGCTACACCAGTTTGCTTCTTAGAGCTACTTGATTGGAAAATCTTTTCCCAGCCTTTGACTCTGAGGTAACGTCTGTCTTTGAAGTTGAGGTGTGTTTCTTATATGCAGCAAAAGGATGGATTCTGTCTTCATATCATTCTGTTAGCCTGTGTCTTTTTATAGTTAAGACCATTTATATTGAGGGATACTAATGACCATTGATTATTTTTTCTTGTTTGTTTTGGATTTGCTTTTGTTGGTGGTATTGTGTGAGTTTTTCCTCTATTTCTGGCTTTTGGTAAAGTGAGATTACCTATTGCCTATGTTTTTCTTAGTGTAGTTGACTTCCTTGGGTTGGAGTTTTCCTTCCAGAACTTTCTGTAGGGCTGGATTGTGGATATGTATTGTATAAATCTGGTTTTGTCATGGAATATCTTATGCTCTCCATCTATTGTGATTGAGAGTTTTGCTGGGTATGGTAGTCTGGGCTGGCATCCATCATCTCTTAGTGTTTGTAGAACATCTATACAGGACCTCCTGGCTTTCAAGGTTTCTATGGAGAAGTCGGGTGTAATTCTGATAGGTTTGCTTGTTACTTGTTACTTGGCCTTTTTTCTTAGCTGCTCTTAATATTCTTTCTTTATTCTGTATTTTTGGTGTTTTATTATGTGATGAGGGGACTTTTTTTTGGTCCAGTCTATTTGGTGTTTGGTAAGCTTCTTGCACTTTCATAGGCATGTCCTTTTTCAGGTTAGGAAAGTTTTCTTCTATGATTTTGTTGAATATGCTTTCTGCACCTTTGAGCTTGGCTTCCTTACCTGCTTCTATACCTATTATTCTTAGGTTTTGTCTTTTCATGGTGTCCCACATTACCTGGATATTTTGTGTTAAGGATTTGTTGGATTTAAGATTTTCTTTGGTCGATGAATCATTTCCTCCAGTTTATCTTCAGCACCTGAGATTCTCTCTTCCATCTCTTGTATTCTGTTGGTTATGCTTGCATCTGTAGTTCCTGATCATTTACCCTTCTTTTCTATTTCTAGCATTCCCTCAGTTTGTGTTTTCTTTATTGTCTCTATTTTATTTCAGTTTTCAGGTCTTGATATTTCCTTCATCTGTTTGATTGTTTTTTCTTGGCTTCCTTGCTTTCTTTAAGAGATTCATTGATTTCTTGCATTTTTTTTTTTGGTTTGCTTTTTAAGGGATTTTCTCATATCTTCTTTGAGGGCCTCTATTATTTTCGTGAAGCTGTTTTTAGGGCCATTCTCTTCTGTTTTGGGATTTTCAGGTCTTGGTTGTGTAGAGTCTCTAGACTCTGGTGATGTCATGTAAGTCTTTCTGTTGTTGGATGTGTTCTTATACTGTTGTCTTCCTATCTCTTCTTCCAGTGGGTATAGGTGGGGTCTCTCCCTCTTCTGGTAGGTATGGGTTCAAGGGTGTATACTCTCCTCTTGTTCCTTCACTTGCTTGCTCTCTCTACCAGAGGGTGGAGGAGGAAGGCAGTGATGATAGCTGATGCTGGCTGCTTTGTACTGCCTCTAGGTCCTTCTGCAGGATTCGGTGGCAGGAAGGGTATGATGGCCTCTGTAGGTCAGGGGACTCAAAGAGCCACATCTTATATTCTTATCCCACCCATCTCCCCAGCTCCTCATATCTACCCTCTGCCCTTGTACCCTCACCCCAAAACAAAACCAAATTTAAAAGAAAAACTCAAAACCAGACAAAACAAAGAAATAAAACAAAACAAAAAGGAGAAGACTCTTGTCATGGAAGCAGTAGTGTGGTCTGATGAGTCACACAGTTTACCCTTTAGACTTTTTATCTTTACTTGCAAGTGTTCATTGCTAGTAAATGCTTGAGTCATTAGTCTGGCTCAAGGCCTCTGATATCTGCTATCCCACTGATAGTGTGCTCCCACTGGGGCTCCTCTTGGATATCCTGTTGTTGTCCTGTGTTGTGGAGATCCTGTTGTTTTGAATCAGTAGATTCGTCCCATCACATGCTCCAGCAGTTCATAGATAATGTGGATGGTAGGGTGGGCCAACTCATAATGCTGGGTCTGGCCTTGGGTTGTAGTTGTGTTGGTCAGCTCGCTAGCTTTCCCTCATTGTCACTACCTGGCAAGCTGTCCAGCACTGCCTTGGCTAGCTCACCCAATGCAGCAAGGAGCAGGGCCAGTTCTCCTGTTCTCAAGTTCCTCATATTCAGCTCACCCACACTCATACCACCAGGGCCAGCTCTACTGTTTTGCCCAGGAGAGGTGCAGGGTCCTCTCTCTCAAGTGTTTTAGGGGGCACACAAGGGGCAGGATCATCTCTCCTGCTCTCATACCCTTAGGATCAGCTCTGATATGCTTGCCAGGTAGAATGAATGACTGGTGAGGGGTGTGGCCATCTTTTCCTGGGGAGGGGGTAGCTCTCCCCTGAGGGGTATAGCCAGGTATCTTACTCTAGTATCCAGTCATGAAGTGTGATCCTAATGGGTCTTATCATTAAAAACCAGGAATCAGATATCGGGGTAAAAGCTGAAAGATTCAAGAAGCAAAGGAACAGCTACAGTCACTTCTTACCTCTCTGCAACCTCAGACCGAAAGGGCTGAGATCCTGTCTCGGAGTTTTTAGTGATAAGACCAATTAGGATTATGCTTCATCTGGAGCCTAGAGGGACAGGGCCAGTCATCCTAGTGCCAGTGAAGGGTGGGGCTGGCTCAACACAGTATGGTTACAATGACCTCCTGTGCTAACTTGGGCCATGGACATTATTACAGACCTCAGCTAGAGCAGGACTATAGACCCAGACATGGCCCTGAGCAGCAACTTGTACCCAGATGTCACTATGACCTTGGTGACAGCACATGCCATCTAGATTAGTATTGCCTTTGTGGCAGCATGGCTTTCGGGCACCAACATGGTCTCAGGTCGCTGACCAGACCTTGGGCATCTGTAGAGCCGTCAGTGGTAACAGAAGTCATGGACATTACCCCAGACCCCAGTTGCTACAGGGCCATGGACCCAGACATGGCCCTAGACAGTGACTTAGGCGCACATGCCTCAGTGGCTCCAGTTGGCAGCACCAGCCACCCAGTTCCGTTTGGCCCTGGCATGGTCCTAGGACACCAACATAGTTTAAGGTAGCTGACCAGACTCCATTCATCTGCATGGCCCTCAGTTATAACAGGAGCCATGGACATCAACTCAGACCCTGTCTGCATAGGGCCACAGGCTCAGACATGGCCTTCAGCAGCAGCTCTGGCCCAGACAACACCATGGCCATAGGTGATAGTGCAGAAAACATGATCCTTGGACACCCTCTTGGACACTAGTTACGGCCAAGACCCCAGACATTTGTGTGGTCTTTGGTGGTAACATGGGCCATGGACAGCAATACAGACTCCAGCTATGGTAGGACCACAGACCCAGATATAGTCCTTGCCAGCAGCCTGGACCAGGATGTCACCATGGCCCCAGGTAGCCTTGCAGGCCACTCAGATACCAACATGCTCTCAGGTGGCAGCCCACACAACACAACCCTCAGTGGTGGCAGGAGCCACAGACATCAACACAGTTCCCCTTCACAGCTGCTTCAGGGCCTCAGACCAAACCTGGCCTTTGGCAATAGCCCAAGCCCAGATATCACTTGGATTTGGGTGGCTAATAGGCCATTTGTGTCAGCCTGTTCCTTACCACCCTCACCCTTTCAGATCTACCTCTAACCACAGCCCATTGAACCATTCTACCTTTCTTGCTTCCATTTCCCCACCCTGTACTCACCATAATGATGCCCATTCACCCTGTGCCAGGACTCTTGGTTGGGTTACAGGTAGTGCTTGGTTGAGTCTTGTCTGTTCCAGCCACAAGTCATGGCATGGAGCTGTTGCTTTTCTTCTTTCACATGTCCAGGTCTAGAACCCTCAGACAGTGCTTGGTATGATGGTGCCCAACCAAAAAGTGTCAGGGAAGCCATTGGTGTTCTGGTTGAGCAGTTCCTGCTTGATTGTTCAGTATGTTCTTTTAATGTTAGCATTTCAGGTATATTTAAATAACATGTCCCAGTAAGTCATTGTTTAACAGTTGTTCAAAAACTGGAATAAATTTTTTGAAAACCCTTGAAATACGCTATTACAATTACTAAGTTCTATGTTAGATTATTTATTAAACTTGAATGTCAATGGAGCTCAAAATTTCAGGTTATAAAGCAGACTCTATGTTACTAGATTTTAATTTTCCTTTTATAGTAATTTTTTTTCTTTTTTGGTTTAATGATGCTGTAGTCACTGTCATATCAGTTGAAAATGAGAGGTTTATATTAAGTAATGAGCTATTTGAACTGTCTTTAGAAATCTTAGGAGAAATTAGCCTTTTCAGGGGGTTCCTGGTGAACAGTTATATTAAAAAGAAAACATGAAATGTTTTTGTACTTTTTTAGTTGAATAAAGCACAATTCTTAAATTATATTTAATCTTGCTACACTTAAAAGTGTCAGTACATATTTGCTCAAAAGCCCAAGTTAAATTTTTATAAGTTTTTGTTTTTTTGAGACAGCATCTCTCTACATATCCTTGGCTGTGCTCCTGGACCTCACTATGTAGACCAGATTGGCCTCATACTTAAAAAGATCCACCTGTGTATTCCTGAGTACTGGGATTACAGGTGTGTGACACCACGCCCAGCACAAAAATTCATGTTAGAGACTGACCAATCAGTATTATTTAGAGAAAAATGACTGACTTAATGCAATAGAATGTCACTTTCACAACCCTCTCTAGTACGCTTTCCCCTGCTGAGAGAGAACTGCAGTGTATTTTTCATTTAGACTCAGAGCTCATTAAATCACAATGTTTACTTTCCAGTGTGCTTTGTTCATGTGGGTAGTGTGTGTTTCCCTACTCTGATGGAAAGATGGATGTGTGATGTGGGGAAAGTATTGAAACCTCAGCAGTAAGAGCCTGGGTTCATCAACCATTCCTATCCAGCGTTCTTTCATTATAGTTCATTGCCTGTACCTCTAGGTATGCTGTATTTTTTGTCTTGCTGTAATATGTTTTGAGTCTCAGAATATTTGCAGAATTTCTTTTGTGTCTTTTCATGTAATGATGGCAAATTGAACTCTGTGAATCACAGTTTCCAGATTTGTTCTGTTCATCTACTTTTTCCCAAGTATCTTATTTTAAGTAGTCTCTGAACACTATACTAATGTTGGCTCACATAGAAGACTCTTAAGTTGAACATTTCTTAAGTTCTTTCATCCTTGTCAAATAATATAGGGAGACATACACTAGGCTCAGCAACTAAATACTTGTTTACTTTTTAGAATATATTGCTCTTTGTCCTTTTGTTGATATTATGTTGATTAAAAGTGATTGTGGGGAATTAGAGAGATGGTTTGGTAGTTAAGAGCACTGGATAGTCTTGAAGAGGACTTGACATTATCAGCACCCATGTGATGGTTTAGAACTGTTGATAACTCTTGTCTCAGGAGATCTTATATCCTTTTTATCCCCCAGACACATACATATCCATGAAGTGCACAGATACTTGTTCAGGCAAAATGCCTGTACACATAAATAAAAATAAAGGTTAATTTTTTGAGTGACTGTGAAAATAATGCAAAATTCTTCCATGTGTCACACACACTTAACTATTTTTATTTAATCATCAGTGCCACTTTGTGAAATAAGTTATTCTTATAGACAAGGAGGCTGATCAGGTTTCCTCAGAAAAATTAATTCACTTGCTTAGGGAGAAATGATGAACTAAGGTATCTTCTTTCAGTTCTTGATCATTAGCACAATTGATGTGCTTGTAGCATGTTTTTACAGCTCACATACAGCTCAGATTGTAGTCTGCCCATGTCTCACTCGGTAATGAGATAGCAATGATTTTGGTCCCTTACCAAAGAAGATTGTGCTTGACTAACAGCCATTACTCCTTTTCCTTGTTGTGTAGAGATTGTTTATGGAAGTTTTTCTTTCCACCTGATTATCAAGTTCTGAAAGTTTCTGAGATTGCACAGCCTGGAAGACCAAGACAGATCCTTGCATTTGAACTACGGATGAATATTATTGCAGATGCTACCATTGACTTGCTGTTTACTAAAAACAGGGTACTTATTACAATATAGTAGAAAATAGTATTTAAAATTTGAAAATTACTTCTCAGAGTATTTTTGGGGTTATAATTCTATGCTTAGCTTAATTTCTCTGAGCTCCCCATACTTCCTTAAATAATTTTGTGCATTTTATGTTTATAATATTTTATTAAATGCCAAATGATGGAAAGAAATTAATAATGATAGTAATAACAATGGACTTTTAAGTTACTTTCTGGTTTCTCCTTTGTATTTTGTTAAGTAGTTCTAGTACAATTTGGGTATAAATTTGAACCTTAGTTTTTCTAAATTTTTAATACTTCAAATTATTAATTATATTTCTTTGATATTTAAAAGTAAAATGATAGGAATATAAGTACATAATTTCATGTAAATTAATCTTATTCTTTTGTTAGGAAACAAATGCTGTACATGTAAATGTAGGGGCTGGCTCATATTTAGAAATTAATATTCCAATGACAGTTGAAGAAAATGGTAAGTTATTATTTTGCCTGAAATAATTAGTGACATGATTAATATGCTAATATAGTTTGTTAGTCCTTTCAGATTAACATTAGTAACATTTTTAATTTCTTAACTTTTAGTTTAAATATAGTTTTTTACTGATAACATAAAAAGTGTACCTATTTATGGGGTGCTATGTGATGTTTGAACCCATGTATATAGACTTACAATGTTCAAAGTAAATGTGTTTCTACATCTATAACTTCTTTGTGGTAAAAGAATTTAAAATTCTTTTGTTTAGCTTTGCAGTTATTTAATTTTCTTTTTTTGAGGTAGCGTCTCACTATTTAGCCCATGCTGACCAAGGATTTACTATGTTGAGTAGGCTTGTCTCCAAGCCTTGTCTTGAGATACTCTTGCCTTAGACCTGCAAGTGCTGTTATCACAGGTGCGAACCACCATGCTGACAAGCTTTCTTGAGCTTTTTGAAGTATACAATATATTCTCATTATCTTTGAGTCAGCCTGAAATTCCTGTCTATACTTTTGTAGTCATTGTTCACCCACTCCCAACTCTTCCTTTCTCTTTATTCTCCCTAGTCTTGAGTAACTGCCATTCTACTGTCAATTGATTTAAGCTCAGTATTTACTTTTTTCTTTTTTTAAGTTGCATGCATTAATGAGATCACATCTATTTTTGTGTCTTGCTTATTTTACTTGACATCATTACTTTCATTTTGAGCCATTTTGCCACAGATGATAGGATTTCATCTTTTTTTTAATGGCTACATTTCTATTTCACATATTATCACATTTTTTTGTCCATTCATCTGTTGGTAGATATTATACTTAATTTGTTTTCATCTCTTGACTTTTCTGAATGGTGCTTCATTGAACATGGGCACTGAGATGACTCTTTGGCATACATATTTCATTGTCTTTGGAGATATACCCAATAATAGGGTTGTTGGATCATATGATGGTTCTGTTTGTAATTTTTTTTTGAAGTACCCATAAGCAGATGAGAACCTAGTTTTAAGCTTTAATGTACCTGCAATTTAAGTTTAATAACATAACTATTTATCTAGAGAAGAACAATTTTTGACTTGTTAGGTGTTGTAATTCTGTATTTTTATTACATTGTGCACATTTCTTTTAGGACTAAATATAATTTGCTTAATATTTTTCTAGTTAGATTTTCATACTGTGAGAGTAGATGCTGTATTATTCACAGGTCTAGTACTGACCTCAGCTCCTGGGATTTGAACAGTACTTATTTGATAAATAGGCTTTAAATTTTGGGGGTATAATGTTAATAGATTTTTTTTCATAGAATAATGGGTACTTAGAACAGTGTAACTGAGAAAGAAAAACAATAGTGCATATTTAAAATATTAAATAATTCTCTTACAGCTACAGTTTTAACTGAGCTACTATAATTCATTGCATGTTTGAAATTTGGGCAATTAATCAATAACATGAATAAATGCTTTTGGTTAAATTTCGATTTTTTTATTCCCATCTTAGTGACTGAGGAGAGTTAAGATGAAATTGTGGTATACTTAGTCACTTTCTTGAGAGTAAAGAGAATAGCAATAAACTCTTATTATTTTAAGATCATTAAATGGCAATGATAGTATGAATAACTGCTATTCATTTTATTTATTCATATTTTATTTTATTTAGCTCTCCTATCTTGTTTCTGTCACCTATATTGGTGCTACTATATAAAGAGAGAAAGAGAGGTTGACTTGTTTCTTATATTTACATAAAAGCTACAGAATTTGGGCTTTCCTGTTTAAATAATCCATTAAAACAATGACTAAGGATGGCATAATATATACCTCTGCGCAACTCTAGGTCCTTTGTTTTGAGAAGAACTAGCCATTATATTAGCTAGCTTTAAAATAACAATCATGTGAGGCCAAGAAAGAGAGAGCTGAGATTCTCTAGCACTGTCTGATTCATAGGAGTTATTTGGTAAGAAAAGTCTGTTAAAATACCTTCATTACAGTATATCACAGTGCAGAAAGGAAGTTGGAGGTTGTACAAAATTAATAATGGTTCAAATATGGAAATGCTTCCTTTTAAATTGATATTTCAGGGGCTGGAGAGATGGCTCTGCAATTAAAAGCGCTTCACTTGTTGTTCCTGTTTTGGTTCCCAGCATCACATGGTGGCTTAAAAGCATCTATAACACTCCTCTGGCTATATACACATGAGGGCACTATATACACATGAGGTGCACATACATACAGACAGGCAAAGTACTTCCAAAAAAATCTTTACGTTGATAATTGTCTTAGTTAGAATTTCTGTTGCTGCAATGAAACACTACGACTAGAAAGCAAGTTGGGGAGGAAAGGGTTTATTTGCTTTCATTTAGATATTGCTAAGAAAGTCAGGACAGGAACTCAAACAGGGCAGGAACCTGGAGGCAGGAGCTGAGGCAGAGGTCTTGGAGGGATGTTGCTTACTGGCTTGCTCCCTGTAGTTTTCTCAGCCAAAGCAGGACCCAGGACCACCAGCCTATGGATGGCACTACTCACTGTGGTCTGGGCCCTCCCCCATCAGTCACTAATTAAGAAAATGCTTTACAGCTGGATCTTATGGAGGCATTTTCTCAATTGGGTTTCTATCCTTTCAGATAACTTTAGCCTGCGTCAAGTTGACTTAAGAATAACCTGCACGGAGGATCTCTGTGTGTTTGAGACCAGCCTGGTCTATAAGAGCTGGTTCCAGGACAGCCTCCAAAGCCACAGAGAAACCCTGTCTCAAAAAAAAAAAAGAAAGAAAGAGAGGGGGGGAAATGGAGGGAGGGAGGAAGGGAGGAAGGAAGGAAGGAAGGAAGGAAGGAAGGAAGGAAGGAAGGAAAAACTGTTGCATTTTGAGATTACTCAGGTATATCTGGAAAACACTGTAACTACAAAGAAATTGGAAATATCAAAGAAAAATTAAAATTAAAGCATCTCTTGGTTGGGCAAACTGGAAACGACACATTATTTAATAAGCTCATCTGACTCCAAGCAGAAATCCCAATAATCTTACATATTACTTGCTAAGCATCACAGCTTTAAATGCAAATGTCATGGGGGTGCTTCAATAATATCCCTACTAAACATGAAAGTACAGGCCTAGGGCAGCTGTGAGGGCATAAAAACAGCACCAAATGTCAAGCATAGTGATGTATGCCTGCAATTCCAGTGCTTTAGAGGCTAGGGCAGGAGAAACAGAAGTTCAAGGCTTGCTGGGAAAGCACAAGACTCTAAAAAATTGGGGGGAATGGGAGGACGTGAGGGAGAAGGAATTGGGATTGGTATGTAAAATAAGATTGTTTTTAATTTAAATAAAAATTAATTTAAAAAATAAAATAAGACTCTAAAACATTAATAAAAAAAAAAAAAAAAAGAATAACCTGCACAATAATGCACATAGTAAACATCCTTATGCCATGTTACAGTGCATAACAGTTGTACAAATATTGGTTCACTGAGGACTGCAGAATCAGTATACCCATATGGTAGAAAGAGAGAACCAATTCTCACAGGTTACCCTCTGACCTCCACATAGACATACCCAAATGAATAAAATGTAATAAAAATTGTCAAAAGAATTTGTTGGTTTTTAAGATCACTCTATGGAGCTATGAATGGCATCATGAAAAAACAACACATGACTCCAAACACAGAAGCCTAAAATATGTTTTAAATTCAGGTGTTATAGTAATGGAAAAGAAAACCTAATAGCAGCATGAGTGGTAGACTACCTATAAAACTTTTTGAAAAGTAGCATACAGCTAGTGTTCTTTGAAAAAGAACATTAAGAAAGGATATGACTTTTTACACTTTCCTGCTTGTGCTGAGAGTGGCCTTTATTGATGTGAAAGTGTCATTATAGGAGAAATAGACGATATTTAGCAACTATCCTTATATAGGGAGTAGTTGAAAAAGATGATGAAAAAATATATACTTCAGTCAATAGATAAAGAAAAAGTATGGGGCCTGTGTTAATATTTGAAATGTGTTGCTTAAAGACTAAACATTTGTAACTAAACCTCATATCCATAGACTTTGCATCCATATCAGGCAACTGCAATATGGAAATGTTTAAGTAAAGTTGAGTTTGTACTATATACTTTTTTCCTTGTAATTCTCTAAACATTACTGTTTAATGCTAGTTACAAAGTGTTTACATTGTATTAAATATTAATTATAAGTGATGTGGGATAATTTGGCAAATGTGGAGAATGTATGAAATAATGTGAAATACTTTGACATTTCACATAGAGGTCTTGAGCATCATAGATTTTGGTTTAAGTGTGGGATCTTGAAACCATCTCATATGGATACTGAGAGCCCACTGTGGGTTCACATTCAAGCAAACCAGAGTAGATATTATATGGTGATGATGTTTACTCAGAGCTGTCTGATCTGAGTAGGATCTCTTGTTACGTTAGCAAGCTCTCTTTCACTGAAGTATACTCAAGCTGTTTCCCAGGGATTTCTTTTTTGAGTCGGTTCTACTACACAAATTATAATTGTATAGCTTTTACTCTAGTTCTTAAATTTTATATTTTTATTTACTAGGTTACACCCCTGCAATTAAAGGACAACTATTACATGTTGATGCTACTACCAGCATGCAATATCGGACCCTTTTAGAAGCAGAAATGTTAGCAGTAAGTCTAAATATATGATATGCATTCTTTTAGTAGATACAGATTTGGTTTTAATTTTCCAATGTAAAATTTAAAAAATTATTATGTTTTCTTATTAAAGAACTGCAAAGTAGGTACTCTAGTTATATCATACTTGGGAAGAGATTCTTAATGCTGTATACTGCCTTTGTCATTTCTTTATTACTCTGTTCTTTCTTTCTCTTTTCTTCTTCTTTTTTTTTTTTTTTTTTTTTTTTTTTTTTTTTTTTGAGACAGGATTTTTCTGTGTTAACAGCCCAGGCAATCCTGGAACTTGCTTTGTAGACCAGGCTGTCCTGGAACTCACAAAAATCCACCTGCCTCAGCCTCCTAAATGTTGGGATTAAAGGTGTGGGCCAGCCCTTCTACCCCCTATCCCCACTTCCCTACCCACACCCACACCCACCCCCTGGCTTATTGCTCTAATTCTAATATGTAGGAAGTAAGTACAAGGCCCCAAAAGTTGTTAGAATGTTATTTTTAAACTTCATTTATTTCTCTTAAATTATAAGTACGGTACACTTTGAGTATATGTTCTGGCCCTTTTGGATTTTCTCTCAGGGCTTGACTAATTTTATCCTTTGTGCAAGTCAGTGACTAAAGTTTAAAGGAAGAAAATTTTGAGGTACCTTGGATTGTTTGGTAGTACCCACAGTTTAAATTTCAGATTACGATACTCATTAATCTGGCACTTAAAAAAAAAAAGCAGTAACAACAAAAACCCACTATGTAGAATTCACTGATGACTCATTTATATAAGGTCATGTCATAAGGTTCTTAATTACTTGTCTTAAGTCATCTACAAGTAAGTTAAGAAAATTTCACAACTACTAAGAAAAACCCATATATGTATGTGTGTGTGTGTGTGTGTGTGTGTGTGTTGATTATAATCATCTATGACAGCATTCACAGATAGTCAGGTATGTTGGAATAGCTTGAGAGTCTGTGCAGTCTTTTCTGTTGTGTGAATTAAGTTGATGCCATCATAGTTGCAAAAAAGAGGCCGGGCAGTGGTGGTGCACGCCTTTAATCCCAGCACTCGGGAGGCAGGTTAATCTCTGTGAGTTCGAGACCAGCCTGGTCTACAAGAGCTAGTTCCAGGACAGCCTCCAAAGCCACAGAGAAAGCCTGTCTCAAAAAAGCTGACACTAGAGCATGAGAGAATTCTGACCAAATCAAAGTATTTCAAAGATTTGGGTATTGACCAGAAATACTGACTGTTTGCTACAGCAGTTTTTTTTTTTTTAAATTTTTATTTATTTTTCTCTATTTTACATCCCAATTGAAGTTTCCCCTCCCACTTCTCCCAGTCCCTTCCCCCAATCTACTTTTCCTCCATTTCCTTTCAGAAAAGGGCTGGCCTCCCAGGTATAACAAGTTGCAATAAGAGTAGGCACATCCCCTCATATTAAGGCTAGATGAAGGGACTTGGTAGGAGGAAACGGGTCCCAAAAGCAGGCAAAACAGTCAGAGACAGCTCACTGCTCCCACTGTTAGGAGTTCACAAGAATACCAAGCTACACGACCATAAGGTATGTAGAGGATATAGGTCAGACCCATGCAGGCTTCCTGATTGTCAGTTCAGTCTCTGTGAGCCCATATAAGCCTTGTTTAGCTGATTCTGGGTTGTGTTCTTGTGTCTTTTTTGTTGTTGTTGTTTTTCAAGATAGGGTTTCTCTGTGTAGCTTTGGAGCCTATCCTGGCACTTGCTCTGAAGACCAGGCTAGCCTCGAACTCACAGAGGCCCCCCTGCCTCTGCTTCCCGAGTGCTGGGATTAAAGGTGTGCACCACCAACGCCCGGCGTGTTCTTGTGTCTTGAATCCTCTGGCTCCTGTAATCCTTTTCCTCCTTGTCTGCACAGTTCCTGAGCTCTGCCTAGTGTTTGGCTGTGGGTCTCTGTACCTGCTTCCATCAGTTGCTGGATGAAGCCTCTCTGATGACAATTTTGCTAGGCTCCAGTGTAGAAGTATAGCAGAGTATCATTAGAATCATTTCATTGACTTTTTTTTGTTTTAATTTTGCTGCTCATGCTGTAGCAGTTTTAAAAGTCTCAAAAGACACCTTCTAATCATCTCAGTGGGAAAATAAGTTTTAATTACTCACTAGTGTGTATGACTTCATTTGCATGCTGTTAGCATTGTCATATTTTAATCTCTAACATTTGTTTTGCAGTTTCACATCAATGCCAGCTACCCCAGAATTTGGAACATGCCACAGACATGGCAATGTGAATTAGAGGTTTATAAAGCCACCTACCACTTCATCTTTGCACAGAAGAACTTCTTTACAGGTATTTTCTGGTAAATAGAGAGAGTGATTTACTGTGGTGAACTTATTTATATTCTGTAGGTTTTACTTTTATATTTAATATAGGGATTTAGTGATAGGAATTATGCTTTCTTAATTTGTTTTAGGCTGAGAATATCAAAGGGACTATTTTAATACAAATTTTCTGTTTTCACCTACTCCAAACAATGACAAGAAAAATATTAATCCAATTTTGAGCTTAGAAGCATATGAAAGAACTCAGTTTAGGCTGTTACTTTGTGTCAGGCTAGTAAAAGGTAAAGCACTGATGAACCAGTTGCTTCCTCTCCTAGCTTATTCTAGTTTGATTATTGTCATCTATGACAGCATACTCAAATAGTCAAATATGTTGTTTTAGACTTAGAGTTCCTGTTCAGTCTTTTCTGTTAGTGTGAATTAAGTCAATGCATCATAGTTGAAAAAAATAAAGAACCAAAAATGAATTCGTATTTCAAAAGTATAAAAACAGATAGTCTGGGTCTATGAATAATATAAATACTACTACATCAAATCTAGTAGCTTTTATAATTCTGGCTCTAGAAGTTCAGTCTCATCAGAGTTGATCTGATTTATTAGGACCAATAACTGCTCTATGGAGACACAACATTTGCTTCATTGCTTATACTGTTTAAATCTTTTAAAGACTTCCCAGTTTCAGCTATTTAACACTTTACTTTCAGGCACTTCATTTTTGCTTCAGCAGTGCTAAAAATAGAGTTGAACTCGTCATGATTTAAACAAATTTACTTTAAAGTAACTCTTCATTTCTTTAATTAGAACAGATTTTCTATACCTTTCTGTCACTCTAATTCTTTTTTTTTTTAACAAGCTTGCTTCACATGTCAATCCCAGTTCCCTCACCCTCCCCTCCCCCTGCCCCTCTACCTACTCCCCCAACCCCCTCTCATTTCCCCTCTGCTCTCCAGGGAGGGTGAGGCCCTCCATGGGGGTATCTTAAGTGTGTCATATCATCCCAGGCAAATTCTTATGCTTTACTTGTTCGAATTCATTCTTCTTCTTTTTTTTTTTAATAATGTATTTGTACCATTTAAGTTCTCATCTCCTCATCTCTCAGGTTACCTGTCACATTTGACCATTTTATATTGATTCTAAAAGACATGACAGCATTATAGTAATGTCTAGAGTACCTTTTAGATTTACCAATATTCCTAAAAGGCTGCCTCTTATATATTAATAGTGGTTCAGCCTTGAGTGAATATCCTTGGTGAAGGTGTCTGAATTGTTGTTTTTTTTCTTCTGTTGGCAGAATTTACAGGAAATAAGCTTTCTAGCTGGTATGAGGGAATGCCCATTGTTCAACAGCAATTCTTTTTTCTTGTTTGGTATTTCTATTATTAATTTCTCTTATTAATTAAAATTATTTACTTATTTTGCATCCTGACTGCAGTTTAATCTCTCTCTTGTCCTCCCATTCCTTCCTCCCATCTCTCCTCTGCCCCTCCCTTCCAATCCACTTCTACTTCAGAAAGAGGCAGGCCTCCCATGGGTATCAACAAAGCATGGTATATCAAGTTGCTGCAGGACTAAGCACCTCCCTTTTAATTAAGGCTAGGCAAGGCAACCCAGTATGAGCAATAGGTTTTCAAAAGCCAGCCAAAGCTTTAGGGATAGCTCCTGCTCCCATTGTTAGGAGTCCTGCAAGTAGAACAAGCTACACAATTGTCACATATATGTAGAGAGCTTAGGTTGGTCCCATGTAGGCTCCCAGGTGGTCAGCCAGACTATATGAGCTCCTATGAGTCTAGCAATGATTTTATACCTTTGTAACAAGAAAAAAATAGTTCTTTAGAGATTTGGATGTGGGATAGAGCTTTATTATAAATACAATGCCCCAGGAGTAAAAGCTGTCAAACAAAGGTGGAAACTGAAGCCTCATGTGGAAATAATTAGTTTGGCTTAATTATAATGGGGAGGGAGACAATAACGGAATGATACAGAGCTCTAATACCAATTGATTGGCATTTTATGGGATATTACTTAACAATTTAGTTCTAAAGTAAGTTATTGGTGTGTATTTAAGATTATTTTTAACTTTAACTTACTGTCTGTAATTTTTAAATTTTTTGCACAAATGAATAAGGTCATAAAGAAAGTGCTTCATTTTCTAATCACATTATTTGATAAGACCATCGGTAATGTCAGCAGCTTTTGATCTAAAGGAAAAAGTGCTATTAAAGTGCAACAAGTACTTGTTGCAGATGTTAATAAAAATATTTTTGGCAGTCACTCTGGTTATTGTACCATAGTCTTCTGTAAGACAGAGTTGCTTCTTGCTGTGTGACTGTAACATTCACAATTGATCATTTGCTGTAGCAGTCTGCCTTGACTTACTACCACTGTGGTGATAGGTGATGTCATAGGGCCTTTTGATTAAATACTTAATTTTCATCTTTCTTGGATCCATTGGTCTCTCAGGGATTTCTGCTAAACAGTTTGAAGTTACTGTCTCTTTTAGTGGAAACTTAATTAAGCTTCAGTTATGTAAGTAGAAATATTATTCACCCCAGTTCTTAATATTTATTAGTAAAGATATCATAGAAGTTGGTTTGGAGACAATATTGCATGATGATATTATAAAATTTCAAATAAGGTTTTAAAATCTAAGATTTATTAAAGTGGAAATTAGTTATTTGTACTATTTCAGTTACTAGTGAAGAAAAATTTATATTTTTGACAAAGAAGCTAAAATTATACAATGAAAAAATAAAGTATCTTGAACAAATGGTGCTGGCATAACTGGATGCTGGCATGTAGAAGACTGCAGATATATCCATGTCTATCACCATGCACAAAACTTAAGTCCAAATGGATCAAAGACCTCAGCGTAATTCCAGCCACACTGAACCTATTAGAAGACAGTGGGAAATACCCCTGAATTAATTGGTACAGGGGACCGCTTCTGGAATATTTCACCAGTAGCACAGACATTGAGATCAACAATTGATAAATGGAAAACACTTGAAGGCAAAGGACACAGGCAGCAAGAAAAAACGACAGCCAACAGAATGGGAAAAGATATTCACCAACCCCACATCTGACAGAGGGCTGATTTCAAAATATACAAAGAACTCAAGAAGCTAGGCTCCAAAACCCCAGACAATCCAATTAAAAAGTTGGGGTACAGAACTAAATAGACAATTCTCAATAGAGGAATCTAAAATGGCTGAAAGACACATAAGAAAGTGTTCAACGTCCTTAGCCATCAAGGAAATGCAAATCAAAACAACTCTGAGATACCGTCTCACTCCTGTCAGAGTGGCTAAAATCAAAAACACCAATTATAATCTATGCTGGAGAGGATGTGGAGAAAGGGGAACACTTCTCCACTGCTGGTGGAAGTGCCAACTTGTACAACCACTTTGGAAATCAGTATGGCGACTCCTCAGGAAATTGGGAATCAGTCAACCACAAGATCCAGCAATTCCACTGTTAGGCATATACCCAAAAGAAGCACATTCATACAACAAGGACATCTGTTCAACTGTGTTCATAGCAGCATTATTTGTAATAGCCAGAACCTGGACGCATCCTAGATGCCCCTCAACTGAAGAATGGAGAGAGAAAATGTGGTACACTTATACAATGGAGTACTACTCAGCAGAAAAACAAAACAAAACAAAACAAAAAAACAAAACAAACAAACAACAAAAAAAATGGAATCTTGAAATTCACAGGAAAATGGATGGAACTCGAAAAAACCATTCTGAGCTAGGTAACCCAATCACAAAAAGACAAACAGGGTATGTACTCATTCTTATATGGATTTTAGACATAGAGCAAAAGATTACCAGCCCACAATCCACACCATCAGAGAAGCTAGGTAACAAGGAGGACTCTAAGAGAGACACCATTGTCCCCCCGAGAAGGGGAAAGGGACAAGATCTCCTGAGCAGATTGGGAGCATGGGGGGAAGGGAGACGGAGCTAGGAGAATGAGAAGGGGAGAATAGGAGGGTTGAGGAGGACATGAGGGAGCAGAAAGTTTGAGTCGGGGGAAGAATAGAAGAAAAGAAGATAAGAGATACCATAATAGAGGGAGACATTTTAGATTTACAGAGAAATCAGGCACTAGGGAAATATCTGGAGATCTACAAAGATGATACCAACTAACTATCTAAGCAACAGAGGAGAGGCTTCCTTAAATGCCCTCCCCTGTTAATGAGATTGATGACTGACTTATATGCCATCGTAGAGTCTTCATCCAGGAGCTAGTGGAAGTAGAAGCAGACACCCACAGCTAACCACTGAACTGAAGTGGAATCTAGTTGCAGAGAAGGATGAGTAATGAGCAAAGGGTCCAGACCAGGCTGGTGAAACCCACAGAAACAGCTGACCTGAACAAGGGAGACCTCTTGGTTCCCAGACTGAAAACTGGGAAACCAGCATGGGACTGATCCAGACCCCAGGAACATGGGTGTCAGTGAGGAGACTTTGGAAATCCATGGGGACTCTTGTAGTAGATCAGTACTACAAGCATAGGTGTGGACTTTGGGAGCCCATTCCACATAGAGGAGTACTCCCTGAGCCAAGACACACGGGGAGGGGCTAGGCCCTATTCCAAAGGATATGACAGACTCTGAAGACCCCCTATGGAAGGCCTCACCCTCCCTGGGGAGCAGAAAGGGTATGTGATAGGTAGGGTTTTAGTTTGGGGGTTGTAGCGGAGGAGGGGAAGGAGAGGGAACTGGGATTGACATGTAAAACAATCTTGTTTCTAATTCAAATAAAAAAATGGGAAAAAAAGGAATGTCAGTATCATCATCATAACTATTCACTCCTAAGCTCTGGCAAGTTCTAATTTCAAGTTATTTCTTCTTCATTATTAAAGTAGGTTCTAATGACTAAATTAAACAACAACAACAACAACAACAACAAAAGATTTGTTAAAATAAAAATTGGCAAATAAATTTATTTAAAACCTACATTCATTTCCTAATATATTAAGCCATTCAAATTTCTATTTTATACCAATTTTTTCTCATGTTTTTAACTAATGTAAGTATATGGTAGATAGATGCTTCCACTAGACATTTCAAGTCTCATAACAATTAAAACAAATACTAAATATGATTCTTTCCCACAGAGAACTTATGGATCTATCACTTATATTTTTTCCTGTTTTGAATGATTAGTTTCAAGTATATTGATAGACAGACTAGACATAAAATCAAACAATGCCAAACAGTATTTATGTTGAGCTAGGGTAAACTGTGGTGCTAGCACTGCATCTAAGATGAAAGAACATCAGAAATCATTACCATCTGAAGCCACTCAGTAAAAATGAGGAAGGATTATTAGTGGTGGAAATGGCCTTTATAAAATGAGCCTTGGTGTAATATATTAGGTATGATTTACATAGCATTTTGGCATTTACAAATCATATTAATTTATATATTGTTCACATAACTCTAAAAAGCAATAGTATTTTTGCCTCCAAGATAATAATTATAATCATTATTGTAACTAGAAGCATAGAATTATTGAAGCAGTTGTAGAAGAGATCAGTATTTGGACTTCAGACTTCTTGCTTTCTGTAGTACCTGGCATTGAAAATGGTTGTTTTCCTTTCACAGAAAGATATGAATTACAGTGTAGGCATCACTTGATATCCATAGGTCGTAGGTTCCTTGTGGATACAAAAATCTATAGATGCTCAATGCCTTCTATGAAATGATATGGTTCTGGCATATGGATTGTATATCCTTCTGTATACCTCCTGTATATTTAAGTTACTCAAAATACTAATTACAGTATGGATATTTCCTAAAAAATTACTTGTAGTATTTAAGAAATAATGACAGGAAAATGTCTACATGTTTAGTTCATATACAAAGAAAAACATCATGAACCCATGGTTGATTTAATCTATGGTTATTGAGAGATGACTATATTATTTTCAGACAGGATATGTAGTTTGAGTAAGAATGCTGAGCCATAAGAATTTATAAGGAGATCGCTTCCCATTCTGTATGCTGCCATTTTGTCTTGTTGACTGTGTCCTTTGCCTTACAGAAGCTTCTCAGTTTCAGTTGATCCCATTTATTAATTGTCGATCTCAATGTCTGTGCTACTTGTGTTATGTTCAGAAGTGGTCTCCTGTGCCAATCCATTAAGGGTACTTCCCAGTTTGTCCTCTAAGAGATTCAATGTGGCTGGATTTATGTTGAAGTCTTTGATCCATTTGGACTTAAATTTTGTGTATGGTGATAGATAAGTATCGATTTATTTGCAATCTTTTATGTGTCAAGATCCAGTTATGCCAGCACCATTTGTTCAAGATACTTTATTTTTCATTGTATAATTTTAGCTTCTTTGTTAAAAATCAGGTGTTCATAGGTGTGTGGATCAATATCAGGGTCTTCAATTTGATTCCATTGGTCTACCTGTCTGTTTTTGTGCCAATACCAAGCAGTTTTCATTACTATAGCTTTATAGTAGAGCTTGAAGTCAGGGATGGTGATGCTCCTGGAAGTTCTTTTATTGCAAAGGATTGTTTGGGCTATCCTAGTTTTTTTGTTCTTCAATGTGAAGTTGAGTATAGTTCTTTCAAGGTCTGTGAAGATTTGTGCTGGGATTTTGATGGGGAAGCAGAAGCAGAGATTCACAGCTAAGCACTTAGCTGAACTCCTGGAGTCCAGTTGTAGAGAGGGAGGAGTGATGAACAAAGGGGTCAAGACCATGTTGGGGAAACCCACAGAAACAGCTGACCTGGGCAAGTTGGAGCTCACTGACTTCAGACTGACAGTTGGGGAACCGGTGTTAAGACTGAACTAGGCCCCCTGAACATGGGTATCAATTGGGGGGCTTGGGCAGTCTATGAAGCCATTGGCAGTAAGACCAGTATTTATCCTTAGTGCATTCACTGGCTTTTTGGAGCCTATTCCCTATGGAGGGATACTCTCTCAGCCTAGATACAGGGGGGGGGGGGTCGATCCTGACACAAATGATGTGACTAACTTTGATAATTCCCCATGGCAGGCCTCACCCTCTCTGAGGAGTGGATGTGGGGGGGGGATGGGGAGATGGTGGGGTGGGGGGGATGGGAGGATGGGAGGGAGAGGAAACTGGGATTCGTATGTAAAATAAGAAAAATTGTATTATTTATATTAAATTTTAATTAAAAAGCAATACTTTTGTGCGAATGATTGTTTTCAGTTTAAATAAAAGATTAATAAACTGAATTTATTAAGGAGAAAAATGAAGTCAGCCTGGAAAATGATGAATTTTATTGTGAAATTGATTACTTTCAGGGATGAATTTTGAAGGAATAAAACCTGAAAAAAGGAATAGAGTCAGGCTCCTTCAGGAGGCTGTGATTTAGAACTGAAGTATAAGTATCTTCTCAAATGTTTTCCCTGCATAATTCTGTTTTTGAGGACAATGTCTACCTTTGTATAACAGGGAACAAGATAACTGTTTGGGAGTGGGGGTGGAAGTGTCAACGTTTACATGTATACCAGCCACAATAAAGTTTGTAAACAGATGTTTGCATCTGTAATTTTGGTATAATCATTTCCTTTATTTTTTAATCATTTTGGTATAATCATTTCCTTTAATTTTTAAATGAAATAAAGGTGTATTTAAAGTAAATTTGATATGCCAAAATTTCCCTTTTCTATTAAAAGGAAAGGTTAATTGTCATATATCATTTATTTACATCTTATTGATGAAATCAATTACATTTAAGATTGCCATTTAATAAGTCAGGATTTTATCTCTTTAATATGTAGATGGCAGCTATTTTTAAGTGAACTTAAACAGTACATTTATGACTGCTTTCTTTAATGACTCAAACTCATATTTTTTCAGTTTAAAGATCCTCTTTAAAAACAAAATGACATTAAATATTTAGGTTTTATTTGTAAATTTCCTTAGAGTATCCTCAATGATAAATGCATTCTATGGAATACTTACTTGGTGCTATTTAGTTGTTAAAATGTCACACAAATTATCTCAGTTCTTCTAAAAAGTTGGGAAAATTGTTTTTATTTTGTAAAGGAGAAAGTAATAGTACAAGTATATTTTCAAAATTATATTGCTAATAAAATAAAGCCAAAACTTAAAGTTATTGTGGTCTGATATCAAAGTCAAACATGCACATCTAATTTTACCTACATGGCACCAGGCTTCTATGAACTGTAAGTATAAAATGATGAATTTGACACCTTTCAGAATATAACTGTTACTCAAACATGTTGCTGACTATACAGTCCATACAAATGATAGGAAGACAGAAGGAAAAAGTTCTGGGAACTACTGTACACCAAAGTTAGTATTATCATAAATAGAGCCTTTTCTTCTTAAAGTGTAAAAGAAAAGTAAGATAATAGAAACAGACTACATGTAGAAACACAAATTTAAAAGTAGCAAATAGGGACCAGCACAATAGTTCCGCGCATAAAGTTACTTGCTGTGTAATTCTGGAAATCTGAGTTTGACCCTTGTAACCTATGTAACGGTGAGAGGGGAAAACTGACTCCACAAACTTATTCTCGTATGTGCACTGTGGCATGCTTATGGCCTGACACCTACATCACCCACAATAGTAATAATAAATAAAACTTAATAAAACACTTTTAAAAAGGAACAATTCAAGCATAGCACATAAGCATGGATGATTGTTTTTAACTTTTAAGATGACTGCATTTGTTTATTTCATTGCATTCCCAGAGTCTAGAACAGAGGCTGCCATACAATAGACACTCAGTAGATATTTATTTCATTAACAAATATGAAAAATGTTCATTTGTATTTGAAATTAGTGGTGTTTCTTTCCTTTTTTCTTTTTATTTATCTGTTTATTTATTTAACTATATTTTATGCACATTGGTGTGAAAGTGTCAAATCACTTGTAACCAGAGTTAAAGACAGTTTTAAACTGCCATGTGGGTGCTGGGATTTGAACCCATGTTCTCTGGAAGAGCAGTCAGTGCTCTTAACCACTGAGCCGTCTCTCTATCTCCCTTTTTTCCCTGTTTTTAAGGCATGGCCTCACTATGCACCTTGGCTGGCCTGGGACCTCACAGAGATTATCTGCCTTGGACTCCTGAGTTAGGATTAAAGGGGTTCACCACCATGCTTAGCTGTATTTGTTATTAAGAAAGTTTATTAAAGTGAGATATTTTTCACTCATAACAGGCCCATCATGCCTCCCAAATAACAAATAGGTAGAAATAAACACAATAAGAAGAGGATTCAAAGAAGTCAGAGTACAAGTATAAAGATTCTTTTTTTTTAATTTACAAAAGAATTTATTTTTGCTTAGCTATGCTGTATTTGTGTGTACACACGTGATAATGTATACACGTGCATGTGCACATTTAGTTAATTTTACTTTTTGTTCTCTGTTTTTAGATTTGATTCAAGACTGGTCTAGTGATAATGCTCCAGATATTTTTTCATTTGTTCCATACACATGGAATTTTAAAATCATGTTTCATCAATTCGAAATGATTTGGGCTGCTAATCAACATAACTGGATTGACTGTTCCACTAAACAACAGGAAAATGGTAAGAATGCTACAAGTTTGATTAATCTACTCATTAAGATGTGCCACAAAAACAAGTGTTAAAATACAATAAATTTCCTTCCTCCCTTCTTTCCTGTCTCCAAAAAAACCAGGTAGTGTGCCTTTGCAGTCTGTCCCTTAAGACAAAAATTTGATAAGTGCCTATGGTAATCGAGTACTCAGGCCTTTGCATAAAAAATAAGCTCCCTTCTAGATACACGATAATTTATTGTCCTGTTAGTGCCTGCCTCCTCAGTAGGTAGGTGAGGCTAAATTATGTAAGTGGTGCAAAGGTTTCCTTTCTCCTAAAAATTTAAGACTCAGAAACCTTGAAAGCTCATCTTTACACCATTATAACCATTCTCAACCCAGTGCTATACATGATGAGTATTTCTCCTACGGCATTCCTTCTTCAGGACGCCAACTCCTATTAAAGCCCTTCTAAAGGGCTATCTCATGACAACCCTTTATCCATGAATCTGCTTCTCTCTTTCACTTACAACTGGAGTTGATTTTCCTATATAATCTTCTGAGGTATTTCATTATTGTTTTTAGATTTTTATGCTTTCATACAGTTCATTTTATTTAGGTGTACATTTAATGTAGTTTTGCTGTTTAAATCTTGTTGACATTAAAGTAGATTTACTTTTTCTTTTTCTAGTATATCTGGCAGCCTGTGGGGAAACATTGAACATTGACTTTTCTTTGCCTTTTACGGACTTTGTTCCAGCTACATGCAATACCAGATTTTCCTTAAGAGTACGTATAATTGGATGCATTGTTTATTCCAGAGTTTTATTAGTCGGCTTGATTTCCCAGAGATTCTGTGTGCTCTTGTCTATCCCATTGCCACCATGAGAGTGTACTATCCTTCAGTGACTAGTAGATTGAGTGTCAGTGTTCCTCTGTCCTTAACAGCCCCAAGAAATTGACCTGAGAAAATTACAAATTAATTTCTTAGAATTCATTTCTAATCTCTTTAATATTTTGTTAGAGCTCCCTCCATCTGAAACACACTATAAACAAATTTTATACTCCCTTATACTTGATTTCTAGATAAACCATAAATTCAGAGATTAGCCTTAAGTATTTTTCTTCACTCTGTAGACCAGTTTGGCCTTGAACTCAGAGAAATTTGCTTGCCTCTGTCTCCCAAGTGCTGGGATTAAAGGTATGTGCCACCACCGCCTGGCCTTCACTATAAAAAGTAGCAATTATGTACTTCTAAGCTCGAAATTTTGTCATGTATCTAATATTAAGGTATGGACAGTCATTACCAATCATAATATATTATTTGAATCATGGTAATAAAAACATCAATAATAGAAGGAACAGCTAACTCCCATTAACCCCTTTTAAATGTACTACTATTCTGAATGCTATATATATAATAACTCATTTAGTTCTCTAAAGCCTTCTTGGTGTAGTTACCTGCATTTGTGTCTTAGAAAACTGAGATGTTTTGGGGCGTGATGTCTGTAATTGTAGTATTCAGGACCCAGAAGCAGAAAGATTACAAATTGGAGAATATGAGCTACTTAGACCCATTGAAAAGGGAAACTAGGAATAATAAATTATGTAAAATTTCATGTAGCTAGTGAGTTGTCAAGTTGGATTTTGAACCCTGACAATGTAGCTTTGGGTGCAGCACATTCTTTTAACCACCCTATTCTACTATGTTGTCTGCTGAGGAACTAGGCAATGAAATAAGCAAAGAATAGAGGACCCATAAGAAAAAATGAAACCCAACCAAGGTTTATCAGTTAAGCTATTTTAAAAGTTAAGGAATTGTAGAAGATACTCTACCTGATCCCATATTAGAGTTTTGATTTTCTTAAATTGACTATCATGTAATATCCATAAACAACTATTGAAGATATTCTTTTTATTGTTATTTGGAAACTATGCACTGCTTTCTGTAATATCTGTTTTGTACTTTTCAATAAGGATTTAATTTTAGTCATTAGAAATCTTATTCCAGATATCTGATTTTCAGTGTGAAATGTGCTATTTAAATTTTACCATTTAATTTTCAGTTTATTTTCAAGATTATAATAGAATTTTGGTGTACATAGTGTGCTAGCATATTTATGTACTGATTTTTATTATAAATTGTCTTTTAGGGAGAAGATGTTGATCTTCATTTATTTCTACCAGATTGCCACCCTAGTAAATATTCATTATTTATGCTGGTAAAGAACTGTCACCCAAATAAAATGGCTCCTGAAACTGGTATTCCTGCTGAGTGTCAGAGTGGCCAGAAAACAGTTAAACCAAAATGGCGCAACATTACTCAGGAAAAGTAAGGGCATGAAATAGCGGTCTGAGTATTTTGTGCTTCTGGGTAGAGAAATTCCTTTCAATTAGTAAGCTTAATCTGCAACTAGTGTTTTAATACAACTAAAGAATAAGTGTCTGAACAGATCTTTTGTTGTTTATTTGGAAGGGCTGGTTGGGTTGAATGCTGGACTGTCCCAAGTGTCATGCTTACCATCAATTATACGTGGCATCCAATTTATCCTCAAAAAGCAGATGAACAGCTAAAACAGTCATGTAAGTGTTTGAGTATCATTTTTGTTTTGAAACAGCTGCTGTTTTAATTGATACTTACTGAAGATACAAAAGGTAAAATTGACAGGTATGCATTCTCAAATACATAAGAACTTGTATTCTTTTTAACTATTTTGAAATAATTATAGATAGTTTTATTGAGCATTTACTCTGTATCAAGCAGTTTTCTTACTTATATCACCTCATTTAATCCTTATTAGTACTTTGTGATATAGATAATATACTTAGTTTATTTTAGAGTTAAAAAGATATATTTTCTCTAAGGTCCAGCAAAGTAAGAGCAGTAAAGTTGGACTACAAAGTATAGTATATTATATGGTATATTTATGACAATAATTGAATGAAATGTGAGTTTTTAATGCAATTTTACAATTGTCATGCACTTCTGGATTATCAAAACTAATTTGCTGCATTTCTGAGTACAGAAAAAAAATTCAAGAGTTAAAATGATTTTATTTTCCAATTTGTTATATATCAAAGAACAGTTTTCATAGTTATTCATACTTAGAGTATTTAATAAATGTCACACATATTTAAATAGGTATGTATGTGAAACAACTTTAATTTGATGCCTAGATATAGTCAATGCCTAATTGTGACCTGAATTTTTATTTTAGGGATTTAAAACATTATGTATTATAGAAGCTTTTCATAAGTTCTAATTAATGCATTTCTCTCCATATGTCATTCAAATTCTTTGCTTTTTTTATTTTTGGTCTTCCAAGTTTGTTTTTGTTAAATATTACAGGTACAATATTATGATTATTTGATATAAGCATAATGAAATTTCTTATAATTTTCTTGAAGAACTTCTAAAAAGTCATTTTGTTTTTTCCTGGTATTCTAATCTTTCCACCTCAATCAATTTATTTCAGTGTCAGAAATGGAAGAAACAATGCTATCTGTATTAAGGCCGGCCCAGAAAACATCAGAGAGAGTTGTTTCTTCTCCATCTACTTCACCACGCCCTCCTGTTGATCCCTCAGAACTTCCACCTGATAAACTTCATGTAGAAATGGAGCTGTCCCCAGATTCTCAGATAACTCTCTATGGACCTCTGCTGAACGCCTTTTTGTGTATAAAGGTATTAAGAAAAGATTTTAAACATGTGCTAAGCAGTGATAATAGAAAATTAGGGACTCAAGAAATAGCCAGTTAGATGATTTAAATTGTTGTTGAGGTATTATGTATGTACTGGACTTTTTCCCCCCAATGACCAAGTTTTTATTAAAATAATTTTTTCTATGTTTGCTCTCCCCGAACTACTACTAGATTCTGCCTACCTCCCGGTAAACCCAATACTATATTCTTTCTTTCTTCCCTCCCTCCCTACATTTCTTCCTTTCTTTTTTTCTCTTTCAAAAAAACAAATGAACAAAACTAGAAACAAAAAAAACCAGAGTACAAGAAACACAGTTGAATATTACTCTGCTGTATAAATTTATCACATTTTTATTATACATTCAACATTTTATGGATATCTAGGCTTTTCTAATTTCTTGTTTTTATTAATAGAGCAGCAATGGCCATGAATGAACAAGTGTGTCTGTAGAAGGATGTTGAGCTCTTTGGGTATACTTGAGTACTCTTGAGCATCAAGAATACTATAGCTGGATCTTGAGGTATATCTATTCCCAGCTTTTTGAGTAAGCCACCATGCTGATTGCCATAGTGATTATACAAATTTGCACTCCTACTGGCAAGGGATGGTTGTTCCCTATCCCACATCCTCACCAGCATGAGCTGTCATTTGTTTTTATTGATTTTGGTTATTTTGACATCTGTAAGATGAAACCTAAATAGTTTTAATTTGCATATCCCTGATGGCTAAGGAAGTTGAACATGTTTGAGGTATTTCTTAGCTGTTTGTGTTTTATGCTGTGAGAACTTTTGGTTCTGTAACCCATTTTTAAATTGAGTTGTTTTCTTGATTTTCAGCTTTTCTATTTCTTTATAATGTAGATACTAAGCCTCTATCATATTTATAATTGGTAAAGACCTTTTCCCATTCTATAGCCTCCCGATTTGTATGAAGCTTTTCAGTTTCATGAAGTTCCATATATTAATTGTTGATCTTAATGCCTGTGCTACCAGTGTCCTGTTCAAAATGTCTTTTCCTATGCAAATGAGTACCCTACTTACTCTTCTATTAGATTTAGGGTAACTGATCTTATGTTGAGGTCCTTGATTTATTTGGAGTTGAGTTTTGTGCAGAGTGGTAAGATATGGATCTATTTGCATTCTTCTAGTGCAGCTGCTAAGTAATAGTTGTTAGAAGGATAGAGGCTAAAGGAGTAAGTGGAAGGAGAGACAGATATAGGAACAGATTTTAAGATATTAAAGTATATATTAAAAATATATTTAATGTAACAGAAGTATCACTCAATATTTGAGCATAATTAGCTAACATTTCTTTTGAGCTATATTCTACAAACAGAAACTAATTTATCTCAGAGTAAACCAAATTAATAAGTTTTAAGTAAATGTGCATTGTATTCTTGAGTAAAGAATAAATCCAGGACTGCTTCTTTTTGGCATAACTTTTCTTCTGATATTGTTTAACTGCATAGTTGGATGGCACTTCTAGATTGATATCTGTAGGATGATTATTCACATAATATTCCATGGGTATTTCTGGAAAGAAGATCTATTTTTACTCTTTTTATATTCAAATTACACTTTAAAAATGGCTCCCACAAGTTATCATCAAGTCTTACTAATTTATTATTTCTAATAAATGCTGTAACCTGTCAGATCATATTGCATAACTAACAGGGCTGATTATGATTAGAGCAGCTTTCTAATATCAGTTATATGAACTCCATGAAACTGCTTTTCTCAGGAGTTTGCTATCTTGTTTTACTTCTCCATCCCCCATTTATTTTTCTGTCGGATGTAAAATGTTTCTGATAATCAAAGAGAAATTCTATTTAATAGCAGTAGAGTTACTTGTGACAAGGATGTTTTATGGATCTAATTTTATAGTGCCCCCTCCCTTTCAATTTTACAACTCCGGAGATTTAGTTATTGAAATCTTAGTAAATGGGAATTTCTTAAATGACTTTTCCTAAGGAGACACAATGAAACTATTGACCCCAGATAGAGAGGTCACCAACAGATCAAAGAAAGCATCTAGCTCTGTCTTGGTGTACCAGTGGTTTTACTGGGATTACTTAACAGAAGCATGGGGATCTCAAAGTTAGCCGTGCTACTGTGACGTCCCAACTCTAGCATTTTCAGTTGTGAAAAGCTGGACCACTAAATATTTCCGACTCTTAATCAATCTGCCACATCCTATATTCTGTAGCACCCTCCAGAACCATGGCTGGAGCAGGTTCTTAGGTGAGGGTCTTGTAACAACTTCCACCCTTCCACTGTGAATGTTAATAGCCTCATTACTATTATCACAGGCATAGCTATGAGCTGCATCCTGTTCATAAACATTCAGGGTGGGTCTTTTTGCCCAGTTAAACTTTCCTGGAAATACCCTCATAGATTAACTCAAAGGTATATATTTCCATTGTATATATAAATCTCATCAGGTAGAAATGATGATTAATCTTCACAGGTGGCTTCCAAAATTGCATCTTAAGGAGCTGCTAGGGAATAGCTATGAGACCATGAGGTAATTTCTGAGATGCCTTAGATCTGATTGCAGTTTATAAGGCAAAACCATAGGTGACAAGGATTGTACAGAGTGTTTAGATAAAAACAAAACAAACTCCTGAAACAAACAAACAAACATACAAACAAAGAACAATACTGTAGGAATTTCATAGTCCTGTCTGTGAAATGCCTATAAAATTGCAGGTTTACTTTTGGGAAATGAGTAAGGCAGTATATGCTTAGGCATCAAGCATAGAGAATTGCTATTTTAACAATCTCTGTATCAGGGAATATTTCTATGTAGGCATAATGTGGGAAATTACCAATACGGAGCCAGGCAAAAATACAAAGGAATTTAATAACGGTAAAGCCTTACTTACAGAGTAATCCAGCCAGCTGGCGGGGCAGCAGTAAGTACAGCAAGCCGAAGATGAAAGCATCCCTCACTCTTAAACCTTCCCTACATCACCCTGACCACGCCCTCCTATCCTCTTCATAGCAAATGTTAATTGTGCTGACATTCCTGACTCTCAGATGAGAGATTTCAGCCAGTCTCCAGGATGGTGGATCCCCTTTCCCCTCTCTTGTATCTAAAGTTTTCTCATTATGTGCTGCCTCAGCAACAGTGTTTGAATATGACCAATCAGTGTTGCCCTTCCCTGGAGAAGATTGTTTCTTCTGCTCTCAGCATTCCTCAGTTGCCTGTAGTTGTTTTTTTGTCGGGTTGAGGCCTTATGGGCTTTTTCTGTCTACTTTGGTGTGCTTTTTGGTGTTGTCCTTGTTTAGCTAATGTGCAGGCAGTCAAGTTGGTGAGACTTCTAGGTGGTGTTTCTGATATTACTAGGAGACACAATCTCACAGTAGACTCCCTCTCTGATCTTTTGGTTCTTATAATATTTCTACCCTCCTTCCTCAATGTTCCCTTCATCTTAGGTGTGGGAGTGTTTTGAAGATGTGTTTATTGGAACTGGGCTTCACAACTCTGTATTTTCATCTGCTGTAGTTTTCTATAGTGGTCTCTATGTGTTGCAAGGCCAGAGTTCCTTGGTGAACAGGGTGAAGACTATACTTATCTGTGAGTATAAGAACAAATGTTTAGACTGTTAGAGATTGTGCTGGTTTAGTAGTGGTTGTAGATTCTCTTCCAATATCCATGACTTCACAGCACTGAATAATTAGCTGGGTTTCCACTACCAGTCATGGTTTCCCTCTTGTTGAGCAGGTCTTAAGTCTAGTTAGAGAGCTATTGGTTACCATTGAGGTATGTATGCCGTTACTGCACCCTTAGAGTTATTGTGCCATGCTGGTGGTCATTGTGGTTCATATGTGTCATAACTGGGTAAACGGTTGGTTGGTTTGTAGAAAGGTGGGGCTCATCAGATGTTTGGGTCAGAAAATTGTTTACCAATAAAATCACATTAAGGATTTTTATCTGCTTCATTCTTGTCTGGACTCCATGCCTGCCATATACCTTCTGAACCTGTCTCCAAGACTGGGATGGTGTGTGTTTTAAAAACAGGAAAATAATGGTTTGAATTGAGCTTGATCAATAAACACATTAGGTTTTTATAAATTTCATATTGTAGAGCCTGGGGAAATGGCCCAGGGGGTAAAAGTACTTGCTGTGCAAACATGAGCACCTGAGTGGAATCCTGAGCACCCATAAAAAGGCCATGTGCAATTGTGTATGCTTGTAACACTAGCCTTGTGGGTCAGAGACAAGTGGATCCAGGAAACATATTGACCAACTAGCCTAGTTGAATGGTGATCCTGCATTTCAGTAAGGTTGTGTTCTCAAAGCAAAAGAACAGTTAAGGAAGACACTTGACATCCTCCTCTGGCCTCTGCATGTGCATTCACCCTATTTTCATATACTACACACATATAGTACACATGCATGTACATGAAATTTAATTTTGGAATTAAGATATAACTATCTTTTTATTTGCTTCAGTTTGTTTATATTTCCATTTTATAAGGCCAATTATCAAGGTTTTAGATCGCATCTTTATTATTTAGAGGCAGACAATACTAGAAAATAGAGGGAAAAGTGCTGGTTGAGTTAATAGCAGTGGGATTTTAATTTTAGTCTTCCTGTTTTGTATGGGTTTAAAGAGTATCTTTTCCTAGGAAAAGGTGCTGTGAGATGATGTTCATAACCTAGTCATAAAATAAATTTGTCTGGGCGTTGGTGGCACATGCCTTTAATCCCAGCACTCAGGAGGCAGAGGCAGGCGGATCTCTGTGAGTTCGAGGCCAGCCTGGTCTCCAGAGCGAGTGCCAGGATAGGCTCCAAAGCTACACAGAGAAACCCTGTCTCGAAAGACAAAACAAAAACAAACAAACAAAAAAATAAAAATAAATTTGTCAGTAACCCATAATACAAAACATGCCAAAATACTGACTTGATTCTCATATTTAACAATATAACAGCAGTGATAATAAAAAGAATGTCAATCAAAACTTTGTTTCATAAGACAGTAAGTTTTATTTGCAAATATAAGGAAATCAGAAATATAACACTTGTGTATAAAATAAAAATCAATGAACTATGTGAAAAGAAATTTGATAATTGTTGGCAAAGCATGTTTTGCATTTCATTAACAAACTAGATTGTTTTAAAAAGCTTTTGAATATTTCTAATAAATATTCCAACTGAAATGCACAATATATATTTATCTAATCGGACTTAGCCATATTAATTTTCAGTGAATGGATCTGCTTTGCTCAAAACATTTCTCTGGCATTGTCTCATGACTCTAAGAAGCAAAGATTGAAAACCATTGAGCCCTTCATTCCTTCAGAGGTCTCTTTGAGGATATAAAGTGTTGTAAATTGTCAAAGAGCTTTATTATATTGTATATTTTGATGCAGAATATTTATTTACTAAGGGAAATACATTTTCTCATAAGATGGAAGTAGACCTGATGCTTTTAATTAAATACAGCAGGTTAGAGAGATGCATATTGTATAAATTTAGGGCTCATAGGCATGTCTCTTATTAATTATAGCTTATTTAAAAATATTTATAGAAAATTTATTGCATACCTTTTTGATGGCAACTTATTTTTAAAAATATTTACAGGAGAACTATTTTGGAGAAGATGACATGTACATGGATTTTGAAGAGGTTATTTCAAGCCCTGTTTTGTCACTGTCAACATCCTCCAGTTCTGGGTGGACTGCTGTTGGAATGGACAATGACAAAAAAGAAAATGAAAGTTCAGCCAAGTCGATTCATCCACTTGCCTTACGTCCCTGGGATATTACAGTACTTGTTAATTTGTATAAAGTTCATGGGCGTCTTCCCGTGGTAAGTGTTTAATATAAAAATGATCTGGGGTAAATTATGTTATTTGTTTAGCATAGGAAACTATATATCTGTGCTTTGGTATACCCACATAAGAGAAAACTTAAATTCAAAAGCTTCTGGTTGTCTGTTTACATTTTTTTTATTATATAATTATTTGATCATCAATGATTTTACTTTTGGTTGTTTCTTTTGTTTTCACTTAAGCTCTTCCTTCCTTGTGCTTTGTAACTTTAGAATATTTTGCTATGATGTTGTAGTAACCTAGTGGATATTCTAGAACTTTACATATTCTTAACTTTTATCATGAGGCTACAAATCAGTTTGGGGCATTCTGGCTGCATAGAATCCCTACCCCCACCCCATTCCCCCACTCCAAAAAAGGTTCAGGCTTGACTCTGGAGGTTGTACTGTTGTAGATTTGGATTTAGTTTGGTTCTGCTTCACTTGAAGCTTGCTCTTGAGCCTGTTGAAGCTGACTGGCCTGACATATCCTAAGAAGCCAGGGACTTCAGACCAGGGCTATATAGGGAAGAGAGGACTCTGGAGCAACTAGTGACTTACAGTTTTTATGCTGTTACAAAGGGGACAGAACCGTTAGTTTGGTTAGGTGCACTGGTATTCCTTTTGAAGAATCAAATTCTCTTAATCATGATAAATGTTATTTTTGAAGTTTGTGTTTTGATGGTGATATTTTATTTAACTGTAGCATGGAAGTACTGATGGTCCTGAGTGCCCAACAGCATTCTTGGAACGACTGTGTTTTGAAATGAAAAAAGGATTCAGGGAGACTATGCTGCAACTTGTCCTATCACCCCTGAATGTATTTATCAGTGATAACTATCAGGTAATGTCAAAATGACACATGGTAAAGACTTAAGAGATTTATTAATACTATGGGGTCAAAACAGTGTTAGTTTCCATATGCAGTTCTTTTTAAAGTTAAGTTTTTTATTTTCATTGTAGTGGTTTGTATGAATGTGGACATAAGAGTTGTTTGAAGAGTCCATCTTTTTTCTTTTGTGTGATTCCCTATTTATGTGATCCTAATTATGTTTTACTTCTTTTGCATTTAGAAATGGAATGAAATAGTTCATGAATTTCTCCTATGTTTATAGAAGGGAAATGTATTCCATTAATCAGTACCATAAAAATTTAAAACACATGTGATTATTCTCCCTCTCAAATTCTTTCATAGTGTAAGACTTACATAGTTATAGTACAGTCTCAGGCAGTACATTGGTATGTGCTCATACTTTGGCACCATTTTATCAATTATATGTTCATGTGAACACCACCAAAGGAAAAGACAGAACGGTCATCACAGAGATCTCATTTCCATAAAGCTTTAACTTGTCATAGAATTTGATAAAAACATTGCCACTCTTTTCTGTGATCAGTGAGTTACTACAGTTGGTTTATTTCTGGGGTATGTGTATGGGAAAGTAAAGTAAAGTAAAGTCATCTTGTAAGACCCTCGGAAAGCTGAGGCTTCCAGAATCTTAGCTCAGGACCTTGGCCACCCCAATCACAGAATGGAGGCGAAAGCTTGATGCAAATTGCATGAGGCTTTATTGTAGTTTAATGAGCTAACCCCATGTTAGCTCGGGTCTTTGATCCACCCACTATGGCGGATGGCTAGCAAAGACAGTTCAAAGCTGCTGTGTACAGATCTTTATAGGGCAGCGTAAGGGGAGTGTCTAGGGGTACGCACAGGCTCAGGATTGGTGTTCCTCCAGGCTTGGAGGGCTTGCCCTGTGTTGATTGGTCAACTGGTTGTTATGGTCCATAGGCCCTCCCAGGGTGGTTGCTATGCTACGTCATTGCTATGCACTTGTCCGTAAAGCACACCCAGGGTCATAAAGCATAGCGCCACCAGCTAACTTCTGATTGGTTCCTTGTCACGAGGCAGGCATCTGACTTTCTAGTGTCTAGGACAAGGTCATAGAAGCACGTGTTCGGCCATTATGGCTGCCAAAAGGGAAGCTGGTCTCTTCAATCTCAGTTTCTTTATAGACTTGAAGAAATTAATAAAGGGGAGAAAAATCTCTTATGAGTGAATTCTTAGACTCTTAGATGAATTTCTAGTTTTTGTGGATTACCAAATCATGCTTCAACTTTTAATTATTAATTAATTACTCAATCACAAAAGTCTTTACCAGATACAAAAAACAATTTTGTAGAGTTCATTATGAGGGTTTACATTAATCCTTATTATTAAGGCACAGCAAGTTTATAAAGAGATGAAATTATAAAATATAATTTGAGAATTAGAAAAATAATTCATGGGAAGGAGATGTGAATTGTAGAAGTCCTGTTGTTTTGTTTTCCAGATTATTTGAATTTCCTATTTCTTCACAAAGGCAATGTTGTTGTGTACATCCTCTTGGAATTTGCTTACCTATTTACCTTGTTCACATTCTGTTACAGTAAGATAGCTCTTCCTCATTTGTTTAGACTGTTTAATATGTTTTTGTGATCAGAAGTTTCACAATGTGACCCCTCACAAGGCTCACTAATCACTATAGACTTTGGACAAAGACACTTCCTGGCTTTTCTTAAGTGCTGGGAGTTCTCAGCAGTCCTTGGTATTTCTGAATTTTCAAATGCATTGCTCAAATTATTGTTTTCAGTGACATCCTCCCTGTGCACCTTTTTGTCATAATTTTTCTCTTTCTGTATGAACACTGGTCACGTTAGGGTCCACTCTACTTTAGTACAACCTCATTTTAAAGTGATTATATCTGCAAAAATTGTGTTTTCCAAATAATGTTCTATTCACAGGTTTCAGGGTTACGAACCTACTTTTTTTTAGGAGTTATGATTCAATACAAGGCATAACATTCAGAATATAGTACTTACTTTGATGAATCAGATAAGTTGAAAATCCTGATTTTTTTTTTCAGACTTTATTGTGTGTAGTGGTCAAACCCAGGACTTCATATATAGTAGGCCAATCTATCATTGGACTAGAGTACATCCAGGCCTGAATGTAGTCTTAATAATGTTTCAGAAGTCAGTGTATCAAAGAATACTTTGTTTAAGAATATATCCTTTATGTCTTAGACACTTAATCTTAGCTAAGAGACTTAGAAACAATTCTGAATATCTTAGATTTCTCTCTAAGTACATGTTCTTTGGTAGTAAGTATATAAAGTCCTCACAATCTGTGTGGATTTTGGTCCCCCTTCCATTCCCCATCTTATTGATTATATGGTCTTTTCTCAGTTTCCTTCTTCGTTTGAGTATTTTAGTATCATGATTCCTAGCCTCCCCTCAAGATTGACCTCTTAAATTTCCTGTCAAGAGTGTTAAATTGTTTTCATTCATGTCAGCAGTTACCAGCCTGAGAGCTGTATACTTTCAGGATTTAATATCTTTCCTTGTAGTGGGCTCCATAGGTGTATAGATGCTGTACCATATCAGCTGAACACAAAATGTCCAAGGTTAATTCTGAAGTCTTATTTCCCAGACAGCATAATTTTATTGTTAATATCTGTGTGTCTGGGGCAGGGGGTAAAACAACTAGAAATTACAGTATGTTTTCTTGGACTTCTTATTATTGTTTTCAGCAGCGACCACCTGTGGATGAAGTACTCAGGGAAGGGCACATCAATTTGTCAGGTCTCCAGCTGAGAGCACATGCTATGTTCTCAGCAGAAGGTCTTCCCTTAGGAAGTGACTCTTTAGAATATGCATGGCTGATTGATGTGCAGACTGGAAACCTTACTGCTAAAGTCACAGCACCACAGGTAGGTTCTCCCACTGCTATCTCCATGGGTTCATTCTTACACTACTGTCTTCCTGCCATCTTCTTTGTTTGCTTACCCACCTTCTTAAGAATCACTGTATGCCACCCTGATGTTCATTGCATTCCAATAATGCCATTCTATTGGGAGCCATTCTTGACACTCAGAATTTAGCAACAGACAAGTTATTGACAAGTTTTACTTTTCTAAGCTGTATAAAATTGACTGATAGTAATTCTGTTTAATACAAGAATTTCACAATTTCTTTTGGAGGAAAAGATACTCCAATATTGGAAGACCAACTAATTTAACTTTAATAATATATTACTTATGGAACAGTTCTCATCAACTTGTGTTTTTCTCATTTCATGTGTCATATGGAACCACATTACATTAATACATAGATAATTTTATGTTTATTGTGTTCTTTGTTTTAAATGTAAGTTTCATATAGACTAATTACTGAAATTATGTATTTTAGAATGACATGTGTGTACCAATCTCTCAGTGTGTTTATTGTTAACAACTCTAATGAATTATAAAAACAAAGGTATTTTTCATCATTATCTGAAGAATTATTATATTCACTTAAGCTATTAAATAGTCAGAAATGTTTCAATCTTCCAAGTACCTAGTTTTTTAAAATTGTAACTCAGTGTTATCATAGACAATTAGATTTTTTTAGAATTAAATCTTAAATATTATAGGGGTTTAGGTGCCTTTTTCTGCAGTTGCCTGTACAGAGGATCCAGTTAGCTTTAGGAAAGTAAAAGTGTAGCTTTTGATTTAAAAAGTATTTACTTTAGAAGTTGCCAAAGTGGAATTTTTAGTTGAAACTGGTTTTCACTTAACAGTGTGTTGACATTCACAAATGAAAAGCAACAAGCTTATAAATGATATCAAAATAGAAAATTATTGGCTAGTCAGTATTTATTAAGTAGCAGTTATACAATTTTGAGTTCTTTCAGGTCATGTTAGAATCCATAAGCTTCTGAATACTGAACACTTGTTTAGAATACTAATAGTATTGTCATCTGTTATATCTATAGCTGGCATGTCTCTTAGAATGGGGGCAAACATTTGTTTTTCATGTGGTATGTCGTGAATATGAACTGGAAAGACCAAAGTCAGTAATAATATGCCAGCATGGAATTGATCGTCGGTTCTGTGAATCCAAGGTATGTTAACAAGCATACTGGTGAGGTTATAACCATTCATGCCTTTTAAAAATGAAAGTTTGAGGCTTAACTTTAAATCAAATGAACATAGCCATGAAGTTAATAGCTCACTATGAATGATTTTGTAAATTCTTAGCCAGTTATGTAGTTGTATCTAAAACGAGGTCACATGAAAACAGTTCACAAATACAGATATTATAAGAGTTGTGTATTACTTTGCATTTTTACTTTTAGAATTCCTGTCTTGGCTGGAGAGTTAAGAGCACTTGACTGCTCTTGCAAAGGTCCTGAGTTCAATTCCCAGCAACCATGTGGTGGCTCATAACCATCTATAGTGGGATCTGATGCCCTCTTCTGGTGTGCATGAATGCAGAACACTTACATATGTAAAATACATGAAAAAATAAATCTTAAAAAAAGAAAATTCCAGTCTCATTGCTTTATGATACTATCCATTTGTAGTTTAGCTGTGCATATATAGATTTAGAAATTGAAGCAATTAAGGTCAAGTAAATGCCTAATGTAATTTGATTCACACACCGTCCTGAAACTTACTTTCAGTTTTTCCATTTGTCAGATTTCTGACTCCACAAATTGTGCTCTCTCTTCAGAATACTGAGCTGCTTCCAGTTAGGGTTACTTTAGCACAGTGTCACTGTCACTACATCTCCTGTGTGACTTTGAGAGGCCATTTGCTCCCACTTTTGGAAGTATGCACACTTCAGAAAACTGAGAAATCATGGCAGTTTCAAACAAGGAAAATAACCATAGTTTTATTGCAGATAAGATGTTAACAACTCAATGTTTCCTTTCTTAATAGTGCCCCCCTTTGTTCTTTTGCCATGCAAATCATATTTGTTTACATCACTCAAATTTTATGTTAAAAAAGTAGCAATGTCCCCACAAAAATCAAAGTGTTTGTGTTATGTTATTAAAGTTTTTATTAGTCAGGTTTATTAAGGCATACTTTACATGTGGGTATATTCACTCTTTTTAAGTTGAACAATGTAAGTTTTACAAATGTGTGTATCCATTAGGACCAGTGCAGATACAGAACATTTTATACCTTGGAAAATTTATTTTCTTATTTCAGTTAACTGTTGCCCTACACAAGTACTGATCTCCCACTTTTGTAATTTCATGTTATTTTGTTTAGCTCTATTATAAACAATATATTAATTGTATGTGTATTTGATGCATGTACGTGGGTGCTCATGTGCCTCAGTACTTGTATAGTGGTCAGAGGAGGACAACTTTGTGGAGTCAGTTCTCTCTTTCTACCTTAATGTGAGTTCTGGAGAGTGAATCTATGTCAGGAAGCTTACAAGTGCTCTTACCTGCTGAGCCATCTTGAAAGCCCTTACTTCTAATATTTCGTAGAGGAAATACATAAGTATAGGGTATTGGTTGCTCTGAAAAGCAACTGTTTCTTCTTATGGCTTTGCCACTAGTGTGTGTGCATCACATGCTCATTGGTTTGTGTGTGTATTATCTTAATTGTGAAGATATTTATAGTTGATTTATTCATGCATGGTATGAAAACATGCATATGTGACATGTGTGCCTGTACATGTGATTTCATAAAGAAATCTTATGCCAGAAACTTTATATCTGTAAAATGCTGTGCAGCTTTATGTTAAGCTTGTGATGTGTTTACTTCATCAATTTATTCTCAAATATTTTGAGTTTCAATAATAAGTATTATATATACAATATAATATATATATATATATATATATATATATATATATATATATATACATATAATGTAGTCAGAAAAAGAGAGATTGAGAAGTCTGCCACATGGCTACATAAGGGCTTCTATTTGGTAGATTTCATTTCTGATTATTTCAGATATCATTATAAAAGAACAAAATTCTTAATTGAGTAAAAAATGAACATGTAACAAGAATTTTACTTAAATAATGAGATTTACCTAAATGTCAAAATAATGAATTAATAGTTGGACTGTTTTGTTGTTTGTTTTTTTTTTTAGTTGAGTTGTATTCCTGGGCCTTGTCCAACATCAGATGACTTAAAATATACCATGACTCGTTTAGCAGTAGATGGAGCTGATATTTATATTGTGGAACATGGTTGTGCTACAAATATAAAGGTAACCATTCATTTATTTCTTAGCTAGGGTTATTCCTTTTCCTTTTACTAAATCAAGTCTGCGTATCTTGAAACATTTGTACTCTGTCATCTCATAATGTCAGTCATAATTCCCACTGTATGTTCTCTACTATTGTTTCTCTTAGTAAGTCTACCATTTTCTCATTGTGAATTATTGTGACATTGATTCAAATAGCAGGTTGTATTTACGCCCATGGTATAGTATTTTTTTACAAAGATAATACTTTGAGTCCACTTAAAAAAATAGGTGCCCTGGCACACATCTGCATTACCAGTACTCCTCTGGTAAGTAGGAGGCAGAGACAGGAGGACTGTCCAGAAGCTTGCAGGCCAGTTAGACGTGCAGAGCAATAGAAATGAGAGATCCTGTCTCAACAGGGTGGAAGGAGAGAACCAACTTCACAAAGTTGTCTTCCCCTCTCCCCCCTCCCTCCCTCCTTTCCCCAATAAATAAATAATTATTTTGAATGTTTGTTGGTTTTACCCATTTATATATCCTCTTTGGCTTCTAAAAGCATTAGCTTACCCCCTTTGCTTTATGAATTGCTTTTTTTTTTTTTTTTTTTTAAATCAAGCCCTTATATTTACCTGGGTTTTCATTACTTAATACTCTCAATACTCTACATTCACTTGGATCAGTTTGTAGTTATATTCCTTTACGTGCATCTGCTCTTTATAAATCACTTACCTGTTTAGATGTGTGTGGGGCATATAAATGCTTTATGTGTGGAGGTCAGAGGAAAACTAGTAGGAGTTGTTCTTTCCTTTCACCATGTGGTTTCTGATCTAACTCCAGACCTGCCAGCATGTGTTCCTACCCCACTTTGCCAGTCTTGCCAGCCCTGCTTTAAACAGTTTAAAAACAAAACAAAACAAAACAAATACATTTTTATTTGTTTAGTGTGTGTGCTGGGGTTTACATACCTGCTCAATGTCTAGGTGCTGGTGTTGAAAATCAGAAGACAACTTGTAAGATTTAGTTCTTTCCATGTACCATTTGGTTGTGGGGATCCAACTCAGGTGCTCATGATTGGTGGCAAGCTCCCTTACCCACTGAGCCACCTCACTGACCCTTCTTGCTTTTTTATTGCATGTCTATTTTTCATATATTATTGAATTGTACCCTTATTTCCTTCCTTTCTTTTCCTTTGCTTATTTCCCCTTTCTTCCTTATTCTTTTGTTTCTTCCACCTATCTTTTACTTTATTTTAAGTAGTCACCAGTTTTGTAGATAAGATACTTAAAAATACTGATATTATAGCTTTGTTTCATTTTCTAATTCAATTTTAGATGGGTGCAGTTCGGGTTGCAAACTGTAACCTCCACAATCAGTCAGTTGGGGAAGGAATAAGTGCTGCAATTCAGGACTTTCAAGTGAGACAGTATATTGAACAATTAAATAACTGCAGAATTGGACTTCAGCCAGCAGTGCTACGGAGAGCCTACTGGCTGGAAGCTGGGTCAGCCAACTTAGGTCTTATAACAGTTGATATTGCATTAGCTGCTGATCATCATTCTAAACACGAGGCACAAAGACATTTCTTGGAAACTCACGATGCCAGAACTAAAAGGTGAGTGAAAGCCCAGAGTGGTGGTATCAGCATCTACTGAAATTACTTGAAAATTTTAGAGGAAATTCTACAGTTGTGATGGATCAAAAAAATTTAAAATACTTAATGTGATTGTGCTCCTGTACCTTGGTTAATGTATAAAGACCTGATACTTATAAGGAAATACATCATTTGAGGTCCTGTATGTAGTTAAATAACACTATTTTTTTTATGTTATCTAAGTCTATACTATGTATTTTAACATTGATACAATTTAAATTATGGTTTCTCTGTGACTCTAATTCATCACCCCCAGAAACCATCATACCATTATGTACTGCACAAAACTCTTGACAGGCCTTCAAAACTTCAGGGATGAGTAAGAACACCTACAACTGGTTTCATTTGCCTTTAAGGAGTGATTATACCTTTTAAAACAATTGTCAGAGCCTATTATTATTACTTATTTTCATCTTTCTTGTGTGGTGTAGCTGTTTTTTGTTTTGAAAGATAAAATGATTAAAAATATGCACTGCATATTAAATGGTTGATGCTTTTGTTTGTTTTATTTTGGGCTCTGTTTAGGTTGTGGTTTTTGTGGCCAGAAGATACCTTGAAAAACAAGAGGTGTAGAAACAAGTGTGGCTGTCTTGGTGGTTGCAGATTTTTTGGTGGCACAGTAACTGGCTTAGATTTCTTCAAACTTGAAGAGCTGACACCTTCCAGTAGCTCTGCATTTTCAAGCACAAGTGCAGAATCTGATATGTATTATGGCCAGTCTTTGCTACAGCCTGGAGAGTGGATCATTACTAAAGAAATCCCTAAAACTGTAGATGGTGAGAAAAATGTGTTGTATGTCTGGCACTAACCTCTTACCCCTCCCTGTCCCTATGCCATTTTGAAAGAAAAAAATTAATTCTTTTAAGTAGTGTTATAGATAGGGGTTAAAATAATCTATATTAATCTTGCAAGTAAGTTAAAGTCAGATAAATGTAGTATTTCTTTCTTTTTTTTTTTTTGATGGTGTCAAACTAGATGTTTTATTCAGACTGCCTACTGTCAATAATGGGCAGTTTTGCCTGCAAAGCTTAGCCTAAGCATGTCCTCATATATAACATTTCCCTGTAGCTCACTTTAGTTTACTTTTACAGAATGACTTATCACTAGTAACATGTTACAAAGTAATTTTCCAAGATATTTTTCTTACCAATAAAATTGAACATGTCAAGAAAAGACATCTTACCTTCTCTGAGCGTTATTTGGGATGATGTTGTAGATACACTGGCTTGGCTTGAGCAGTACAACTGTGACTTTTTGAGTATGTTAGATTTAGATTTAGCTGTTGTCTTTTTGCTAAAGACCTCAGAAATTGGTTTTCCTTTAGGGTTCTTAGTTCTACATTTCTACAGTTAAGTTTAATGTTTATAGCTTAAAGTTGCCACGTGACATAGATATGAAATATTAAAAAAATCTTGAGTACTTTCTCCTTAGGCTACTTTAAAATGATTTAGTTTCTTTTGGTATAATTTTAAAATAAAAGTAGTTTTAAGAGTTTTCATCAGATTGGTTTTCTATACACAGAAGCTTTTGAAGGAAGCAGCTGGGCTGTCATGCTAGATTCTTATTTAATGGTAATGTAAACATGTATACTTGTTATTTAGGGACATTTTATTTCAGGAATGTTACTACCATATAAAACCTACAAATAATCTTAAGATTTAAAAAATAAAATGGACACATGGCTGTTTTCTTGTAACCTTCTAGTTATATAATGTTTATTTCAAAATGTTAACCTTGACATTCTTCTCATGTCTTCCTGAAGCTATCATATGAGGTAGATATTATACCTGTTTCTCATTTAGCATTTTTGAAACATTTTCTTGTTATGTAGTTAGCCTCAAAATCACAGTTCCCCTGCCTCTAGGGTTATAGGCTTTTTTTCTTTTTCTTTTTTTTCTTTTTTTGCCACCATGCCTGGTTTATGCCTGCTTTACAGGGTGGAAAATGAAGGGATTTTTGAGACTAAGCTGTACTAAGTCATACAGCCAGGTGTGTGGTTGAGTAGAAGTTATAATCCAGGTCACTAAAGACGCTTTGATATTCTTTCTACTATCTTAAAGTTGGCACTAATAAAGAAGACTGCTTGATTTTCTGACTTGCAGATTAAAACCTAACCATCACAAACTAAGGGAAGAATATGTATGAAAAATTTGTACCTGGTGCAAAGGGGGAAAGATAGTAATTTCTAATGTAAATAGATCAAGAATAATGTTAATTATAATTTTCCAGCATTTAATCTCCTTTGGGATTCTTGAGAGCAGGTTATAGATACTAAATTACCCAGGATTCATCTGTAAAGGAGATCTCAATTAGTGTCAAAAGTATATGGTTTCTTACTGTTGAGTCTTCCTGGAGTTAATTGTAGACGTGTAGTGTCAGGATGGAATAAAAAGTTTGTACTGGTAGAATTAAGGATTCATTTAGTGCCTGTTATATGGAAGTTAATCAAACTTGTTTTTCTTTTGACTTTCAATGTTCTATTGTGCTTTATTAAATCATAAATCTTTTTTAAACTTTTATTCTTTTTTCTACATTACAGCCTGACTGCAGTTTCTCCTGCCTCCACTTTTTCCAGTCCCTCCCCACACCTCCCTTCTCCCAGATCAACTCCTCCTCTATTTCACTAAAAAAAAAAAAAAAAAAAAAAAAAAAAAAAAAAAAACCAGCCCCCCCCCCTCCCCCCCGCCCCGGACAGAGCAGCCCTCCCCGGGATATCCTCTCTGAACATGGACTAGCAAGATACAGTAAGACTGGACACAAACCCTCATATTATGGCTGGACAAGGCCATAGGAGGCAGAGGTTCCCAAGCTCATGCAATAGATTCAGAGACCCTCCCCCCCCTCATTGTTAGATCCCACAAGAACACCAAGCTATGCAATCATAACATATATGCAGAGTACCTAGCTCAGACCCACATAATTTTTTTGCTTTAGTATTTGTCAGCCCCTATGAGCCCTGCTTAGTTGATTCAGTTGCTTATGTTTTCTTAGTGTCCTCAACCCCTCTGGTTCTTACAATCCTTCCTCCTCCTCTTCTTCGGCTTTCCCCGGCCCAGCTTAATGTTTGGCTATGGATCTCCGTATCTGCTCCCATCAGTTGCTGGATGACTCCTCTCTGATGACAGTTGGGTTAGGCACCAACCTATGAGTATAGCAGACTATCATTAGTAATTCATTGATTTTTTTTTTCTCCATTCATATTTGGTTATATCCTGCGACTCTAGGCTGTCCTGCCTCTGGTGCCTAGCCATCTTTGCAGGTGTGGGCTTCCTCTTATGGTGTGTGCCACAAGTTGCATCAGTCATGGGTTGGCTACTGCCACAAATTCTATACCCTATTGCTCCAGAAGTCTTGCAGGCAGGAAAGATTGTAGATTGAAATTTTTGTGGCTGGGTTGATGTCCTATTCCTACAGCTAGGAGCCTTGCCTGGTTATAGGTGATGGCCAGTTCAGGCTTCAATTCTTACATTACTAGGAAACTTCACTAGGGTCACTCTCCTAGATTCCTGGAAGTTTCCATCGAACTAGGTTTCTACATCATCCCCCGAATACTCCAATTCCAGTCATCTCTCTGAGTATGCTCTCCCTCCATCTCTCCCTCCTTCTCTTGATCCCTCCTGTTCCCATCCCCACCTGTATTCAGTCCACTCACAAAATCTATTTCCCCTTCCCGGGGAGATCCGTGTCTCCCATCTTGAGCCCTCCTTGTTACTTAGCCTTTCTGGGTTGTAGTGTGATTTCCATTACTTACCAACTAATGTCCACTTATAAGTGAGTACATACCATGTTTGTCATTTAGGGTCTGGGCTACCTCACTCATCTGGATGATCTTTTCTAGGTCCTTCCATTTGCCTGCAAATTTCATGATGCTATAGTTTTTAGTAGCTGGGTAATACTCCATTGAGTAAATGTACAACATTTCCTTTTTCCGTTCTTTGGTTGAGGGACATCTAGGTTGTTTCCAGTTTCTGGCTATTATGAATAAAGCTCCGCATGGTTGAACGAGTGTTCTTGTGGTAGGATGGAGTATCATTTGAGTATATGCCCAGGAGTTAGTTGGGTCTTGAAGTTGATCAATTCCTGATTTTCTGAGGTACTGTCATACTGATTTCCATAGTGTCTGTATTACTTTGTACTGTCTTTGCCCTCCTTGAATTTCACCTGGAACTGCATTCTCTTTAGAGAGTGTGTTTTCTGCTTACCAGCAGGGATCCCTTTTCTAGAGCAGTTCAGGGATGGCTAGAAGAGAAGGGAAATTGAGCAAATTTTATGCTATGTGGGTTCTAGGCAGCTAAACAGCTATCCTTTTTTCTCTTTGTGCCTGCTCCTTCATTTTTGTAGCACATTAAAGGGCTCTTAGGAATCTTTGACATAGGGCTAATGCACTCTAGCTGTGAATTCATTATTTATGCATATATTTATTGCTTTGTGTTTAAGGTTGTTTTAGACATGGAAACACATTAGTAAATAGAAGATGATACAATTCCTGCTTCTATTCAACTTTTACAGTAAATATGGAAAATGTTTAAAACAAGTGAATTTAAGTGAAATACATGATGCTCTTACATTGAAGTTTTCTGTTGAGTGTGAATTGTGTGCATAAGTGTGCACACATGCACATACGGGCTGGGGATCCAACTGCTGCTTTCCATATCCTGTGCACATTTTCTACTACCGATTTACCCTTAGTCTTCCAAATCTTTTAATGAAAAATTAAAGAAGAAAAGGCAAAAATTTACATATTATAGACTGTGGACCTGGAATTTTTTAGACAACTTTTTGTAGTGTGTAACATGTTACTATGTGAAGTTAAATACTTATACTTTTTAAAAAGGACAATACTTTAAAATGTAATTATATTAAATTGCCACATTTTTCATATATTCCTTCAAAAATGTTTACAGTAACTTAACCCACATTTTATTTGTTTAGGTAATATGAATGGTATGAAGAGGAAAGAATGGGAAAACAAATCAGTGGGAATAGAAGTAGAGAGAAAAACTCAGCACCTTAGTCTTCAGGTGCCCTTGCGGTCTCACAGTTCATCCTCTTCCTCAGAAGAGAATAGCAGCTCCAGTGCTGCACAGCCATTGCTGGCTGGTGAGAAGGAAAGCCCCTCTTCTGTTGCTGATGACCACTTGGTTCAGAAAGATTTCTTACATGGTACCAAAAGAGATGATGGTCAAGCAAGGTCAGTATTCTGTTAGACTTAGAAACTTGGTGGTAACTGGAATATAATTACTTAAAATAATAGCACAAGAAACTTCTTTCCTCTACACTCCCTCATTTTAGATTTTATTCCTTGAACCTGGACATATATATAGTATCAATTAGTTTTTCCAAATAAAATTAATATACTCTTTGCACAGATAGAAAATACAAAGTTGTATTTATAATAGAAATATTTCTTATCCTACTACTTGGTGACTTTTTTTTTTTTTTTTTTTTTTTTGGTTTTTGGAGACAGGGTTTCTCTGTGGCTTTGGAGCCTGTCCTGGAACTACCTCTTGTAGACCAGGCTGGTCTCGAACTCACAGAGATCTGCCTTCCTCCACCTCCCAAGTGCTGGGATTAAAGGTGTGCGCCACCACCACCCGGCTACTTGGTGAATTTTTGTTATTTTTCATGTACTGCCTTTGACTTCGTTGAACATTTTTTGGTCTTCTTAGCATATTAATAGTTGAATGCTTCCTTCTTTTGAATTACCCTTGCTTGACAAGGTGCGACCCTTTAATACACCTTTCAGAGTTTGCTTCCACCTTCTTTTGTCTCCATTACTAGGCACTCCATTTTGCTTTTCTTCCCATTCTTCTTATTCCCACAGCCTGACATTTGTGGAGTGGTGGCATTCCTCTGAATTATGTTCTGATCCTTTCTCCATTCATTCTAGGCAATTTCTCTAGCCAGTCTCAGTAGCTGTTTGGCTTAATTATGACTGTAGCTAACATCTTTCAAATGTAAAAACTACAGTCAAAACCTTTGTCCCTCCAGACTAGGTACCTTGATATTTTTGTTTGGATACTTCATGGAGACCTTCAATTCAGTGTCATTGAAATGATTGTTTTAGCCACAGTTCTTTAGAGCAGTAGTTCTCAACATTTCTAATGCTGTGACCCTTTAATACAGTTCCTCATGTGTTGTAAACCTCAACCATAAAATATTTTTCATTTCTACTTCATAACTATAGTTTTGCTATGGTTATGAATCATAATATAAATATTTTTTGAGATGGAGCTTTTCTAAAGGGTCATGACTCACAGGTTGAGAACCACTGCTGTAGAGGAACAGCTGATAGAGTGGGCAGGTGTGTGTGTGTGTGTGTGTGTGTGTGTGTGTGTGTGTGGTATGTATGTATGTATGTATGTATGTATGTATTTATGTTTGCCTGTGTGAGTTTGTGTGTACCACATCTGTGTAGTAGCTCCTGGAGTCCAGAAAAGGGTGCTATGTCCTCTGAAACTTGAGTTATAGGCAGTTGTTAGTTGCCAAGTGGGTGCTGGGTTCTCTGCAAGAGCAATAAGCACTTTTAGCCCCTGAGTCATCTCTCTAGCCCACAGCCTTTCCGTTGTCCTTAATCACACACCATAATATATTGCTGGATGAGCTTTTAAGAGATGTGGAAAGAAAACAAACCCTAAATGTGCTAGTGTTCTGGGTTTCATTGAATTTTTATGATATTTAAGATGTTTGTTTCTGTTTTGAGGTTATTTTTATTAGCTTTATGGGGAATATGAATTCATGTTGTAATGTTTTGCTATTTTGAATCAATATTATGTTGTAAAATTCTAGATTTTCTCTTATTTGTAAAAAGATCAAAATTATTAAAATGATTTTATAAATACTTTATATTTAAATTATGTGATGTGCTGAAAATAGAAATAATTTTCCTCTCTGTTTTAGTGTTCCTACAGAAATTTCAGGAACCAGCCCTGTGTCTCCTAACACCCAAGACAAGTCAGTAGGACAGTCTCCGCTCAGATCTCCTTTGAAGCGACAAGCCTCTGTTTGTTCCACCCGACTTGGTAGTACTAAGAGTCTCACTGCTGCTTTTTATGGAGACAAACAGCCTGTTACTGTTGGAGTCCAGTTTAGTAGTGATGTCTCTCGAAGTGATGAGAATGTACTAGACTCACCAAAACAGAGGAGAAGTTTTGGTTCATTCCCATACACACCATCAGCTGACTCTAATTCATTCCATCAGTATCGGTCAATGGATTCTAGTATGTCAATGGCTGATAGTGAAGCCTACTTTTCTGCAGCTGAAGAATTTGAGCCGATTAGCAGTGATGAAGGCCCTGGAACTTATCCTGGTAGAAAAAAGAAGAAAAAGCAGATGCAACAGATTGACTACAGCAGGGGTTCCATATATCACAGTGTAGAAGGACCCCTTACTGTACATGGAGAAAGCATTACAGATCCCCGAACTCTTCCGTTCAAAACTCATCCTTCCCAAGCTTCCTTTGTTTCTGCATTAGGTGGTGAAGATGAAGTCATAGAACATTTATACATTGTGGAAGGTGAGAAAACAAGAGAGACTGAGCAGATCACTTCTCAGCAACCTGTGATGAGTTGCTATCAGACTTACCTTACTCAGTTTCAGGTAATTAACTGGTCAGTTAAACATCCTACCAACAAAAGAACCTCCAAATCCTCATTGCATCGCCCTCTTGACTTAGATACTCCAACCAGTGAAGAAAGCTCATCATCATTTGAACAACTTTCTGTACCAACATTTAAGGTATAAATCAAATCATTTTTTTCCATTAACATACTTATATAGTAAAACAATTTTTAAATTGTTTTTAGAACTACTGAGTCGTTTTAGCTATTTTTCTGAAATACATACTTTCTGTTGTATATGAACAGCAATTAGGTTACAGGGTTATTCTTGAGTATTATGAATTTAAGCAAATTGAATTGAAGATGGCTTAAGGTTTCATTGTATTAATGTAGTAAATTAACATGTAGCATAATCTATATTTCCAGTACTACTAAGATTAGTTTCAAATCTCCTTTGTGAGCTCATATTTCCTGTTTCTTAAAAAATAACGTTTTGGAGGCTAGAGAGATGGCTTAGTAGTTAAGAGCATATAATGTCTTTTAGAGGACTGTTGTTCTGTTTTCAGCACCCTTGGTTGGCTTACAACCACCTGTAATTCCAGCGCTTGGGGATCTAGGTATCTTTTGGCCTCCACAATTACCTGTACTCATGTACACATACACACAGTCACAGCTATACACATAATTAAAAATAAAAAGATATTTAAAAAATAAGATTTTGGAATTATTTTGGTTTATAACTGCTTTCTGTATATTCAGTTCAACTATTGAGTTAATTATTATAATTTAGTGTGGATGTGGTTACAAAAGCCAAAAACATTTCAAAATATATTTAGTGACATTAGCCAGTATGAAAATTCTTCTCTTTAAAATAATAAACTATAAGACAAAGTTTAAAATGTTAAAGATTAAGGTAGATGAAGTCTATAGGCCTATTGAACAATGTTTGGGAATTTGTCTAATGTATGTGTGGGTGTGTGTATGTATGTATGTATGTGTGTATTGCATTACTCTCCCTCCATCTTATTTTTGAGGGTGGAAGTCACACTGAACTTGGAGATGGCTTTTTTGGATAGACTAGTTGGCCATTGAACTCCCAGGATCTTCGTGTCTCCCACTACATTCATTATTAGAGTTATAGCCATATGTTTCTATGCCCATCTTTTTACATGGGTGCTGGGGATACAAACTCAGGTCATCATATTTAAACAATCACTTTACCCACTAAACCACATTCCCCAGCCCAGGGCATAGTATTTTAGCTGAAAATTGAAGAAGGAGGACTCATTGAGGATGAGAATCAGACCTAGGGCCTCTGGATTATAGGCAAAGGTAATGAATGATCCTCTAGGCTTTCGTGTATGTAGTTGATATTTCTTCGTGTCTTGTGGTTATACTAGGAGGAGACTAAAATCAGCTTCAGGAAGAACTAACTCAATGTAAAAAAGAATTCACAGAGTAACAACATTTGAAATTCCTGTTTCAGTCATGTCTTCTCATTCCACCCACATAACTCTCTCACTTATTTGAATAAAGCACAAAGTTATCCATTGAATATTTTCTGTTAATTATTTATATTGAATATAATAAGATTATAATAACAGGGTTACTTTGGGTACTCACAAATATTGTTTATCATAACAATAAGAAATAATTAAAATTTTAGGCTATAAACAACATTTTGTCCTATTCTAGGTCATCAAACAGGGACTCACTGCTAATTCTTTGCTAGACAGAGGGATGCAACTTTCAGGATCAAGTTCAAAGTAAGAATTTACATTTTTTTTTTTTTTATTTTTTAGACATAGGGTCTTACTGTGTTGCACAGATTGACCATAGATATAGATTCTGGGGCTAAAAGAATTAGACTGCCTTAGTCTTCCAAGCAGCTAGGACTAGAGGTGCCTTAAAATTGCATTTTAAAAGTTTAGAGTCATAGTCTTCTTGATTATGAGATTAATAGAGTTTATTCTGAGTAATAACCATTTTGTACTTGATTTTAGGCCCTATTTTAAGAATAAATTACCCCAGTTAAATTTTTGTGTTTAAACATTTTAGGACAAGCCTATCAAGTAAATGAATATATGAAAAATATTTTTGTTGTGATATAATTGGCATCTTTGACCAATTTTCAGTTTAGTACCTCATTTGGCATGGTTTTGAAAAGTGTTTAGACTTGAAATATTAGTCTTTGTGAGATTTTTCACTGAACTAAATATAAGTTTTTACTTACTTTAAGGAAGCTCAAACTTTCTATTCTTGTTTATATTCTTTTAAATATATGTTTTCTGCTTAAATTATATAGCACACCATACACTCCACTAGACAAGAAAATAGTTGATAATACAGATGATGAAACATTAACAGAGGAGTGGACCCTGGACCAGCCTGTTGCTCAGACCAAGACAACAGCCATTGTTGAAGTAAAAGGAACTGTTGATGTTGTTCTAACTCCACTGGTGGCTGAAGCCTTAGACAGGTATTAACTTTGTCTAAAAATATAGCTACTGCTTTATAAAGAGATTGCTTTACATGACATAAGTAAATGTGATAGAGTGTTCATTTAAGAGTGTATTAACTAGCTGTTTTGGGTAAAAATAGAAATAGATTTTAAAGAAGTCATGTTTCTTTTCAAACTAAATATATTATAATATTTTAATAGTTATAATATATTTTGTCTTTTACATTTAGAATAACAAGCATAAAATGATCAAATTCTTGGGAAGTAATTATTTCATATTCTTTCTAGTTAATTGAAGAGATAAAGGGAAAATAATAGTTATTCTGTCCTGTAAGGTGTATGTATTAAAGGAGATAAAATTGATACAAGTAAAAGCCAAAATGAAGCAAAATGTAATGCATAATGTGTAGAAAATGAAGAAGTTCAGAAGAGGAAAGACTCAATGAGGACCAGTTTTCTTGAAAATAATCCATGGGAAGGGTACATATCTTTCTCTGATAAAGTGTCAAGATTCTTGTAAGGAGCCATATTTAGGAAGGATATGGAAGTTGACTTTAGGAGATTCTAAAAGACCAACTGGTTTAAAAACAACTCAAGTTTTTAAAACAAGCCAGGTATGGTAGCACATGTCTTTATGCCTAGCTCTTGGGAGGCTGAAGGAGAATCATGAGGTTAGTGCCAATTTGGGTAGCTACAAAGCAAGACCCTGTCTCAGAAGACAAAAATGTCAACTCAGAATGTATTATCAACTTAAGTAGAATACCTGCAATGTTAAATTACCCCCCTCCCACCACCAGTGGAGACTCTTTAAGACATTAAAATGTCTTAATTTCATTCATTTTTTTGTGGGGTGGAAGTATTAAAACATAGCAGCAAAAAATAACTAAAATAGATAAATGGTATTATAATAAATTAAAAGTTTTAGCGAACCAAGAGATAGATAGCTCATAGGTTGAGAGGAAATATTTATAAATCAAACATTTGACAAGGGATAGATATTTAGAATATATTAGGAATGCCGAAAATCTATTAGCAAATAAACAATCCATGTAAAAATAGGCAGTAGACCTAATTCGACATTTCTCAGCCTTGATGCACAAATGCCAACAGGTATATGAAATAATTGCTAATCACTGGGGAAATGCCAACTAAAACTATAGTGAGATGCTACCTCACCCCAGCAACAATGACCATTATAAAAAGGAAAAGGGACTGTTGTACATTGTTTATGGGAATGTAAGTTAATACAACCCTGTATTGACATTCTTCACAAAGCAAAAGACAATACCACCATGATTCAGCAATCCTATTAGTGGGTATATATGCAAAGGAAATAAAAATAGTATGTTGAAGAAATAGCTTCCTTCCTTGTGTACCAGTACTGTTTACAGTGACTAAGAAATGGAAATGACCCATGTCCACCAACTGACAAAACTTAATATATTTATGCAGTGGAATACTGTTTAGCCACAAGACAATTAAATCCTGTGATTTGTGACAATATGGGTGGAACTGAAGGTCAGTAGATTAAGTCAAATAAGCCAGGCACAGACAGGCAGTACATGAATCACTTCATGTGGAATCTGGAACAGTTTGGTCTCAGAATTTTAATGGTAGAATAGTGATGATGAGTCCATGAAGAATCATTGAGAGAAGAGGCAGAGGAATGTTGATTGATTGGTTAGAAGCTGATGCACACAGAAGAATTTTTTAAGTTTTCATCTTAAATGATACAACATCCACATGAAACCTAGTTAGTATGTAAAATTCTAGTGTTTTTATATATCAGCTAAAAGTTAAAAAATGAAGTTTCAGATATCAGTGTAAGGTGGAATTCTGTAGAAAATGTTAACCATTATTTGTTTGTGGTGGGGGCAAATGTTCCTGCCCAGTCTCAGGGTTTTGGGGGTCATGGTAGCTCTGAAATTTCAGTAATGTTTTTCCTGTAGAATTTCTAAAGATGTAATTTGGGATTTTGCATTTCACTATTGAAGAACTGTAAATATTCAGATGGTGGTAAGTTTCATTGATTGTTTGGTAAAATAACTCATAGTATTAAATAAAATTTTAAGTTTTCATTTTCTTTTCTCGTTCATCAGATATATTGAAGCTATGGTTCACTGTGCTAGTACCCGGCACCCAGCTGCAATTGTAGATGATCTTCACACTAAAGTCCTTAGAGAAGCTGTCCAAAATAGCAAGACTACCTTCTCAGAAAATGTAAGATGCTTTTGATTTAATGGGCATAGCAAGTTGGGTATTCACCATGTGTTAGAATATCCAAACTTGAAAATTTTGAATGTATAAAATTTTATCAGTAAGTTAAATTGAAATCTAGCACAAATAACTACTGTGGATTAAGAAGTAGTACTTAAAAATTATAACTATTTTTTATTTTGAAAGTAGCTTAGTTCCAAGCCTTTTCTAACAAGTGTTGTCCTTAAGTGATGAAAACAAGTTTAAGATTAATTTTATTTTAAATTTATGATATTCAGAAAGAGCAGTATATGTTCTTAAATGCCAAGCATTTCTCCATCCCTGTGGTGAACATTCTTTAGAATTAATATTTTAGTGCTTTAAGAACCAAAAGTGCACATATTTTTAAACTTCCTTTTATTTTTATGTTATTCTTGTTCATCTCAGTGAATTGAATAACCTCCCTTTTCTGTGATACCTCTCTACTACTGTCATTCTGGCTGTGACACAAGTTGCTTTGCAGTCACAGTTTAGTGCTCCTTTTATGATTCTCTTTTGATTTTCAAATTTATCTGTATCGCATTTAGATTAGTACCAAAGTAGAGGTGAAAGTGAGACTGAGTGTTTCTGTTGAACCAGTTACTACTCATTCTGTGTTGACTTTTTATGTGCTACATTCAGGTAGTTATGGTAGAACATTCTGAAAAAAAGGAAATTTGAATTATTCCCAGCCAAAATGGAGCCAGTTGTCAAGAACCAAGTCAGCCTTTAAGACTGTAGAGTTCAGTTTGCCTAAAATTAATAATGATAATAATAAACTTGTATTGCCATCTTTTTCTCTGTAGGTGGATTTTATTTTAGTATATTGTACTTTTTCAGACTGGCAAACTGATCTGTTTGCCATCTTTTGCTTGAATTTCAAGTTGATATCATGTAGATTGGGGGAGGGGTAATAATACAATGAATACACATGGTGGTGTGGATGATGGAGAGCCTATGAAATGTCTGGAGAATAATTCCATTTAATCTTTGCAGTTGTCCCCCAAGCAGGATGTTCGAGGAACAAAAACTGAGCATTCTGTGATAGGAACAACTAACCAGGGACAAATTCAGACAAATGTCACAACAAAGCAAGATAATGTGACAATTAAAGGTCTTCAAGCTAATGTGAGCATACCAAAGGTAATGTTAAGCTTTTCCTGATACAGGAGAGCATATTTAGTTTGTTTTACCTTTTATATTTACCAAAGGGAATGTTAGTGAAACAGTTTGCAATATCAAAAGATATATTCCATTCTCTTGATGCATTTAGTATATTTCAAATAACTTACTATAGCAGACTATTAGTAAATATTTAGTAAAATGTTTCACATCCATCCAATAAAAGTTTGATTGTGGCTTTTTGTTTGTTTGAGAATTTCATGGATGCATATCAAGCATTTTGATCAACTCCTCCCCAACCCCCTCCCTATGAACTAACTCCTCCCCATCCCTTACTACCTCTTTTCTCTCCCAATTTCATTTGTATGCTCGTTTTCTAAATTCACTGAGTCAACAATTCTGTCAGTATGAGCATGGTTATGAGGGGCTACATTCATGAAGAAATCTGACTCTCCCATGGCAGCTATCAATTGACTAGATCCCCTCCGATAGGGTTAGGACTTTGTTGAGCCCCTATTTATGCTGGAATTTTGGCTTGTTTGATTTTTCTTGTTGTTGTTTCTTAGTATTATTTTTTAATTGGAAAACCCTTTTTCATACATGTATTTTGATCATTTTTTTCTCACTTCCCAAGTTTATCCCTGATTGCTCCCCACCACCCTACCTACACAATTTTATGCTTTTTTTTCTTCTCTCTCTCTCTTTAAGATATAAAAAGAAATGTAAAAAAAAACAAAAACAAACTGGAAATCAAAGTAAACAAGCAAAGGCTAAGAAGTCAAAAAATGCCTAACCAAAGTAAAATGAGACAGAAAGTCTAAATATATCATTGAATTCATTTTGTGTTGGCCAACTACTAGGCGTGCGACCTGACCTAAAATGTGATTAATATACCCAGTGAAACTCCATTGGAGAAAACTGATTTTTTCCTCTGCTAGTGGGTAGTAGTTGCAGATAGCTTTTTGCTTACTGGTAGGACCTCATGTCCACTTCTCCCTCTCAGTGTTAGGATCACATCTGGCTTTAACTTATATGGATCTTCTTGTAAATACTGCCACTGTGAGTTCATATTTCCATTAGTCCTGCTGTGTCTGGAAGACCCATGTTTTCTTGGAGCTAACCATCACCTCTGGCTCATATAATCTTTCCACCTTCTCTTTCACATAGAACGTTGATCCTTGAGGGGAAGAGTTCATTGAAGCTATCCCCTTTAGGACCTTGTGCTCCAAAGTTTCTTGACTCTTTACACATTGTGCAGTTGTAGGTTTCTGTGTCAATCACCATCAACTACAAAAAGAAGCTTCTCTGAGATGGGTTAAGTGAAGCTTTAATCTATGGGTATAGCAATGTCATTAGGAGTCATTTTTCCTTTTGAAGCTCCAATTTATGGTCATAGTACTTTGTAGTTAGAAGCCATTTAATTGCTATGTTTTTTTAGTAGTAGGTTTTTCCCATAGTCCCATGACTAGTCCTTATCTAGTAGTCTATCTAGTAGTTCTTATCTAGTCTCAGATTCTTAGGTCCTTTAACATTATAGGGTATGGGTTCCATCTCATAGAGTGGGCTTCAAGTTCAATCAGAAGGTGGTTAGTTGCTCCCATAACTTTTGTGCTACTATTACAACAGTTCATCTTGCAAGCATGTCATTGTTGTGGGTTGCCAAAACATATTGATAGCATAGAGATATTGATGATTGCCTTTCTCCAGTAGTATGCAGAGTACCTGCCAAGTATCATAAATGCTAGGGTTGGCTTGGTCTTATGTGAGTCTTGTTCCTGAAGGCATATCCTTTGTTAGTTGTGTGCAGTGTCTGGTCACATCTAGAAACATAGCTTCACAGCAGTATCTACCACTTTGGCTTTTAAGATCTTTCCTCCATTTTTCCTCATTGATTACTGAGACGTGGGGATGAGGGTGAGATACAGATGTTCTATTTCTGAATGACACTCTTATTCTATACATGTTGACAAGTTTTTTGAGTTTCTTTATTGTCACCTGCTACAATAAGAAACATCTCTGTGTTTTGCTTTAAAAGTGTAGTTGACCACACTCCAGTGTGGGCAACAGATTGATTCTGAAGGATTAAAAAAAAAAAAAAAGACACAAAATTGGGTAGGTAGGGAAGGATGGATCTGGGAAGAGTTGGAGAATGGGAGGAATATGATCAAAACTCTCAACTAATAAAAGAGAAAAATAACGTCTTTAATGTATATTGAGAGATCTACTAATGAATGAGTATAAAGATATATTTAGGTAAAAAGTTAATACTGCGTCCATTTAGCAGAACAATATTAGTAGGTTCTCCCCCAGATTCTACAACCTACCCAGCCTCTGATTCTTCACCCAGTTAACAATTCCAGGCATGAATTCTGTCTTGATCAGTCCTTAAATCCAGTTTGAAAGTGTTGATTACTCCCATACACTTTGTCACTGTTGCACTAGTGGGCATGTCTTGGCAGGAATTATGGCTGTTTTGAGGACTTTAAGTTTCTTCTTCATTATCCTTAGATATGTCTCTGTACTATTATTAGCAGATTTTTGTCATTTGTACTTGTGATTTAAATATAAATACACTTTTTAACTTTGCAGTTCTGAAATCTGTGACATTTGTGTGTTAGGTGAACTTATGTTTGTTACAAGCCTCAGTGGAAGAATCTCCAGCTGCAGTTCCTAGTAGAAGTGTGACTCATGTTTCCCTGGTGGCTTTGTGTTTTGACAGAATTGCTACACAAGTTCGTATGAACAGGTAAAAAGATTTTAATAATTTAAGCCATGATTGTTTTGTGGATGTGAAAAGCCTTAATTATCTTAAATGTTCATAATTATTTCAAGAAACACTTAGGTAATGTAAATAATATTGTTTTAGTTTAGACAGTGTTTCCTTTTAAACAACTTAGTTAAATGTTTTTATTGTATTACATAATTTAAATGTTACCCATTGTATATTTTTTCTCTTTTCATTAAGAGGTGTGGTTGAAGAGACTTCAAATAATGTAGACCCTAGTAAAACATCAAATTTTGATAGATATGTTCATGCCAGCAAGATGCAGCCTCAGTCATCTGGATCACTTAGGTCAAATGCTGGAGCAGAGAAAGGCAAAGAAATTGCTGCCAAGTTAAATATCCATCGAGTCCATGGGCAACTTAGAGGTCTTGATACTACAGGTAGGCTTCAAAATATGTGTGTTTCTTTGGCATTTGTAAATGTGAGATTTTCCAAAATAGAACATTTTCCTTTGGCTTATGCAGCAACTTGACATTATAAGGAAGAGAAAGCTACTTCAACAAATGAGGAATTTAACTATTCCTTACTTATATTCTGTGCATAATAGAAAGTAAGTTTTAGGGCCCAAATTAGGAATTACTTCATCTCCTTTGTTTTTGTTTTTTTTTTTCTTTTAATTTCTAAGATCTTTCAAGTTTCTAAAAAACACTAAATGCAGTTCCAAAAACCAAACCAAAACAAAACCCACATGCACTTAAATGGTATATAACAGTTCTACTTTTCTCTTTTAGTTTACTAGGAACTTTAAAAACAAGTATCTATTTAGGTTAATATTACAATTAGTTCTTTTTAAAAAATGCTCACAATTTTCTTTTTTAAACAAAGCTCCCTATATATTCTCTGTTCTATGAGCAATAACAGATTATTGTATCTTCTTGTGTTTCACCTTTCTGATTATTAATTTTAGAAATTTTACACTATTAAGTTTTAATCCTCTTTTAGACTAAAAGGGGAAATGTAGGGAGACAACGTAACCACTCCTCCTAAGGGCTGGCTACAGGTGTGCCTGACTATACCTGTCAAGGCGTGGTCAAATTGAGGTCAGAGTGATGCAGCATGGGCTCTTAAGCAACCGAGAGCACATGGAATGGTCTCTTCCCCTTTGGCTGCCCCTTCTCTCTGGCCTCCCTGCTTGCTGCCCCTGGGCCTGCTCTGGCTTGGGTTTGGCTGGTATTTATCTGAATAAAGGTATCTTGAATCTACAAGCATTCTCCTTCACTATAGTCCTAAAACTGGGGCAAAACACAGTAGTTTAAGTTGTAAAGTGTCTGTAGATTACAGTGGTGACCAGTTTGTATTTATGTATTATGTCAGATCATAAGCATTACATTATATAATTTGAAACCCGCCACCAAAATAAAAGTTCATTACAAGCAAAGCTCCCCATGAATTTCCAAGGTACATTTGCATAAAAATGTAGAACAAATGTAAATGTTTATACATGTGTTTGAGATTCTCAGTTTCCTGGCATCTTATAGCTACAGAGAAGTGAGGTAGGTTTCTGGTTTTTGTTTGTTTGTTTGTTTGTTTGTTTTGTTATTTCCTTTCAGGGTTTCTCTGTGTAGCTTTGAAGCCTGTCCTGGCACTCTCTCTGTAGACCAGGCTGGCCTTGAACTCACAGAGATGCACCTGCCTCTGCCTCCTGAGTGCTGGGATTAAAGGCCTGTGCCACCACTGCCAAGCTGAGGTAGGTTTCTAAATGTGGTGCTCTGGGCTTTCCATTGGGTATGCCTTCATATCTACAGGAATAGATTATTCATGAAATTAAACATGGCTGTTTCTCATTTTATGCTCATATTTAAGGTTCAAGAGATTTAAAGAGAAATACACAGAATTAAATAATCATAGAAATTTGGGGAAATGCAGGTACATTTTACTGCATTGCATCTATATGAATTAATAGCAATGTCTAAAAAACTGCAATTGTATATAGTGTAAATCAGTCTTTTAATAACAGTTATAATTGCCTAAGAAACAGTGTTTTTACTCAGGCCACATAAATATAATTTTGTTGTAAATGATGAAAGATTTTTAAAATACTTTACCACAAAGCTAGATTATTTAGAAATTTATTACCTTTGTTGACAGAATACTCTGATCTTTCAAATTCATTGTTAACTCTAGAATTTTCTTTACTTCTTTGTAGATAGCATTTTTTAAAGTGTTTTATTTATTTTTCTGTCTTAGTAGACTACTAAGATATCTTTTTAGGACAACTGTTGTGAGTGATTTGTCTTCTCAAATATTAACATCTGGCTTTTTTCTTTTAAAAAAATGTTCAATGTGCTGTCTCAATAATAGACATCGGGACCTGTGCCATCACTGCCATTCCCTTTGAGAAGTCCAAAGTTTTATTTACTCTTGAAGAATTGGATGAATTTACTTTTGTAGATGAGACAGATCAGCAAGCTATCCCAGATGTAACAAGGATAGGTCCCAGTCAAGAGAAATGGGGCTGGATAATGTTTGAATGTGGACTTGAAAATTTAACTATAAAAGGTAAGCTTTTTTTTAAACCCTGAGTTCTGCTTAAGTGGGGATAGTTCAGTCCCATGTGGCTGAAATGTGTTTAATGGTTGTTACTTGTAGCAACCTGAGTCAGTATAATACAGCAAAAATAGTGGTACCTGGTGTTAACCTGCAAGAATATCAATTTCAACTATACCAGTGGTATTTCATTTTACAGTGCCTCTGTCCCAAACCTTGGGTCCTCACAAAACAGCAGGATTTAGGAATTACTGAGTTCACTGGAATATCCCATGTTTGCCAGAATTAAGATCTTTGCCATTTAAGAAGTAAATATTTCATGCAAATTCTTCATTTGGTGAACACTACCTATTTGTACTTATTTCTTATATAAGATGGGAGGGAGGAAATGAGGAGGGTAAGTCTTATGTGGTTATGATTAATACTTTTAAGTTAGAAAGTTTAGTTGTTATAAGACTTTCAGGTTTAGTCTTAACATGACTCAATAATTTAAAATACTAGTAGCTATCTGTATGTCTACACCTTTCTACTTAGAAAGTCAGTCATACATAACTTTTAGATAAGGGCAAAGAAAGGCTAGTAAGGAAAAACGTGGCCTTTATAAAGTTATATGCAGATATTTCAGAGTACAGCAGTAAAACACATATCCACTCTTTTTCTAATAGCATACTCCCTTCATTTTTATAGGAGGAAGACAGTCTGGTGCTGTTTTATATAACAGTTTTGGAATTATGGGTAAGACTAGTGTCACAGAAAGGGGTGGAGTGCTGACATCCAATAATTCTTCTGATTCTCCTACGGGTAGTGGCTACAATACTGATGTGTCTGATGATAACCTTCCATGTGACCGAACCAGTCCTTCATCTGACATAAACGGAAACTCAGTCTCAGATGAACAGGTTAGTGAATTTCTAATGATACTAATAGTTTGGAATTAAGGAACTACACACTCAATTCAAAATCAGTTTCCTAGAGCACATCTCCCTGTCATTTCCTCTTAGAGAGTTATAACATTTTGTTGAATATACTGTGACTAGAATATAATTCCTGAATAGGTATAGGAATACATACCTATGATGAATATTCCTGCCCATTATGGTATTCAGCACAATATCCTGCTTATGTTATCCACTTAATAAACATTTGTTAAATAAATGAATATATAGAATTTAAGGAAAGTAAGCTTGATTAATTAGGCTTTGATTATTTTAGAAGTCATTTTTATACTTTTATTGATCATATTTTATATACATAAATATTTTTATCAGTATCTGCTTATTTTAGATACCACTTTAAGCAATACCTTATATTCAATTTAGTATTTTTATTGTAGTAGAATTTAATTGTAATGGATATGGTGACAGCAAAAATATTTAAAATTCTGTATTGTGGAGAAGTTGGATCACTAAATGCTTGGTGACCTTGGGCAATCAATTTTTTTAGTTCTTGTTTTTTTTTTTTTTTTTTCCCCCAGCGGTAGTATAGTACATAATGTCATTAAGTCTAAAAGTCAATGCCATTGACTCTACATACTGTATGTGAAAAACTTTACTCAATATCTAGTATAAGCAAAAATTTAGTGAATGTGTATGCACATATACACGTAAATAAGAGTAAACAAAAAAAGCTTAATAAAGTGCCCTTTCATTAAGAAATAGATGTGGGCACCTACTATTCATGGTTATACTCACTCCTGAACCCCATTCCCTGAGGATTATTTATTTTTATTTCTCTGTATGAGAAACAGATATGATTATGTGGGTATAGGCATGCTGTAGTCTGCATGTGGAGACAACCTTTGGATGTCAGGCCTTACTTCTTCCTTGAGACAGGATTCCTCAATGCTTTGGAAACCAGGTTGGCTGCTCTTGGAGCACCATGAGATTCTCTTGTCACCATCTCCCATCTCCTGTAGGAACACACTGAAATTACAGATATGTGGTACTGCCTGTGGGGTATTTGCTTGTTTGTTTGTTTGTTTGTTTTAATGGGGGCTCTGATGATCCAAACTTAGGTTGTCAGGCTTACTGGGTAAATGCTGTTACCCACCAAGCCATCTCCCCAGCCCCTGGGGATTTATTTTTATTTGGTCCATAGTTGTAGAGTTACTCAATTTCCAGAACAGCCTGATGGTTTAGCATATAGAACCAATTGCTAGTGGCATGCTTGGCAACCAAAATTTGATCTCCTGAACCCTCATAAAAGTAGCAGGAGAAAACTGATTCTACAGAGTTGTTCTCTGATCTCCATATTTGTACCATGGTACTCTTGCACTCCTACTTATACTTCATGTTCACATCACTACACAATAATAATAAATAAAATTTTAAGTTAGCTGGTTTCCTTATTAGTTCTTTAGAAGTGTTTAGGGGATTGACTTAGAATTTTAATGAAGGGAATGAAGACACATGTGGCTGTATACTGAACAAGAGTTCCTTTTGAGTGTTTTTCCCCTCTTGCCTATTGAAAACCTTTACAGAATATTTTTTTAAAGATTTATTTATTTTTATTTATGTGGAAGAGTGTTTTGCCTGTACTGTATCTGTGCACCATGTGTATGCCTGGTGCACACTAAGACCAGAAGAGTGTGATGGATCCCTGGAAACTGGAATGAGGACAGTTGTGAGCCACCTTGTGGGAACTGGAAATAGAGCCCACCTCCAGCTGGTGCTTTTAACTGCTGAGTCCTCTCCAGCCTCACTTTACAGAATTTTAAGGGCTTTTCTCCTAGATCCTGTGCTCCTTGGAATTTCTAATAATTTATCCAAGTCCTGTGTTCGCTTTTTCTGTTTTCTTATGGAATTGTTTCTCCTCAAGTGTGGGTGTTCACTGGAAGTTGTATTCATGGCACTAATTTCCTCTTGCATTTGTCTAATCCCTGACTTAACTGCTAGTTCTATTATGTAGTAATACTTTCCCATGCTTCTTTAACAGAAGTCCTGAACGTGTCACGACATTTAGGCATGACTTTGAACTATGCCATAGCTCCAGAAACAATTCAGTCTACAATCATTTGCTTGACCATGCACATTGCTGCAATAATAATGCATAAGTCTCCCTCCTTTTTTCAAATGTCAAGTTCTGTGTTTATAACCCAATTGACTGGTTCATAGTTCCTTGAGAAATCAACCTTTCAAGTTTACTATGTTTTGTGATGCTGAGAATTAAACTTAAGACCTTGTAACATGCTTTCCAAATGCTAGCCTTACCACTTAGCTTCCTCCCCCAGCCATAGAGGTTTCTTTTTGTTGTTACTGTTTTGGTTTTCAGAGACAGCCTTGCATGTTGTCTAGACTAGTACTAACTTCCTGGGCTTTTAAAAGATCCTCTTTTCTTAGCTTCCTGTATATTTAGGACTACAGGTTTAGATTTCTTTCTCAAAGAAAAAGTATATGGGGTCTGGTAAGATGGCTCAGCAAGCAAAGACATTTGCTGCCTTTTTGCCAAACCTGTTGGATGACCTGGGTTTAGATTGCAAGCAGAAGGTTACTTTGAGCAATAGCCACAGTCTGTTAATCCTGGTAGATGAAAAGGTTTTGTGCTTAAAGTGCCAGTAAGCCTGTGATCTGAAGAATCAATAAAATATTAAGTTGTTGGATTTTTTTTTAATATAGGATGAAGGAGTTGAATCTGATGATTTGAAAAAAGATCTACCTCTAATGCCACCACCTCCAGATTCATGTAGCATGAAGTTGACCATTAAAGAAATTTGGTTTAGTTTTGCAGCTCCTACCAATGTGAGATCTCCTACGCATGCATTTTCTAGGTAAAAAATTTCAAAATATAGTTTTGTCCATTAACAGATTGTCTCAGACAGCATACTTTTCTGTTTCATGTACTTACTGAAATATTTTTCTGACATATCTAGTACTCTGTGAGTGCCAAGGTGGCTATTCTTCTTTTCTTTCTCATTGGATACTTTCTGTAGACATTATATATTCTCTACTTAGTCCAATTTCTTTACTATTATTTTAGCTGTATTTACTTGTGTGCTGTCTTAAAACTTTGGTTTTATTCTTCATTTCAGACATGTTTGCCCCTTTTTTCTTTCCAAGTATCCATTTCTTATAATATATATGTTCATAATTTGTTAGTTGCCAAAAAGAAAAATATTGCCTGAGTAAAATAATAGTAAATGCTATGTATATAGGAGATTGCTTGAAATACAAAGCTTGATCTTATGATTTTTTTTCCTTTATTTTAAAAGGCAGCTGAATCTTTTAAGCACTGCAACTCCAGCTGTTGGTGCATGGCTGGTTCCCATTGATCAACTCAAGTCATCTTTAAACAAATTAGAGACTGAGGGAACCTTGAGAATTTGTGCTGTTATGGGATGCATAATGACAGAAGCTTTAGAGGTGTGTCTTTTAATCATAAAAGGTATCAGACATGCTTGGTTACTGAAAATGATTCACTGCTATAATAGTTATCAGACAATACCAAATCTACAGGTTCTTAATTACTAGATATCTTTGATTATAGGATCTCTTACATATATAATTCTAAGTCTTTTGTTCTTATTCGGCTTTCAGAATAAAAGTGTACATTTTCCTCTCAGAAGTAAATACAATAGACTTACAAAAGTTGCTCGCTTTCTCCAAGAAAATCCTTCGTGTTTACTATGTAATATTCTACATCACTACCTCCACCAAGCAAATTACTCCATCATTGATGATGCCACAATGGTTAGTACTAGATTTTTGTTGTTGTTTTTGGAGACAAGGTTTCTTTGTGTAGCTCCTGGAACTTGCTTTTATAGACTAGGCTTGCCTCAAATTCACAGAGATCCGCCAGTCTCTGCCTCCTGAGTGCTGGGGTACTGGGATTAAAGGCATGCATCACCACACCTGATTGGTAAGTATTAACTTCAAGGAAGCTGCTATCTGTAGCAGTAGTACTGATGGACAGGTTGAGAAATTTGATTAGAAATAACAGGTTAATAGATAGGTGTTAGTAGAAACTGTCAACATGGATAAGATTTTTCACCATGACAGGTTAAATGAGAAATGGTCAAAGATAGAATTCTGAAAAGATACCAAACTTCAAGTTTAGAGTGGTTGTATAAAGCAAGACTGAGTGCTAAGAAGGGAAGTAGAGGGATATAACTGAGACAGTTATATTCTAGAAGCCAAAAGCATAAATTTCAAGCCAGAAAATAATCCCTAACGTCATAATGACTTAATAAAATAAAGAGTGATTAATCATAGAGGGAGAATATGTAAGTGTACAATGCATCCCTGCCCCTAGAATAGCAAATACCACATTGTGATTGAGATTTTAGAAGTTCAGGAACATTGTTTGTCTTCTCCAGGCTTCTGGGTAGTAGAGCATATACAACAATATTTAACCAAATTAGGCATCTATGAATCAGTACTATTAATGGCCAGACAAGAAAAGAATCTATGATATGTGATTAGTTTTAAAAATATGTTTATACCTAAGACTGAAATAGCACTTTCTACTTTCTGGGAATTGAAGAGTAAGTTGTATAGTTTTATCCTGACATGTCTATTCTAGTTTTGGTCAGAGAAGGTAGAACAGAGAGACTTGAGGCACTAGCCCTGAGGGAGTGTTCTACAAGATGTGAAAGGAAGAGGTTCAGATGGCTCTGTGTCTAGGCAGGAAAGAAAAGGCCTGGTGTTCCTCAGCAAGTGAGTGTGCCTTCCCTCCCAATTATTAATAGAGTTCTTTGGCCAAAGAGGCCATTTATGTTAGTGTGAGGAATTGCAGAAGAGTTGAGGAAAATTTACAGTTTTCTTTTTCTGCTACAGCTAAAATAGGAAAGTAACCAAAGTTTTTTTTTCTTGTAATCATCTTCATTGTTAACTTTCAAGATAGTTACAAATCCATTTATACCCAGCACGTAATTTGCAGCAATTCATTTTAACATTTAAAAGTAGAGATACATGATAGATTGCTAATCTTTGCAGTGAATAATTTTATTCCTTCTCAGATTAATAAATCATCTAAATAGCTCAAAAGAAATTTTGAATTTTCATTTGGGCCAAAAAAGTATAGTCTATTAAACGAGTCTTTAAAAAACAACAACAACAACAAAAAAAAACACTTTGTACACAGTGTTTATTTAGTGTCATGTTCACCAGAAGCAGCCATGGTGCTTTATGACAAAATTATGAAATGCTATATTTAGAGTCTGGGTTCTATATCAGTCTATTTTCTATTACTATAATCAAATACCTGAGGCTAGTAATTTAGGAACAAAGGATGTTTCTTTAGTTCCCGAGTTCCCAGAGCATAGCACTGACATCAGTGTGGCTCTGGTAAGGATGAGAATCCCTTGGCAGTGGCTTCATGGTGTGCACATGAGAGAAAGAAAGAGATAGAGGGTGGGGGAAGGGAGGGAGGGAGAGAGAGAGAGATTGATCACATGCCAGGATAGGAAGCCAGAAGCTGGTGAGGTCATGGCTTTGCTCTTTAATAACAGTTCATATACAGACTAACCAGGTGTCACCAGTACTGCTGTGATGAGTTCTAAGACCACTGTCCCCAGTGATCTCCATTAGATCCCCTTTTAAAGATTCTGCCCCTTTTCAAAAACATTGCCACACTGGGATCCTAACTTTTAAAGTCTGTAAACTCTTGAGAGATATTGTCAGTGTATATGTGGAAGGTTTTATTGTCAACTTGAAATCCTGGGCATTGTTGAACAGATTGCTTAAAATCTAAATTTAGTCTTTTCATCTGTAAGTGGTCATTTTGAGATTTAACTGAGTTTTTCATTGTTAATGCAGAGTGATGGGCTTCCTGCCTTGGTAACTTTAAAGAAAGGATTAGTTGCTTTGGCAAGGCAGTGGATGAAGTTCATTGTGGTGACACCTGCCTTTAAAGGAGTTAGCTTACACCGACCAGCTCAGCCACTGAAACCTCCAGCTGCTATGGACCAGGAGCATGAAGATGGACTTGGCCTGGATAATGGAGGTGGTCTTCAAAGTGATACCAGTGCTGATGGTGCAGAATTTGAGTTTGATGCAGGTAACTTTAGACTAGGGTACTGTTCAACATTTCTTTCCTCATTGTAATCACTGTGGTTTTTGTTTTTGTTTGTGTGGGGCTGGGTGCTGTATATGTGTGTCTTGTAGGAATAGCTTCATATCAATAATATGCCTCTTTTAAAGATACCTATCGCCGGGCAGTGGTGGCACACACCTTTAATCCCCAGCACTTGGCAGGTAGAGGCAGGTGGATTGCCTGGTCTACAGAGCAAGTGCTATGAGAGGCTCCAAATATATACAGAAAAACTCTATCTTGAAATTTTATAAATCCATATTCACATTGACTTTGGAATCTTTTTACTAAACAAATTTATAATTTATCTTTGTGAGCTACAGTAGACTGATGTTCTGTCCAGTAGAGACAAATTGTATAGCAAACTCATCAATATAATCCGCCTTTTAAAGTTCTATTTGCCCCATTTATCTGTTTTTAAAGGAGTTTTGTCTTATTGCCTGTTACATATATTTGATCTTTAAGTAAATTTGGAAGCCTGAGCTGAATATACAATTCTGTAAATAAAGTGTGCTGCATCTGAACATGGTATATGTTTTTGAAATGTATGTTTTTACTTTAACTTTTGCCAAAGGTTAATTTTTTTTATTATGTCTTTCAATGTTTTGAAAAAGAATTTAAAAGTAGGGGAAAGGAATACTCAAAATTAGAGCTTTCAGAACATTTATATAGCTTAATGTTTAAATTTTTACTTTTAATAAATACATCAAAAAAGTGGCTTGTATTTTATTGCTTATTATCCAGAATTATTTATGTACAGCGTTTGAATTAGTTCAGTGGCTTTCCCTTCTAATTAACTCCTGGCATCTGTATTCATTTGTGGCACTCTGCATATTCTAGAGGGTGATAGAATTGGTTTTTGGTCACTGTATTAGTGGATTGTTTAAACTCAAATTAAGATTGGAGAGTAAGAAAACAAAAATATAAAAATTAGAAAATTATTTCAGCCTATAAAAATGGATTGTAGTTATACAGATCAGAATGTTGTTAGTTGGTTTTTCAAGAAAATGTATGGTCATAAAACATAGTCTTTTTTTGATCATTTTAGCCACAGTCAGTGAACACACAATGCTTCTAGAAGGAACAGCTAACCGGCCACCACCTGGAAGCTCTGGACCTGTCACTGGAGCTGAAATAATGAGGAAGCTTTCTAAAACTCACACCCATAGTGACTCTGCATTAAAAATAAAGGTATAGTATTGCTGGTTTTGATTATGGAGTTTAAACTTAATAGTGTCAGCCTATTGTTTTAATTTCAATATTAAATATATTAGATGTTTACTCAAAATATTCCAGTAGTTTATGTTGAAATTAATTTGGTTAATTATTTTCAGTATATATATTTCCATGAAAATTATGTCATCAATGTTTAATACTTTTAAATATTTTACTAAACTTATGTGTTCATTCTATCTTACTGAATATTATATGCAATAAAAATGTTGATAATCTTGTCATATCAGTTTTAGTGAGAAGCCTTTTAGGCTGTGTATTACCAATGCAAAGCTTAGGTTGGGTTTTACAAATTAAGATCTTAATTTACACTCCATTGTTTTAACAAGTTTAAAGAACACTTGATAAAAGGGACAATATATCCTAGTGAGTAGAATGGCATATGGAGTAATACCCTCATTTCAGTCCTGCTCTGTAACTTAAAAAATTGCTGACTGTATTGTGTATCCTTATTTGTAAGGTAGGGATTTTGACAGCAAACTCCTGTGGAGGATTGGAGAAATAACTGAGTTAAGACATATTAACTGTATCTGATACTTTGTATTGTTATGGTTTTTTTTTTTTATGTTAGTTTGCTTTTCCAAGAACTGAAAATGCTAGTTAGCAGTTCGACATTCATTCAAAGTCTGCAAGTAGACTTACAGTGACACTCAGAATAACTTTGACATTAAAATTTAAACTTCTAAATAAAAATTATAAATAAAATACACATGAAAAAGTGCTCCCAAATAAACAAGTCTTTTCCTAATCACTAAGAAAAAACAAGATACTAAAATACTAAAAAAAAAATTTAAAAATGGATAAAGATATAAAAAATGTCACAAAAAATATATACACATACGAAGATGACATTTCCATTTTTATCTATAAGATTAGAATACTAAAACTTTGGATATTACACATTATAGGTGAAAACATAAGAAAACAGTCATTCTCACACAATGTTAGAATATTGTTGTATGATAAACCTTGTCCTGGGGAGACACTACACACATGCCTACTTACCCCAAATAGAGAACCCATGATGGACCAAAATACAGATAGCACCAGAGTCCAACTTGAAGAAGCACTGAATTTTATTAGGTTACTTATAGGACTAGGAGTGGAATGTTTCAATCTGGGAAAAAACAGTTGCACAAAAAGTGAACATGGTTGTGACTCTTTTGAAGGACAGCATGATAATTATATATGCAAAGTTAAAATCTTTCCTTGTCAACAACTATTCATTTTTGTTACCATAAATCATCAGACAGATCCTAGAGCTTTTTTAAAGGCAATACTAAATGGGAAAATATTGGACATGACATAAAAGAATTAATAAATTATTGAAGGGACTAGCTCCCCATTTCTGCAGCCATAACAGCCGGACACGTGCTTTTCTGACCTTGCCTTAGTCACTAGAGGTTAGGTGCCTGCCTCATGACAAGGTACCAATCAGAAGTTAGCTGGTGGTGCTATGCTTTACGACTCTGGGTGTACTTTACTGACAAGCACACAGCAATGACGCTTAGCAACCACCCTGGGAGGGCCTATGGGCCATAACAACCCAGTTGGCCAATCAGCACAGGGCAAGCCCTCCAAGCCTGGAGGCACACCAATCCTGAGCCTGTGCATACCCCTAGACACTCCCCTTACACTGCCCTATAAGATCTCTATGTAGATGCTTTGCAGTGTCTTTGCTAGCCATCCACCATGGCGGGTGGGTGAAAGACCCAAGCTAACATGGGGTTAGCTCGTTAAAAAAAAAAAAAAAAAAAGCCTCATGCAGTTTGCAGCAAGTTTTCGAATCCATCTGGTGATTGGGTGACCTCGGTTCTGGGCTGGGATCCCGGAAGCCTGAGTTTTCCGGGGGTCTAACATATGTACACTGTTATAAATGCCTACCACAGTCTTTCCAAAAACAGGTTAGGTCTGTGTACAGCTATGGATGTCACCGGAGATACTTGGATTGGATTAATAGCAGATAGGGGTGTGTGTTTGTGTGTGTATGTGTGTTTTTCCTTTTCTACTGCTGTGAAGAAACACCCTGACCAAGGCAACTTATAATGAAGGTTCCAGACCCTCACCCAACCCCCTGCTTTGACAGGCTGCAGAAAAGACCTAGTAAGACAAAGGCCCCTGACTCAGCATGAGCTTAGTTTCTGGCCTTCTGACCTTGCAGGAGCTGCCTTAGTCACTAGGAGGTCAGATACCCTCCAAGTGGCAAGGAACCAATCAGAAGTTAGCTGGTGGGCTTTAGGCATGCTTTAGGATGCTTTATGGAACTTTACAGTAAAAGTGGCATAACAGTATCATGCAGGGCATAGCAACCGCCCTGGGAGGGCCTATAGGCCATAACAACCAGTTGACCAATTAACACAGGACAGGTTGCCCAAGCCCAGAAGCTCACCAATCCTGAGACTGTTGCATACTCCTAGACACTCTCCTTGCTTTACGAAATAAATTCCCTACTTTGCTGTTTCTTGGAGTCCTTCTCATTCTACCTGCCATGATAAACATACTAAGGGCCCAAGTTAATACAGTTAACTCGTTAAATAATAAAAGATTCTTTGCTTTTGCATCAGAATGGGTGTCTTAGTAATTTTGGGGTTCAGAATTTGGGCACAACAGTAAAAGAAAGCATTTAAATGGGGATTGGAATCCATGGCTGTCATTCTGAAAGCATGGCAGCAAGCAGGTAGGCATGGCAATGGAGCAATAGCTGAGAACTTACATGCTAAGATAACCATGAGGCAGAAAGAAAGAGAGGTAGCTGGGAATGGCATAGGCTTTTGAAACCTCCAGGCCACCCCTAACACACCTCCAATAAGGTCACACTATCTAATCCTTCCCAAACTATTACACCAACTGCAGAACAAGCATTCAAATGTGAGCCTATGGGGGCTATTCTTATTCAAACCACCACAGTGTGTATGCTTTTATAGCACATAAATAATATAGGAAGAAAAGAAACTAGAAAAACATTGGGGAAGGAATCTAGAAAATTAAAACACAGAACTTTCTACTAAAGTTTCTTATGTGTTGAAAGTTTTTATTTTGTGTACACATTCCCTTTTAAATTAAAATATTTGTTAAAGTGGTAATTTTAAAACACACAATAATAGATTGGTGCATTCTTTGTTATTATTAAAATGCTAGAAGGGTGAGTATTCTCATTTCTTTTTTGTTGCTATGATACATACTCTTAAAAAGCAACACAGGGGAGGAAAGTTGCTTTTTTTTTTTGACTTATATTTCATGTTATAGTCCGTCATTTTAGGAAAGTCAAGACAAGGACTCGAGCACCTTAGTCACATCATATTGACCATCAAGAATATATGCATCTTTTTTTATACTGTGCAGGACTCCTTGCCTAGGGAGTGGTGCCACTTGCAACAGGCTACGTTCCCACATCCATCAGCAGTTAAAACAGTCCTCAACTGACACGGCTATAGGCCAACCCAGTTTTGACAATGCCCCATTAGACAGGCTTCCCAACTTGGCTGTGTCAAGTTGACAATCAAAACTAGTTAGCAAAGATACCATAATATCTTAAATTTCCTTAGTTGATATTTATAAAACTGATTTTTCTTTAATGAGACAAAGCTAATAATCTACATAAAAAAGCATACAAAGGATTAAATAACATGAAATATGCATAACACATGTTTAGTATGTCGTAAGTGCTCACTCTTATCTCCTACAGTTGATAAGTTTCTTTCCCTTCCCCCACCTGAATGAGGGCATATAAAAATGTAGGCCTTTCTGCTTTCTGCTAATAGTTTAGTGGTCTTTTTTCTGTATCACCTGTTCTTACTCAGAAAGGCTCTAGTTTCCTTTCTGTTGGTTTTCTATGCTTACCTCTAGTTTAAAGAAAGAGTACAGGAGAGATTGTCAAATGGCTTTCCTTTTCTAGTTTTGTTGTTATTTTTTGATCTGTGTTTTATATGTTTCTTGATTTTTGTTTGTTTTGATAAAAATCTTGTTTCTCCTGGCCTGGAATTTACTGTGTTGATTATGTTGACCTTGAACTCATGGCAGGTCTCTTGCTTCAGCCTCCTTTGTGCTGAGATTATGTGTAATGCATTATGCCTTTCCTGGTAGTGATACTTTACTTTTGATGGTATCAGTCATGTAACAAGTTGATTCTTAGTTTTTTAAGAGAAGTTTTTGGGTATCAGTTGCTGGATCAGTAATTAAGCAGTGATAAAAAGAATTGCTTCTGGCAACTTCTTTAAATAGCTATAAGCATGTTCATAACCTCTATAAACACTCTTTCTCATGACTTGCTTAGGTCCTGATGCTCTGAATACTCGCCCTTTAGATATTTACCAACATTTTATTTCCTTTGTTCTGTTGGAGATGTCGTTCTATGACTCCTGTTCAGCCTTAGAAACTGATTAATGATTCTTTGTTAAAATACTTCAAGGGATATACTTGAATATGATGTGTAGCCCATAATATTGTATTACAAAGTTATAGAAAATGCTTTTTTACATTTCAGACTCAACAATCTTAGTTGACACAATCACTGTATTAAAGGATAGGATAGCTAGTGGCAATAACAATAGTCATAGAGGTTGTAATTATCAGGAGTCATTTTTACATATGTCAGAAAAAAATCCTGTGTTCATTTTATAGGGCATTCATCCATATCATTCTCTGAGTTATACCAGTGGAGACACTGCTACAGATTCTCCAGTACATGTTGGACGTGCTGGGATGCCAGTAAAGGAGAGTCCAAGAAAGGAGAGCCTTCTTAGCTATCTGACTGGAAGCTTCCCAAGCCTGCACAACCTTCTGGAAGGCACTCCTCAGAGAAGTAGTGCAGCTGTGAAAAGTAGCTCCTTAACAAGAACAGGTATCTCACTGCAATGGATCTAGGTCCCTCCTCTGTGTGTACACACACACACACACACACACACACACACACACACACATAAAAATAATTCTTTCAATTAATTTTGTTTTGTTAAGAAATAGAAAAAAGTTTATTATATACTTTGCTTGCATGGGTAATCTTTTTAGTATACTTTGTTTTTGAGAAAATATTTTAGAAGAAAATTGTAACTTTTCTTTATGCCTTTCCTTTATTTTTAAGTAAGAGCTGACTAATGCCAATCTGCACATGCTGAGGCTAAGGACTGTAGAATCATCACTCTGTGATAATAAAAATGAATTCTGTACTGAATACCTTAGAATCCATATAGCAACTTCATGAAGTTAAAAAATATTTGGAGAGATGGCTCAGTAGTTAAGAGCAGTAGCTGCTCTTGCAGAGTACCTAAGTTCAGTTCCTAGCACCCACATGGCTGCTGACAACTGTCTTAACTCCAGTTCCAATGGATTCTGATGTCCTCTTCTGACTTCCACAGGCGCTGCATGCCCTTTGTTCACAGACACACTCAGGCAAAACACCTATATGTATAAAATAAAAGTAAAGGAATCTTTAAAAAAAATATTTGCAAAGACATTTTTATCTGACTTTCTGAAATTATGTGACATTTTTCTGTGTTATAGTATATAATAATTTTATTCTAAGTAAACTTTGTTTTCAGGAAATACAGTAGCCACTGACATGTTGTCTGAACATCCTTTGTTATCTGAGCCATCATCTGTGAGTTTTTATAATTGGATGTCAAATGCTGTGGGTAATCGTGGAAGTGTGGTACAGGAATCTCCTGTTACAAAGTCAGGACATAACAGTCTTCCAACAGGTATTAAAATTGTTATTTTTATCTTAACTGTCTTAAGTGGCACAAACAGTTACAGCAGAATCTGGTTTCTCAGAGGATAATTATATTATCAGATGCTTAAGTGATATTTGATTGAAGTTGGACTCATTCAGAAAATGGTAAATTAAACTATCACTTGGTGTTCTTGTTATATCAAATATGAGATTTAAAAATTTCCATTTAATGTGGTTAGTTAAACATTCATAACACCAAAGGAGGCAGGTTAAAAAACAAAAGGTATAGTTATAACCCGATGTACTTACAGTATAGAAAATACTTTGAATTTGTCTAGCTCTCTCTGAGACATAACTGTATCATTTCATATACTCTTTGTAGTTACTTAACAAATATGTAATCAGATCTATATAAACAGTAAAATAAGATTTCTTTCCTCAAGGAGAGAGATAAATGAGGGCCATTTATTAATTTTAAAAGAATATGCATGTGTAGAAAGAAAACTGACAGGATATTCCCCAAGAAAGTGGTTGCTATATCCAGTTGAGTATATTAGCCTTCTTTTTCCTATTTTTGAAGGTTTTCCAAGTTAGTAGGCTTTGGTCCTGATTACTAATGGTCACTAAAAATAAATCTTTAAAACAGCTATCTGAACCATGTGAATTCTTTCCATATAGAAATTATTAAAATGTGAAAAGTACTTGATTTGTAAGTGCTTACCCAGCTTTTTCTCTTGTTGGTGTGGCCCATCTCAGTTTTGAAGTGATCTAATAGCCTTACCTAGGTCTCTGCCTTGACCCTTGACTGAAGAAGATAGACAGATGGCACCCTGAACTTCTTGGTGTCTTTTCTGGTTCTCATGTCACTGTTGTTCTGAGTAGCTATAATTTAAATTACAAGGAGAACTAGAATGGAGCAGTTCCTCTCTTTCTCAAGGGTCCATTGTCTGGCAACTTACATGATAAAGGAGGTGCCCAGGGAAGCCATAGTTCATATGGTTGTGTTCATCTTCAGGAAAGCCTAAGTGTGATTCTGTTAACACTATGGCTTTCGCTGTACTGCATTTGCCTTTCAAAGCTTTTTCCAGTCATAAAATTCCACATTTTGGACTGACTGGCTTGAGTACCTGGATGAAGATCTTTGGTATTTTCTGAATATTTAATTTTATTTTTATTAATAAATTACCTCTATCAATTTTCTTATTACAAATTTTAGTATTTCTTTTCCTTATCAGTGGTCTAGTAAGGGGACTATAACATTGATTCTTTTAAATTTTACTTGTTATACCCTTTTATGATTTCCAAATGATTCATATTTTATTCTTGAAATTTTGCTGTTAGGAGTTGCACCCAATCTTCCTACGATACCATCAGCCTCAGATTTCAACACTGTCTTGTCTAGTGATCAGAATACTTTGGATGGGACACATTCTCAGCATAGTACGAGTCAAGATGACGTGGCAGGTGTAGAAGAAGCAAACCAAGGCTTTCCTGCTGTTCAGCTTGCTGATGCACAGGTGAGCTTGCTTGCTTTACTTGATACTGATGTCACCTCCAGCAGCAGGACTTAGAGCAGGAACTATTAAGCAATTGATACCTGAAGTTCAAATGAACTCTGTTCTGTGCCTGTGATTAGAAGCCTTCATGCAGAACAGGAACAGCCTTTAAAAAGTACATTGATTAATTATGAATGCAATTTAACCAATAGGTTATCAAATTGAAAGTCCCATTATAATGTTTTTGTTATGTGTTGAAAATTGACCATGACTAGAAAATTAATTTTATCATAGCCCACAGTCTTTCATATAAAGTTAAGACTTTATTAAATGAGCAATTGGGAGATATTTGATTTAGAATAGAGAAATAAAGTAATTAAAACATGTAGAGATACATGAGAAGCAATGTAAATGAATGAGCAGAAAAAGAAGCAGTGAAAAGTGAACTGTTGAAGTAGTTCATACCAATAATCATGAAACTCTAGGAAAAAAGTTGTGGCTTTGCAAAGTATAGACTGATTTTAAAAAAAAGGAAAGGACATGACTACTCCTAGGCATGGTGGAGGACCAAGTTTATAAAAGGGAGTGCATAGCTAGAGTCATGGATATCAGGGAGAGTTCAAAGTGGACATGATCAGCCTGAGCTGGGCCATGTGAGGAGAGGAGCGGGGGTGGGGGGGGGCAGATGCAGAGCCAAGAGGGCAAAGGTACAAAAGGGGGAAGTAACCAAGTATATAGGGAAGAGCCTCTTGGGGAAGGACAGCCCAGCCCCCGAGCCTGGGGAGTTGGGTTGGGTGGGAGTAAAAGACAGGGTATGACAGCTATACCCTATAACATGTTGGGACTAGGGGATGCTGGGAGAGCCTAGCTGCCAGGTCTGCTTTGTTATGTTAAATAGGCATCTCAGCCATTTGTCCCAGGGTTTGAGATTTAACATAAACAAATAGTGTGAAATCTTTTGGAATATCTTAAGTTTGAATGAATAGAAGACAAATTGGAGTGTGGGACATAGAGATTGAGAACTGTTGGAAAAAGAGGCTTGAATGTAAATATGTACTTATAAGGAGTTCAGAAGGTCATTCACAAAGGAAAGTAAGGTTGGGATGGAATGACATTTGTACAGAAATGAGAAATAATTGATGTTTAAATAGAGCTCTTTGAGCGTAATATGTATTTTTACTCTAAAAATTTTTGAGAAAGCTGAAATTTGTAAATTATTAGCTTCCTTTTTTTTTTCTATGTCACATAAACCATAGTTATTTATTTTATGTGTTGGAGTAGTTTTTAGGACTTCCTTTTTTTTTCAGATGGGAGAGTTGTGCTCATTAGTATTTGAATCCACTGGGAAAGACAAAGACTTAGACTCAATTCAAATTTAGATTCAATGAGTTTATTCTTACTGCTAGCAAAAGGACTGTAGCCTTAGAGCCAAAGGGCATGCTGGAAGGGGGGTAAGGTAGTTTTAAAGGCAGATATCAGAAAGGCGTGTATTACAACTATCCATGGAATTGAATCCACAGATGGGCAGTTGGTACTCTACTATTAGATACATGTAATTCTGTGACATTAAGATAGCTGGGGATTTGACCAGAATAGTGCACTTCTGTAAGCATTTAGAGAAGGAATCTTTAAAATATAAAATAATGTATTTGACTAAAACATGTTAAGTGACTGATATTGTCTTACATCTCTTGGTTATTTATTTTCTGCTATATAGACCATTTCATCCCTTTCCTATAGCAGTTAAGTAGGTTTTACAGAAACAAAGGCAGCATTAATACCTCACAGCCCATTATCCTATTCTTACCTGCAAGCCACTTAGTATCTCCCAGGTATTCTAGAGTAAAAAGTCAAAGACCCTTAAGGGATACCTGGCTCCATATTAAGTTCCTTTACCCATTACAGGGGACCTGTGTAAATTATTACTCAGGTCTGAGCACTGTAATGACTGGGATAGAGCAGTTCATTTCTGGGCAGGCAAAAACATAGTGCCATCTGATTAGGGCTAGTTGTCAGGCCCCACAAGAGATCAATATGCTATAGATGAGATTAAGAAATCAGGTTTGTAAATATTTCAAAAAAATGTAACAAATAATATGTAGTTAATTGGTATAGCCTTAGAGAAACAATGGTGCTCCCTCAAAAAATTAAGAACCAAATTACCAAATGCTTCAGCACTCTCACTGCTGACGTAAGTCAAAAGGAAAATTTCTCTCCATGTGCCACACTAAAGTAAAATTGTTTTTTTCACACTAGGCTTTCACATCTTCACAAGAGTGACATGTATTCTTAAGTACAAAGGACTAAAGTGACCCAGGATATCTGAAAATCTGGACTTGAGTCTCACAGCATAATCCTTCCTTCGTTTGTTTCTTTTGATAGGACATAAGCTTCAAGACAAAATCAAATCACTAAGGGGTGGGTGCAGTGAATTAGAAGGAGCTGGGGACCCACTAAATAGCATTCATATGTAGGATATGTATAAGGAAAGAGAAACAGACACCATACAGTCAGTAGTTAGGGTGTTATGTTACTCTGCTATTATACACATATATTTGCTTCTGTGACATGGAGATTTGACCAGAGTTACGTCCTTCTGTAAGCATTTAAAAAAGGAATCTTTAAATTATATGTGCTAAAACATGTTAAATGACTAATATAGACAAGTGATATCATTTAAAATGGGATAAATGTTCATAATATAATATATAAACTGGGTTTTTTATTATTACAAGAAGTGATAAATTTTTAGTGAACCTTATATATTGGTTCTGGGTTGTTTTGTTTCTGTTTCTATTCCCGGAGATTGAACTCATAGCCTCTCTCATGCTAAGCAAGTGCTCTATTACTGAACTATAGCCACATCTTCTTTTAAACAGTTATTTTGAGATAAGGTCTCACTAAATTGCCCAGGCTGGAACTCTGTAGCCCAGCAGGCTTTGAATTCTCATTGTTTTTGACTAGCTTCTCTATTAGCTGTGATAATAGGCTTGTGTTACAAGACCTGACCTGGTACCCATTTTGTTTTATTCTAATAGAAACTCACTGGTTATCCATAGGGTTTATAAAAAGCATGAATGAGTGCAAATTAAATTATTTTACTCTCAGGGAAGTTATTGGTAATCTTTGCTTTCGTCAAAAAATTATGATGTCTTGGTTTTGTTTCATTTTGTGATAATAGATACTATGTGCTAGAATAAGAACAGAAGTGATTAAATGATGAACAGTTAATTAATTATGTTAATGTGGCTGTTTGCTGTCTTCCAGGTTGTTTTTAAACCTCTACTGAGTCATACTGGAATCCAGTCACAGGACACAATGCCCCTCTGTTACCGGATGTACTTTGGAGAACACCTTTCATTTTCAGGAACTTTGGACTGCCTCAGAGCAGACATTGTAGATTCAGACACAGCTAAAGACAGGAAAGGCAAAAGAGCAAGAAGGTATTTTTCATATTGTATAAGCTTTTATTCAAGGATTATAATGAATTTTAGTAACAATGAGATAATTTCTATTTAATAAATATAATAATAATGTTTTTTATAAATAATTTGTTGATTTTATTAATGGATTAAGCAGTCAATTTTAGGCATATTTTTGTAGCATGTACATGAGATATTCTAAAGTATATCTCTTGATAAATGCACTTAGCATTGAAATGCTTAGCTTTAGTAGTAGAGTTTTTATGGTTGTTTGCACTTATAATTTATTCCTAACTTACCTTTTCAGTTGACTTAGCACATTTGTATAGTTATGGATATATTTATATATGTATACATGTGTCTGTGTGATTGTATACACACATTGTATTTATAGAGGTGGAGTGTACACATGCACAGAGACCAGAAAAAGGTGTCAGGTATTCTCTAACGCTTTCTACCTATACTTTTGTAACAATGTCTCTCCTTCACCTGAGTTTAATGTTTTGTTGGCTAGGCTGGAAGCTAGCAAGCCCTAGAAATCCTACTTCCCTAGCCCTTAGAACTGGGGTTACAGGTGTTGATGGGATGCTTGGCTTGTTAAATGAATGCTGAGGTCTGGATACCTCTTCTCATGATTGCAGAGCAAGCACTCTTAGTCTCCAGCCCCTCCGGTGGTATTTTGTATCAGGAATAGAGTAAAATTCATATTGAGAGTATAGCCATCAGAAACAAATATACAGGAAGACAAAGGTAGCATATTTGCACTAAATATAGGAGCTATTACTACCATTCTGTATTATCATGAGTAGTTCTTCCGTTTCTTTACTGCTTGTATAGGCAGTTTTGTATCTACTAATAGGTTTGACTGCTCATTTGAGGAATTGGAATTCTACTTTGGGTATACTTTTACACCTTGTAAAAATACAAAGAAAGTCTAAATATGTTGCAAAACATTATCAGAAATGCCACCTTTGACCATATTGCCAGTCCTTAACTCACTTGGCTGCTTTGTCCTAAGTGACTGCTTCACATGTACCTGGAATTCTTTTCTCCTTTTCTTCGCTGTTCTTCATTTTGGTCATCCTTATATATTTCATGTTTTTTGGTTTGTTTATTTTTTTCTCAGATATTTGTTATCCCCCTCCTCAGTTTTGGATTCTTTTCATATCTTTTAGTCTTATGTTTGTTCTAGTGCTTAGTGTCCAGTGTTCCCTTCTGTAACCACATAATATACTATAATGTGACATACTTTTTATTAATAAATGTTAGTATTCAGTAAGGAATTGCATGGTTTAGTTATAAACTCATAGTTAACTTAGTTTCTGACTTTTTGAGGGGAGTGGGTTGCAAGACAGCATTTCTTTGTGTAGCTTTGGAGCCTGTCCTGGAACTCAGTCTGTAGAGCAAGCTGACCTCACAGAGATCCACCTGCCTCTGCCTCCCAAATGCTGGGACTAAAGGCGTGTGCCACCACTGCCTGGTAGTTTCTGATTTTTTAAATAGAAATATAGTCTCCATTTCATTTGCCCGTTGTGGCAATGTACTCACAATGCATAGTGAAAAGGAAGAGAAATGCTGCTTTACTTGAGATTTATTGTTATTGATAGAAGTTGAGTGGCTTTTAAAATTAAAATGTTGAAAATGACTCTAATTCTTACACAAAAGTTTTTAAATAAGTGAAGGGTTTAACAATAATTTTGTGTAAGATTTTAAGTGTTTTTAATGTGGTTTTGTTTCAGTTAGTTTTCATTTCCACTTGCAACTTCGCAAACCACTGTGAGGATTTTCTTTCCAATAACAAATAAAATTATAAGTTCGAAAATTCAATTTGTCATTTAGTATGAGGGGCTGGTTCTAATTGATATCTTAAGTGTAAATTTCCATATTGTTGGGTATGCTGTTGGAAAGCAAGAAAGTAAGTTTCCTTATTTTATTGAAACTTTTAAAATTGAGAATGAGTGATTTTTGACTTCTTAGTCAATTTTAGAGTAAAATTAACAAGAAAAACTAAAGGCTGTTTGCTAGTTCCTGAAAAGACTAGACTAGTTCAAACACATAATGTATAGAATCTCTTGCTTAATGGTACATTCCACCTTGGAGGTTATTACGCTTATAAATGCATAAGAGTATGCTAAGAGTATGTAGTTCTTCAAAAAAGGAAGTAACAGCCTTTTGTTTTCTTTTAAACATTTTAGGCAAGGCCATGTGAATCTTCCCCCACTTGAGTTCAAGCCAGCATTAATGTTGGAAACCTTCAGCATAAGTGCTGTTGTGATGGAAAAGTCAGTGTGTACTCCTCAGAATTCCACCAATGCCCTTTCCTTTCATGATCTCAATAAGCGCTATTACAACACCTTCCACTGCAACTTTACTATTTCCTGTCAGTCAATAAGTCAACATGTGGATATGGCTTTGGTTCGTCTTATCCATCAGTTTAGTACAATGATAGATGACATCAAAGCAACTCAGACAGACATTAAACTTAGTAGATACACAGCTGGATCAGCTTCCCCTACACCTACCTTCAAAACCAGAAAACACCGGGATTTCCGTTCATCTGACTTCAGCCGCAGTTCTAGAGGAAGTCTTAATGGTGGCAACAGAGTAAATAATGCCAAGAACAAACGGGCCAATAATGAGAACAACAAAAAAGAATCCAGAAACAAAAACTCACTGGGAAGGTCTGAAAGAAGAACTTCTAAAGTATCTAGGAAAGGTTCAAAAGATGTGGTAGATCACATGACCATTCATATGGATGACTCTGATTCAATCACAGTGTCAGAGCAAAGTGAGCCATCGGCTGAGTGCTGGCAGAATATGTATAAATTGCTTAACTTTTATTCACTTATTTCGGATCCAACAGGAATATTGGAAAAGTCTTCAGAAACATTTGGACCGGCAGGTAATAGGCATTTTTATGATTTTAAAATTTCTGTTTAGGAATGCTAAAAATGAAGGTAGGTTGTTCACCATATTAATGGTATAAATTATTGAAATGCAGAGTAATTGGTAGTCACCAAGGAGAGAAAATAGTGCTGGTGTTCAGATATTCTATCAACATACTTCCCATCTTCCCTGACTTCCCTAACATTGATAACTCATTAAAACATTCAGATAGACTTAATTTCAAATATCTAGATTAATCAGTTAGTCCAGTAGATACTAAGGAAGATGTTGAAAAAAAAAATAGTTACATCAATTAAGTCTAGTTTGGAATTTGAAAACAAGAAAGCTAGTATTTAGCATGTTTTTTACATTGCATTTTCCAAATCTCATACCATATACTTGTATTTACTAAAAGGTGTTCGGAGTCCTACAGAGCCAACATGTAGAGTTGTATTCGAGAATGAACAAGACAACAACAGTTTGACTAAAACACAGAGGAAACGTAGTCTGGTAACCTCTGAACCTCAGCATGTTACTTTAATAGTGTTTGGGATTGGGATGGTGAATCGCACACACCTAGAGGCAGATATTGGTGGGCTGACAATGGAATCAGAGCTGAAGAGGATCCATGGCAGTTTCACTCTTAAGGAAAAAATGAAAGGTATGAAGCTTTCCTAATACTGGAATGTTGCTTTGCTGAAAGAGTGAATGCTACCATGTTGCTGAAATTCCTACTTAGCAGGCTTTTTTTTTTTTTCAGAAAATGAGACATGCTAAAATTCTGCAAATTAGCCAAGATCAATGAGTAGATGGAGCTTTCATAACTAACAGAAGTCTTTGGGCATGGGCTCATTAATGTTTTATGCTGAGTGGCACCTATTTACTAGCTTGTCTTTGAATGTCAGCTACTAACATGTTTCTGATGTCTGAAAAGTCAAGAAAAAAAGTGAAATTTATAAAATATGCTTTTCCTTATTACTACTATAAAAATCTTATAATCTAATACTCATTTTTAATATCTTTATAAAAGTTAAGAACTTTATAAAAATTCTATTAGTGGATAGAAAAGTTCCCCTCTAGTAATGAAAATGTGCCATTAATCTAAAAAAAGATCACAGGAAGTATAATACTTTGTTAAATCTTGGAGACCATCTTTTGAGTATGCTCCATAACTTTTTGTATCACAAAGAAAATAATTCCACCAGATGTAATCAGTTGTAAGTGTACCCCGGTTTCAGAAATTGTTGTATGACACAAAGGAATAAAATTATGAATGGCCAAACGTTTTTTGTTAATTTTATGATTACCCAATTAACAAGTCTAAATTTTGCATTAAATACCCATCTTTAACTTTGTTTCATATTACGTGAAAATTTATATGAGATTAAAGAAAATTAGTGAACAAAAGATTACAAATTGTTGAGAGAAATGCAAATACATTAATTCTCAAATACAAGGCAAAGGATGTATACTGCACATACTTCAGATGGCTATATTGAAGTTAAATTTTCTTTAACTTTACTGATTTTAAAATTAACCAGTTTTTTCTTCTTTTTTTTTTAAATAAATATTAAGAGTTATATTGATACTTTTGGTTAGAATCTGGGAAATGGGCATTCACTTCTAAATCAATTGGTTTATATTCCCAAAGTTTAATATGTTTTATAGTCTTTAAACTATATTTATTATTTGACCTAGCAGTTCTAGTTCTTACAAACCTAGAAAAAACAAAAAAAATGATAATTGTGTGAAAATGAATGATGTTAAAGAGCTGATTTTTATTTTTATAGCCCCAAGATAGTTTAATATTTAGCTGTTACAAATTGTATCATAGGATTTACTTAAATGAAAAAATGCTAACAAGAAAATCAAACAAAATGACATGTTTATTTAATTTTGTAAGTAATAATTATTTTAAAATCATAGGAATTACATGAACCAAGGATAGTAGTTTATTTGCTTTCTTTTTTTTCTTTCAAAGTACATCTGTGGTATAAACCATTTAATGCCAATAAATTATTTAACTCATAAAGGCATGTTAAAGTGTATTTTTGCATAATTCTAGTTTTCATATATACTCTGTATGCATATATGAATACAAAAAAATAAGCTGAGGAAATTTTTTTAAGGCAGCTTGACAGTAATTGAGCACATTTTATTATAATTTGCAGTTATTTGTTATCAAATATATTGTTAATAAAATAATTTCAATACAAGATACAATGATCTTATTTCCAGAATTCAAATTACTTTTTTTCTCATATTCAAGATGTTTTACATCAAAAGATGACTGAGACGTGTGCTACTGCTCACATTGGTGGGGTTAATATTGTGCTACTTGAAGGGATCACACCAAATATTCAGTAAGTGTATTTACTTTTACTGTTTTCTTGTACTTTGTTACAGTTTATAGAACACTTAGAATTCCTTGAATGAACTCATACTTGGTGAATTTTGAGATTTATACAGTGTTTTTAGATACTGTCATTAAGAATATCATATGATAGGATATGAGGGCAATTTGGCTGCAAAATCCGACACCCCATTGATCACCAGGGCTGATTTGGATGATCTGGCTGACTAAGCTGGTGTCCCCTTCCTCTGTCACTGCCAATAGAGAAGGACCAGTTTTTGGTCAGGTAGCTGCACTCTTCTGCTAGAATCTCTAAAGAAGCTCCCAAGAATATCACCTAATAAAATATTTTTGGAAAAAATAATTGATTTTGTTACCCCTGTGTACTCGAAATTCATTTCTGTTTAAAAATAAGAAGGAAAAAGAAAGAGCCAATTTTTAGTACTTGGTCATTTTTACTACTAGTTTGTCCTATAGGAAAAATGATCACAGTACAAATTTCTGTTTAGCATGTAGGTTGTAAATTTTCTTGTCACTTAAATAGTTAATTAAAATTACAAGAATACAAACTGTTAATTTTATAGTAAGTAATCATTACTTCTAAGTAATGACTTTAATTAAGTAATAATTACTCAGATTCACCTAGACTTTGTCATTTTGCATTTAACAAACTTAACAGTAAAGCCTTTAAAATCTGTGTTACAATATAAATTAAGCCTTTTAAAAAGAGCTTATCAAACCAGTACGGTAGTTCACAAGTGTGATTTAGTACTTGGGAGGTTGAGGCAGGACAATTACCACAAAATAGAGGCCAGCTTTGGCTATATATTGTGTCCCATGCTACCCTGGATTATGTGAGAACCTCTTTGAAGAAAAAGAAACAACAAAAACCAAATAAACAAAAACCTGTTATTATATTTTAACTCCTCTTTGTTCTATTTTCCCCCCTGCAAGTTCTGTTCTTTGGTCTGTTCAGAATTATTCTGATATTGTTAACATTGACTTGTGATATGTAGACACCTGTCTATGAAGAATGCATTTAACCATATGACAATGTTTATGTCTTTGGCAGTATTTGCCTTAATTTCTGATTTGTTTTGGTGGATCATTTTTGCATTATGACTAAAAATGTTTTAATAGTTAAGGTCATATTTTGAGAATTTGTTCTTCTTTGATGGCATAACTAATGTTATGCTAATGTGTCCTGCATTGTACCCCTTAGTCTAGATAACCACTAAACAGAAGACTTGGCTCCTACTGTAAAACTTATTAATAGGACAACTAAAGAAAAATGATCAGTTACAGTTGTAGTCATAGGGTTTTGGAGATCTGGAGAATGCAAAACCTGTCTTGGGCAGCATTTTAAATAGATATCGATAAACAGGTCAGAGCCTGGTAGAAGAGATCTCTTGCCCAAGTAGTTTAGACTTGTTACTTGGAATCATTGGCAGTTTGTTTCATAGGAGCTTCCCAGGGTCCAGATCACATTTACTAGTCTTTAAAAGGAAAAAAAAAAAAAAAAAAAAAAAAAAAAAAAAAGAAAAAAAAAAAAAAAAAAAAAAAAAAAAAAAAAAGACCAGGAAAACAGCAGATGTGATATTTACTTGTGTCTTTAAATCCCTACTATGGACCAGGAACTGATTATCAGTTCATTTACTTAATCCTCACTGCAATTCTGTGAGCTAAGGTGATTTTTATCTCCACTTTTAACTGAGATTTATAAAGACCAAAGTATCAGCATAAGCTGTTCAAAATGACCCATTCTGAAGGGATTAAAGCTGTCCTGCTTGCATCTTCCTGCAGCAAGTCATCTCAGCACACTTCATAATTGTTCATTTACTCTGAGCCATGTTTATTTTAGCCTCTTCCAAAAGCAAGCCAGATTCCCTTAAATGTCCCCAGGGCTAGTTTTATCTTGGGTCTCCTTGTCTATACTGTCTCTTAAGAGAATGACTTCAGTCTCTTGAGCTTGTAAAACTTAACATTTATAAAATGAGGCTTTAAAAATGTCGAGTTGATATGTCTTATTTTCCTCCCTTATCAGTTTTATTTGAAATAAAAAAGTTACTCATTTGTTACTGTCAACCTCTTAAGACTTGTTAGCTGGTTTTGGAATTATTCTTCAGCATTTCATTTTCAACTGCAATTGAAAGGAAATAGAATGAGGAAAAGTAGTTTCAAATGTAATTTGAAGAAAAATTTTATGAGCTGGACATTATAGTAAAGTTTCCTGATATGCAGTCCTGTTGTAACTAACTTACATATGAATGCTGATTTGCCTCCTTTTTGTTTTCCTGCTTTCTCTTGAATCTGCATCTGTAGATTGGAGGATTTTCCTACATCTCCTACAAGTACAGCCAAACAAGAGTTTCTGTATGTCATACTATTTTTCATGGCTTGTGATTAATATCATACTGTATGTTTATATTATCTTCATGGGATGTGTATAGTTAGTTACCATTTCAAAGCTATACCATAAACACCAGTAGATTAAAACATGTTAATAGTCAATCATAGCCTAAGTGAGGGCTGTCTCCTAGGGTAAGACAGACTTTAATTTTAGTATGTGTCACTTGTGCTTCTGTAAACATGTTATTGTTTGTTACTATGACAGAAACCAAAAAAGTTCACTTGGTGAGTTTTTGTTAATTGCAAAGTAATTTTTAAAAACTAACAATACATTTGCATGTTTCAGCTTTATAATTTTGTTTTTAATGGGAAGATTTGATTGCCAAGTTTTATCTATGGCTTTGCTATATATGAATTTATGTTTTGAGTGTCTTAATTTAAATCATTGTGTATATGATATTTGGTTTGCAGTCATACTTGAGGTGTGTGTATGTTCACCACATGAGTCTGTCACCATGTCACATCAACATTTTACTTAGCTTTAGTTATGTCTTTGGACACTTTTGAATAAAATTTAAATAATATTAACTATGTTGGTGATCTTTATATTATGTTTCCTGCTGGTAAGATTATCATATTTTATGAAATTTGCTTTATTATTGATAATCAGCCATAGACAAAACATCATCAGTTAAAAGTCATTTGTTGAGATTATTATGTTCTATTTCACTTAATAAGCGAACTAAAAGTATTAAATATTGGTTTAAAAAGTATCTTTTATGTCTCTTGCTTTTACAGAAAAACCTAAATAAAACCACATATTTAATTTCACTCAGACAGTACCTAGAGATTTTTTCTTTTTATTCACTTCCTCTGGATATTTAACAAAAATAAAAAGTCAATATTGACTTTAGAGAGAATGCTTTTAGTGGCCAATGATCACATCTGTGGTGAAGTTATTTATGGGCTTGGATATTATGTAGGTAGTAATGAAAAAGTAAAGGGTGGTCTTTGTTGTGATAACATCACATTAGGCCGCTCTATTCCATTCTCAGGTTTTCTACTGAGACAAAGTCATTTATAATACAGTTGCCAAGTGCAAAAGATGTTCTGGCTTTAACCATTGACTAAATAGCATGTGGTCACTCTACACATTCCTATTTCTATTGTAGAAAATTTCTAGAAAACTGATTTGAGACAGCACAGGCTACATTATGTAAATTAATATCTTGCACCTTCTTTCCTCTTTTAAGTTTGGAGGCAGTTCAAGGAGGTGAGGCCTGGAGGGAGTTTGGGGTTGAAAGAGAGCTATTAGATTGATGTAAGGCTGGTAAGATTACAGTTGAGCAGGACAGATCTTCAAGTCTTTGGCTTGAACACCGTAGTAGTCTGTAGTCTACGAGCTTTCTATTCTGAATTTTGGTTTAAATTGAGAATTAAGTTCTGCATGTTTGCTTATGAATCTTAAGTGATATTTAGGTAGGCTACTGCATATTTTAAAGGTACATGAAAAATAATGAAGATATTGTTTTTTTTTTCAACTTTTACTATATAGTAAAGAACTAATAAAAGTTCATTGCACATTGAGCAAAGCTACTGCTCTTAGATAACCATCAGTAAGCTTTATGTATGGTGCAGAAAAAGACATTCAGAGAGATAAATAAATATCATGATGATCCTGCACTGATCAAATTAAACTAGAAGTTGTAAAGGATGCTCTTGTCAGCCTTGAAAGAGATGTAGAGATCTGAACTATAAGTTAGTTTATAGATTATTAATATGAGTCACCTATGCAGTTTCATCATATTGAAGAGAGTTACCACTTAGTTTAAGCTACACATCATGTATCCCTCATGTTTTATTAAAGGAAGAAATGGTTAAGATTTCTCTAAAAAGTGACTAAAAGTTTGTAGCTTGCTTGGTATGCCCACTGTATATATGAAAAGTTCATGACAGATGTCTAGAAAGACTGACTAAATATTGATGGATAGCACAGTTTACAGAGTTCTGCCAGATCTACTAAAAGTCTTGGCCTCAACTTCCTTCATGTTTCATCACACCAGAGCCTATTCCCACTTCCTTTTCCTGAGTTCAAGCAGCAGGCCACTTGCCTTTGATTTCTTCTAACAAGATGATTGTTAGAATTATTTATTTGTTCTTTGATTACATTTTAGAAGTACAATAAGTTTATTTTTTCTTCTTATATTCAGTGTCTATCACTTTTTTAGATCCCAAAAGTAAATTGGAGGAAAAAAGATGGTTCAGTGAGAAAAACATTAAAGTGAGATTTTAGATAGATAGACAGATAGACAGATGTGTTAATGTTTGTGCTTTTACTTACATGTTAAAATATGCTAAAGAAATAATAGACTTTTCTATTCAGTGTAAAATGAGTATATTTTAATGTCTTTTACACTAACTTTTCAGACTGTTTTGAGACATGAATGATCTCATTCTAACTTATCAAATATGAGTATATTGTGTTCTTTGGTATTTTTCTAAAAAATTTTCATTTAGCTGTATTTTAATAGTGTTCCTCCTCTGTTGCTAGGACTGTGGTGAAATGTAGTATTGCTAAGTCCCAAGCCCTGTACAGTGCCCAGAGAGGGCTAAAGACAAACAATGCTGCAGTATTCAAAGTAGGAGCTATCAGCATCAACATCCCGCAACATCCTGCTACCTTACACAGCATGATGGTTCGAAGTTCTCATCAACTATCCAAACAAATCTCAGACCTTATTAGACAGCCTTCCACAGCGTGAGTTATTTTATTTTTTATATATTCCATAGCTGTACAATAAAATAGACCTTTTATTTTTGTTGTGACAACAAAGATTTGTAGGGAAATTAGCAGTTACTATAAATATTGACTATCACATTATGGGGCTGGTGGAGAGTATTCAATTGACATCATGGGAGAATCATAGTGCATATCATTATAGTGTTACATCATAATAGCCATGTTTTTGTCCCATGCTAAATAGGGATCATAAGCATATGGTTGTTTAAGAGATCCTAGAGATATCACAAGTAATACCATTAAAAAGCAAATTAATAAATTCTAGAAATGTCAATCCTTGTTTAATGTTAAGAAACTGCATTGGTCATTTATAGCATGCATGGTTTTGTATATTCCTTTATTATGAAATTACTATTTATGATTGAAGACAGAGTACAATGCCATATAGCATTTTAAAAGGCAGTAAAATCAGACCTTTTCACAGTTAACTTTTTTGTTTGTTTTTGTTTTTAGAGACAGAGTTTCTCTGTGAAATAGTCCTGACTGTCCTGGCACTCACTCTGTAGATCAGGCTGTCCTCAAACTCACAGAGATCCATCTGTCTCTGCCTCCCAAGTGCTGGGATTAAAGGCCTGCACCACCACCACCTGACTTCACAGTTAACTTTTATTCCCTGTGCATGTTGCCCCTATTCATAGCATCTGTGTGTGTGTGTGTGTGTGTGTGTGTGTGTGTGTGTGTG